CCAAGTGCGTTTGCAGAGAAAATGGATACGAATAATTATATTTAATTTGGCTAGCCGAGATTTTTCTTTCCAAGAAAATGGCGCACCACGGGATTAAAAAATGGGAAATTATATAAGATATGACCTGTCATAATTAGATTACTAGTGCGTGTTCCTTGAGAAACTGCAGGCAAAATGACCGTTGGAATGAGCTGGATTATGGACTGTGTACTCTCACTTGATACAGCCATGTAATATGTGTCATTTGGCGGGAAGATAGAACAAGTAGATATTATTAGAACGGATCACCAGACCGGCGAAAAGTGAGATGGCGAAGTGTTTGGTCCGAGAGTGCCTGAATCAACATTCGCTTCTTATGGCACTGCGACGCCATATAGACACTGTTCGAAGCAATAGGCTCGAATAGTATAATTATCTCGGACACCGAAACGAGGCTCACCAAGGAAATCATTTTGGCCAAATTATATGTGTCGTTAGGGTTTCACGGAGGTCGTGTCCCATAGCTCGACTTGACCTGGGTCCTTAGCGTCACACTATTCAAAAATTTCGAATGCCCCCACTTTTGCAAACGAGATTAATATATAAAGCGGTAGACTGCTTTGTATTAAGGCAGTCCCAAACATTAGCGATGCCCTCCCTCTAAGCATGTCAAGTGGAAACGCTATGGCCAGACTCGCGGAAGAAGCGCCAAGAAACCTCTCTTGCAATCCTACCATTTCTATCGTTTGTGGGCCTCCATTACGGATTCGGCGGGGAGAGCCTATTACCATAACTGTCAAAGTGACGGACTCTAACCCCGTGAAAATGCGTCCAGATTCATACCTTGCTCTCAATATCTCTTTGAGGGATTCTAGAGGCCACAAATATGTGGACGGTCTCCATGGCTCCTTGACATCCTCGCTGGAAAGACTTACGGATGATGCCGATCAACGTACCGGTGTTTTCAGGGGCCTTACTATTCATCAAGTCGGTCGGTTTCGTCTTCGGATTTTGCTAGCAATCTCTTCTAGGTCTCAGACAACAGTCGAGGCGCGTGCTGATTCTGATATTATTGAAGTGGTAGAGAGCAAGGAAGTGGTATAGTCGACACTCCCTACTCTGAATGATCTATCACCTGAAGCTAGGTTTCCGGTAGACGGCTAGACCTCTACTACTGGATGACCATGACGCCCATAAACTAAGAGGGCTATATTCAAATGAGTATTTAAGATAAAAGTCGATTGTGTGAAGGTCCAATCTCCTCATGTAAATAATCAACATATTGCTTTTTCAGACTGGAAACGGTCAATTTTGTCGATCGTTATAGGTGGACGTCAGCTGGTGCTGGGTGTCCATCATTTCTGCTTTTGCTGTAGGATACGAGGTTCCACCTTCTCTTACGAAAATGGACGTGGTACTGGACTAGGTCTCGCTTGTAGGAATGCGGAGTCAGCTGATCATTTTCGTGGACTTTCTATATGCGTGGGTCCTAGCGCTACCGTATGCCATCGACCCGCCATCCTTGTTGAACGGCGAAACCGTGACCCTTTTGGGTGTCCTCGAAGGCCGGCTCGTAAATTCCTGTAAATTGGGCAGAAGGCACTGGTTCTAAAATTTTTGCATTAGCCATCACTAACTGTAATTCTCACTTCAAGAACGCGGGACTACTAACTGCGTGTACGAAGGAAGCTTCTTTGCGCAGTCGTCACGTCCTACAGGGGTATTGCGGCCCAGGCTGAAAGAATAACGCCACGTACCGCAGGGCGCCGATGGGCCATAGGCCCCCCCTTAGTGGAACGTTGACCCCCACGGGCGATAGCCCCCTTCGTCGGAACGGGCAATACCGCCGAAAGCGCTATGCGGCTCACCTAACCTAGCCTAACCGGATTCGCCTTCGCCGTATGGTTGACCCTAAATTTATCCAATTTTGACGTAACTCATCACGGCGGTAAGACCCTAGACCCTAGAACCTCCCTTACATGGCTATAGGCCCTGCCTTTACGGCCCCCAGCGCCCATTATGGCCTCCCTTCTCTCTCTCCTCTCCCTCTCCTCACTCTCTCGTTCGTCTCATGTTCATTCGGGTCATGTTTGTGCCGGTCCATCCATCCTACCTACTATCTATACATAGTACAATGGCCCAAATTCCTAAACAGACTTTGACACAGCCCGTTCAGTCTCGCGCTCGTTGGGACTAATGCAGCGGGGCCTTTTTTATTAGAGTGGGGACACGGGCCTCGATGGCTGGTGGATGGATTACGTTGTTCTCGGTGAATTTCGATCGAGGGACGTGGGGTTTTTCGCAGGTGGGATCGAGATGCCGAGACCGCTAACTTGAAACCCAAACAGCCAGAGGTCGTCGGGATGTGAGAGTGAGAGACGCCGGCAATCGACGAACAGTGCAAGTCACGAGCCCGCAAGGAAAGCAAAACCGTCTGATGTGACAATTGATCTTTTTAATATACTGAGATTTGCCGATACACTCGGATAAGCCGATACACTCGGATTTGCCGACCATGCTGCAGTGGTTGGCAATATTACTGCGTATGGCTGCGGTACCGAACTCTCGCAGTTCCCGCCGCAGCACCACCTACTACGTGTGTTGGGTCACTGTGGAGAAGTGATTATAGTTTTGCCTGTCACTTCATTGGCTTCACGCAGCGTGAAGTTTGGCTCCTAAGATTGGTTCTGGCTAGGCAGAAAATTGGTGAATTGTTGATCCTATGCAGCGAGCAAGGATTGGAAAGGCTTTTCATAGTGTGGGTAGACTAGGAGCTAGTTGTGCAGTAAGTGACCTAGAATGGAGGAACAGCTATGCTCCCGACCCAGGCATATCTGAGAAAGGAAAAAGAAAGAAGCATAGCTTGGCAAGGTTAATTGTCAATCGAAATCCTCGGTTACCTTCCTGGTACAGTATTACAGCATTGTTCAGAAGACTGAAATAATACGCACAACCTACATTATCTTAGTAGCCCCGCCGAGGACGATTAGCAGGCCCTCCCAACGACTGTAAAATCATAGTGTCCACAGTCTGTCCGGCTAGCTAATAGCGACTCCGAAACTCCGAGCGGAGCTGATATTATATGAGTCATTTTGGACAAGAGATCAATGCGGTCGCCCACAGGGCTAATAGGTGCCTTCTGATCTGCGATGCGAACTGCAATAGCCCTGGAAAGATATGGGAGAAAAGGCATGTGACGACGAGCTAGAGGGTTAGACAAGGTGACAGAACGAAAGGACTAAGCGGAATCCCAGATAAGGCTCTTGTACCGCGATCCTCTCAAAAAAAAATTTTTTTGTTTAAAAAAAGACGGGTCCCCCTCCGGGCTTAATTAGGTGTGGTCTGGAACGGGAAACCTGCATTTCGCTAAGAGAGGCGCAGATGAAGCAGGAAGGATCACCTGATTCCACCAGGTCATTTTAGAGGAATCCAGTCATTCCCAGTTGTCAGGAATACAGGTGGTGGACCCTTTCCTTACGCGAACGGACCATGGGATCGGGGATGCCTTAGGGTGTAGTACTAAGATGAGATGACAGCAGCCGCTTCAGCTAGTCGCAGCGGATCAGAACGACGGAGATGGATTTGGCAACAGACGTACTTCTGTTGCCTTGTACTTTGGTAGACGGGCTGTTGTGTAGGAGGCAACTAACGCTGTATAGTAGTCGCGCATGTCAGGAAAAGACGCATCTCCGCACCATGCACTACAGGTACATTGATCTACACTACGAGAGTGAACCCGGTGCTCGGTAGTAAATGCATGAACACTATTTAGGCCTCGCATGGGTCCATCCCAGATGAGTCCAGACGCAGGATCACTGGCCTGACAGCAGATCCTACGGGGCGGGTTGACGCCTTCCCGCTCAAGGGCCCAACCGGGATGATTCGCTGTCAAGACAACGCCGGCATTGATCAATTATTCCAGGCTTCCATACCGATGTACGAAGCTACAAAGATCAATCCAGAAGATCACAGAAAACTAGACAGAGACATGAGGCAGAAGATTCTCACTTGTCACAAACAGCTGGCACCGATCTTTATTATAAAAGTATAGCCGGAAACAGTGCTAATATGCTCGAACCAACCTTGCTTCTAGGCTCGAACAGCATTTGCTTCCTGTAGCTATTTTAAACTAGCACCTAATTCAACTAATAGACTATTAGCCAGCTCCCAATAAGGAGCGTTACCAGCGCCCAGAACGTTCTCTTGCTTTCCATAACGACATTCTCCCCTCCTACCCCTTTAGGTAGTACTTTCGTATGATCATCTCATCACACACACAAAGTACCAAAGTCTTTCCAGTTACTTGGCATGTGCAAAGCCGATCTTTCTGTAGCACAATAGAAACACGCGGTTCGCGAGGAGAACAGAATCATTCTTGACAGGCATCGACGGGGTGAACTTCTAGCGCTGTAGCGATAATGCCAGTCTATCCGGCTTACGGAATTCGGGTAGGAGGCAATAGCTACAATATTCAAGCGGTAAGGAAAATATTTCCGGGAAAGTTTTGCCCCAGTGCATATGCCTATCGGCCCAACTTCGGTAGTTGTTCGTAACTGTATTTCTGGGCGGCTGCCCTTGCTTTTTTCTCCCATCTCTCGTGCATCCTCTCCTGTCTAGGCGGTGGGTTACTCCACTCTTTCTGCTTGTCTATCCTATGGTGCACCACAATGAGGGCGACAGGTGTCTCAAGAGATTGTCTATAAATCGTCCCCGGATCCCATGTGTGCCTCCCTCCCAGTGGGACCCTGTTAGCAACCACATATCATTTTCTTCCTCCCCACCAATGCTGTTGTGCTCCTTAGCCCATCAGACATAATCCCTGGTTGTAAGCCCTCCGTTTCGTCTCTATCTCTGTATTGCTAGAGAACCTTCAGCCCAGACAATCACCCGGCAAAGTGGGAGTTCAAACCTCAGTAGATGAGGCTATGCTCCATTGTATTGTCATTTTGTGCTCTAACTAGGGGGTTGAGGAGAGGAAAGGGACAAGTTAACGATCGGTATAGGTCCCGCCAACCGTGTCGATGCAGAACCAGCAGGATGAGCTGGGGTATCAGCACTTTGTCCTCATCTACATCGACCGAGACGGCCACGTACGCCACGAAGCCTCCCAGTCCATCGTCAATAGCCGAGAGATGATTCTGCCACGGGTCACAGATGCCTTTCTGCGAGCTGTGGCGCGGTCAAATAAGACTGTCCCATCACACTCTCCGCGTAAGTGTCCCATATCCCGTCAAATCCAGTAACGGGGATTGACCCGAAGTAGCTAAGCCTGGAGCCCCAACAACATTACCAAGCCGAAGGCCATCTAGTGGACAGATTCCTAACCGGCCAGACTTATTCCGTGCTCCTTATAGCGTGGAGGCCCCAAGGGCTGGAAGGCACAATATTGTCCCTAGGGCCCCTGGGCATTCAATCCAGCCAGCAGCGTGCCCACAGCATCAAGCCGACCAGCAGGAACTCTGGCCGCTCTGGTCTAGGCAGGTTACCCCCCAACAATATTGGCAAAACCCCTGGAATGAGGAAGTCAGAATGAGGAGCAGCCAGAAAGCACTAATCTCGATTCGAGATAAAGACTTCTTGCGTCGGTACTATGAGAAGGTCTTCGAGAATCTACAGCAGATAAACTGTCGAATTCTAGCAAAAGCCTACGTCAAGCTTGTCGAGCCGCGCAAGCAAGTCAACTACCCCTATAACGGGCGGAAAGTTGTTGCTGGTAGAACTCGACAATTAGAGCCTGATGCGACCAAGCCACCATGGTGGCCGTCTGGAGTGAGCCACCGCGAGCCTGATCATCTCCCAAAGGCCGGTAAGGGAGCATAAAGTTTCCTTTACTTTCTGCACGACCGCTAATCCGATACAAAAAGAACGTATTAGACTCCTAGTTCACATTCTCTGCGAGCTCCACACCGGCCATAGAATCACCGCCCGCAGACTCAAAGAAGCCGACCAGCCTATCCGCTGCCAAATCTCCCCAGCCGAGCGATTGGAAATACTCGACGAGGTCTACCACGTTAGGGAAGAGGAAGAGAAGTTTTTAGAGGGAGTCACCGGTAGAGTTTCCAGCAATTACTACATCCAGACCTAAATCTCACTGGTGTAGACGGGAAATCCATGTTGTTAATTGCCCGAGCGAACCTGCCCGTCGCAGTGGAGAGCCCTATCAGTCAAGGAGGGAGTAGAAAAATCACACCAGGTGAAGGGACATCCAGCCACGAGCGAGAACAACCCACAGAAATAATGGCCATACGCAGTGGACCTATCCGCAGCACCAACACACTCGAATCTGCCTTTACGACTGGCGATCTACCTCCGAATTTGTCCACAACGATCCCTCGCCCTCCCTCTCACATTCCGAATCTGTATATCAACCAAGACCTTCCAATACACCCCGGCTTTGACTTTGGAGCATCATCATCGAGGTTGCAACAGAATCTCAAGCAAAAACATCAGTGTGGAGAGACAGGACCGTCTATCGGAACCAGCCCTAACACACTATGGTACTACTCACCTATATTCGCGGGCTCCCAGCCCTTTGTGCCAGAGCCATATGGGGAGCTTCAGAATTTCCAGCATCAGGGTGTCCCGACCACAGGGCAGCCTGTTACAGAGCTATATGGAGAGCCTATGGAACCGTCACATGCGTTCCCATACTATTTCGACATCCCATCTCTTAGCTCACCCTATTCGCACATTGACCCTCATCCATAACCACCCCACGGTATAGATTTTGTACAAGGGGCCCAATATGATGTTTTCAAGGCGGACCCACTGCCACTTACACGCTTGGCTCCACAGCCGGGTTCTTTTGGTAGATAAGTGAGGTATTTTTTAATATTAGCCCTCCTGGGCTATTCCCATTAGGTTAATATAGCCGCTAGGGGATGCATGCAACTTCCACGATGATTTATCTTTTTGATTTCAATGTCAATTAAGCAGTATCCTGTCCCAACGCCACTTATCAAGGGGACTTTCTGTGACAATAGCTTCTGTTACCCCAAACCAAGATAGCTGAAGTTCCGCTGTGGGAGCTCCGGAGGTACACCGAATCTGTGGAACACTTAAGTGTCCTATTTTGCTACATGTACCTCTTGAAGAGTGTGATATGTTATTCCACCAAAACCCAAAACCCACCTGTGAATCCAGCAACGCTGTTGTCCCCGAGCTATGCCGTTCATACCAACCAGCTGACATATGATTTCAAGACCCCTTTGGCAGACTCAGAGAGGAGCAGGATCTTCTTAAAGGGATGTAGAAGTGTATTGGATGAGTGTGAAAGGTCGGTCGTGCGCAAGGATGGATTTTGGAGGTGGAAGAGCGTTTTGAGAGGAACGTGGCTGTATCGCCCAGAAGTTAGTTCAACAGTAGAAATACGCTAATTGATCGAGTCGCATCCGTATTCCCTTACTCAAGTAATTCCACTCCTTCCAGCGTAAGCACAGATTCATCTGTTTCGCTCTTCACTTAGATCACTGGGTCATTGGAGCAGCCACAGAGCAGTCGCGGCGAGCCCTAGCGCACTGAACACCCGGTATTTATAGATGCGGGTCCTTCATAATGAATTTGGCGCATACTGGGCAATTTATGTTGCCATACCAATAGCCTCGTCGGAAAGTGTTGAGGAAGGCAAGCGAAAAGTCAAGCACGTAGCGTCAAGGCGAGGTCAAAGCTGGTATGTCGGGCATTGGACCGAAGGCAGATGGTTGAAGTCGAGGATCAGAGGCAGGAACAATGAGGTTTTTGCCATCAAAATAGTGATACCGATGCATTCATTTCAGTATGATCACATTTTCCAGTGGCTAACATGCAAGCTCACCTTTAGTGGATAAATACACTGCCCGGTCCTTTTCAGGATGGTAGGGAGTTTGCGTCCTCGAATTGACGTTTATGTCGAGTTCGACAGCCAGAGACACGATGGCCGTTGGCACGCTATAGCTCCGCCGTAACACTAGCCATCGTCTCCGAAAGAGTTTCATTCGGCGTATAGGCTCACCGTGGGCCACAACCCCCCAACTCACTCTCTAGATGGCAGCATCTGCTCTAAATACCTTTATCCAGCCGGTGTACTTACGGAGAAGTTCCGCACCAGCGGAACTCTTAGCCACCATCGTGATGTCCCCGAGGGCAGTTGCATCATGACTACGCACAAGGCCATCCTCATTAGCGAGGCCAAGAAGGATGGCTTGGTTCCTGACCGGCTCATCTCCACACTTCGGGATGACTATATCCTCGTCAAGACCGTCAGTGTCGGTTTGAACCCTACTGACAGGAAGCACGTCGCGTATCTCTCTCCTCCTGGTGTGCTGGTGGAATGCGACTACCGCCCGCGTCGTGGAAGCCGTCGGCAAGAACGTCAAGAAACCATTCAAGAAGGGCGACCGAGTTAGTGGCTTCACTCATGGCGCCAATGCTGTCCAGCCCGAGGATGGTGCCTTTGCCGAGTATATCGTAGCCAAAGGCGACCTGTAGATGTAGATCCCCGGCAATATGAGCTTCCAGGATGCCGCTACCCTGGGCGTCGGCATTAACACTATTAGCCAGGTTCTCTACCAGAGTCTGAAGTTGGCTCTGCCTTCTGCTCCCACCAAGGATGCTACGCACATTCTCATCTACGGTGGTTCCACCGCGCGGATTTCAGTTTGCCAAGTTGTCCAGGTATAAGGTGATCACAACCTACCCTCCCAACCACCAACGGACGGCAGAAGCATCTGACAACAAGGAATGAGCCTTCGAAGGTCACACTAAGACATGGACAACTTCAGTCCAAGGCTTGTTTGAACCTTGATGAAAATTCATGCAGTTCTCACCCTAGCGGCGGGACCCCACCTAGGAAATTCAAAATCGAGGTATATTTAGCAATCTCAAAACGTACCTGCAGTGACAGACATGCCTGGTCGTAAGGGTTTGCTAGAATAACCCTAATGATTTGCCGGACAATTAAATTCTTCTCTGTGTCGCATGGAAATCGTGGCATGTCGCCTTCGAAGTGGTGGACCGAGGCAATAGTATTCCCTAGAAGTGTGGATGTTGACAGCCCGGGTGCTTGTTGGGTTTGTGTTGGAAGCACATTTGTAATAGTAATGGGAGGGCAGCCTGCCTCGGCGGTAGATCGATTATTGGCCCACGGTCTGTCGTGACGTTGTCTCTCTACTCTATAAATTTGCTCGCGAATCATACCAGGCACATCTTCATGAGACTGTAAAATCCCACCGCTTTGTACATATTTAACCAAGCTCTCTAGCTGATCCCGGTAGAGCTTATAGTGTTTTTTCTATAGGGATCCTGCCAGCAGTGCGGGCCTAGTTCACAGGACCCAGGACAACGCATCAAAGCATATACCTCTTTCCAGGCAGGCGGCTCTCCGGAAGCTGCTTCCTCAGCTTAAATCAGTCGATCTCGCTCTTTAAGCATCCGCTGGGTAGCAGACAAAGTGCCTCGTTTATCAGTCGTCCTGCCACTTCCGATTGAGCCCGAAGAGTTCTCCATGTAATTGAATGAGATGACCAGTCTCAGTTTCTTGCCAGCAAGAAATAGGTCTCCCCAATCCGAAAGCTGCCTTTCTATAGAGGTCCAATCAATGTCGGTTCCATCAAACCTCAGAGTGAGGCCCTTCTGCCGAGTGGCGGATACGACAACAGACGTGTCATCCGATTCAAGTTTTCGATGTGGATACTTTCGTAAAAGTATCTCCTTTAGCTTTGGTTGCCTCCAGTGAAATCGAGGGGCTAGAACCAGATCTTGTTCTGTATCTTTCGCCACCGTCCTGTTATTGAGAGTGACCTTCCACTCGATCAAGTAGTGGATACAGGTTGGTGGGTCCTCGGCATATGTTCGACCCTCCTCCCAATCACCGAACTGGAGTAACGGAAGACTATTCTTTTGCGAAGTAGTTTGTTGTGGACACGCGTGATCGATGGGGGAGAAGGGATCGACGTTGATGCAGCTTATGTCGGACGGGGAGGCGGCTGACCAACGGAAGTTGCCAGGTGTTGGTGCATATTGTGATGTATCATCGCCCCACGTGTCAAGCGCTATGCTTTGTTGAACGCCATAATCATAATGGTTAACGAGAGAACTGGGAGTCATTTCTTGGGCCTACTGTAGCGACAGACTAAAGGTGAGTGATTATTAGTTGAGGCTTACACCATCAGCAGCGGTTGAGGGTGTTGTTCGCCTGCAAACAACCGCCAAGTAGTCAGAATGGTTGTTGGCCGCTAGTACCGCTTGCTGAGGTTCTCTGGGCCAAAGAGACAGCCTCACAGATGATGACCAGTACACGCCGCACGGCAGGAGAAGGAGAAATGAAGTCGCTCAGAAGATCATCAAGTTACCCGGCACTAGGCAGCCCTCCCCACATGATTTGCAGATCCACTATACGATTCCATGGAATTCCACCGACGTTTTACACGCATGGTGTAATTTTCCGTCAGGGTACATACAGTACACAGCGCATTTTTATTTCGCCCTCAATTTAACACGGCCGGCTCAATAAATTATCCGCGCTAAGGCCTTGGCAGTGGGGCCAGGAAAGAGTTTCTCAGTGTATATTGGTCAAGGCGATTTCGAGCACGACTGTAGACGTATTATACGGCGGACACTTATGATTCCATTGGTCAGACCGGTTTCCACTGTTCCGTAACGCAACATATTAAGCCATAACATCAATTTTTATTTATTTAGTAAGGTATAATTACAGTGTTTTAAAGGGATATCAGGAAACTTTCTCAGGCAACTGCGCAAAAATAGACAGAAATTATATGCCCTGAGCCAACAAGGGCTTGATAATCAGGCCCAGAAATTCTTTTCATCTTTCACTTGGATATTACCATTCTCACCCGGCCTTTGAGATTGTAAAGGAAAGTCGGCAGAGTCCTGGGCATTTTCAAGACGACCGACTCCAACGCAATATGAGGGACGAGGCAATGAAAATACCGGAGGACTTCGCACGATCAACCTTGGTTCGGCATTCTGAACATAGTCTGCAGGGGTCTTCCGGATTATTGGAAGACTTTGTGACTGCTTCAATATTGTTAGCGAAACTATTTAATCTTTAATCGACAACTTACGAGCTCATCCTCAGTGGGACACGCCTCATCCGGCTTTGTAACAAATGTATAAACCCATCCGCTCGGCATCCGCATGGTCATCCATATGTCAATATCGTAACGGTCATTGAATTCTTTTAGTCTTCTGAAAAGATTATGCCGGCGCTTACGTATTTGTTCTTGCTGCGCTCGGTCGTTTGTTCTGCCACCGGTTTCCCCGCCTTTCGGTCGCGCCATCACAGTAAATAATTCGCGCTTTTGTTCACAATTCCGAATCAAATTGCGCATCGACTTATGGATATGTCATGCGGAAACAAATGAAAGCGTCAATGGCTGGAAGACTAAGAGGGGGTGTTAAGATTATAAGCATTACGTTCAGTTGTCGTCGGTTGAACGTGATAATTTAGCTCATTTTGAACCCATAGGAATCCAGTAACATATCTCATTCAAAGAGGTCGACATTTGATGGAGAGAATCGTTAAGTGCAAAATTCAATTCCACCAATTTTTTATTTATTTTTAAAAAATTTTCCGTACTTCATAAGGGAAAAACGACGGAGGACGCTTAGTGGGGAACATACCTTCCCATTTTGATATTTTCGAACGATATGGTCCCAAACGTTCTTAAAAGTCCACGCAGAACAAAGAATGTACGAATATGTAGCCCCTTACAAAACGAGGGAAATAAAATTGTTTCTAGAAAAAATATAGAGGCGGAAGAAAATCTTTCTATTTCCGAGCGTTAACGCTCCTACCGTGGTCGCTTCAGCAGGCTGCGATAGACATGAAAAATAAAAATTATAATTCAAAACACGAAATCAGAATATCTCAAGACCGGGCACAGTTTGTCTCAGAAGACGCGTTAAACACTCATTTTTGTATTGACCGAGCTCGGGTTTCTATGGGTGAAATTGCCATAACCAGATTTGTAGAAACTTAACATCTTTGTCGTGAGCAAATATTAACCACTGGACTTTTATTATACTTATGTATCTATATTAAATTTGTTCGGATCAAGATAATTTATATCCAAACCAACCTCGACCTTCCCTAGCTTGAGACACGCAAGTGGTTTCACGCCAAACGCCATATCCTACGCCAGGTCTCCTGCCTAACCGTCTAAAGAGACGTTCCTGTTTCGAAATTGATAATGCAGGTCAGTATATACTCTCCTGGAAACAGAAATATTATCATGACAGACAAATCCAGGCAGCTCTAGACTGGGAAAATTTTGATACCAATAAAAGAAACATGTTTCGTGGGCCTGATCCTTTCTCAAAGAATCACGTCTTTCAACCAGTGCATCTCGATGCTTCGTGGAAATTCGAGCCGGCATTAGGGGTTGAATTGAGTCGTACCGCCGCTGCCCTGGGTAGGCTTGCTCCGGCCATCCACGCTCTTGAGAAGACCGATGTTCCGTCTCTGCTACGGGACCTACAGCGGGTTCGAAACGATAATGCATACTTAATCGACTTGATCCACAAGCAGCAGCGGACTATGGAACACCAAGCTCAGGAAAACGCCATATTATCGCAGGAATTGGCTAGAACTCAAACCTTGCTTGCGCAAAGGGAAAGAAGCAGCGTCTCGGGCTCAAAAAGTCCAACCTCCAGCAGGGACTCTTCTCCAGGAAAAGCCATGGACTAAATAAATGTGACCCAGTATTTGTTACCGGCCACTCTCACACAAATGCGTTGATGGGCCGTTATTGCTGCGACATGCGTGCACCCATTTGGCTTTTTTGAAACCCTAATGTCGACAACATTAGTCTAACAAATCCCCTTCTTCATCAGATATTGGCTATAATGAAATTGATAGATGACTGATTTCCAGTAATTCCATTGGTAACCGATCTACACAGTATCCATTTGCGTACAGTGAGCACCAGACTTCATGGCAAGTAACCTAGCCGTTTACAACCACCTCGCTCGTGGACTTATTTAATGTGACTGTACTTGTTGGGTAACCAAAATATAGTTGAATTTGTAGTTTTACTTTTATCAGCTATATGTACAGTACCGCACAGCGCAACTCTGTGCGGATACTGTAATGAAGATAGTAGTCTTGGTCGTTGCCTTCTACCCCCGCATCGCATCTAAGCAAAAGTCTCGTGGGCATATTGTTCCATGCGATCAAGTGCAACGATTTGATAGTGAGTGAATTCATGACGTAGATCGTAGTTCTTTCGGCTCTGCTGGTTCTATACACAAAGCTGATCATTCGCACAACCTGTGTACAGCATTATCGTGTTAAATATATTTTCACAATTTCTACCCACGTCATGGAAAAGGCAAGATCTGACTCGAGAATTTGCCTAGTAGTAGGGCGATTCTCAGGTCTGAATGAGAGCATCGGCCGTAGCATGTCGAAGAAAGCTTCCCTCTCCCTTGCATCAAACGACGGCGTGCCACTATCTTGCCTGGGCTGTTGCACGTTATCCTCAAACCGATCGTCCAAAGATCGGAAAGGGTTGCGGTTCATTTGCTTACCATCCTCGGTAAATTTCAGTCGTCGTGCCTCCCATCCCCTCCACCATTCAAGTGGCAAAACACCAAGAGTATCGACATGCTCACAGGTCATATCGTCCTCCGTCGCGAGAAATCCTTCAAACAATGGCCATTGGGCAATGATAGACCATATGGTACAGGCGAGAGTCCAAATGTCCGATGAAAAAGACAGAGGGTCGGTTGGTTCAAACCGCGCCTCGGGGGGACGGACGACAAGGGGGGTGCGAGATTCGTATTTCCGTTTCTTTTGAGTGGGAAAAGGCTTCACCAAAGTCTGTAAGCACGATCCTGGTTTCTGACAGTGTTATTTCCTCACTCGCTTTCCCCAACCATATGGGCACAATGCCGTGGGATGGGACACCAGGCGGAAGCGGATTGCCATCTAGACAAACAATTGGGTCTAGTTCCGGTGCTCCATATTTCTCATATAATTGTTTGAGTGAGAGCTAGTCAAAATTGGGCGGAACTTTGAGAAGAATGTTGCCGAGGTGAATCATGGACAATTCCTTGGGCATGCACATAATCCACAACAAGAACCAGCTGCGCAGCAAATGGCCGGGCCACGTCAAGCTGGAATAAGCGGATCCATGAACCATCTTTCACTCCGGAGAGGCTAGCACTCGCTGGCGCTGATTGCCATTTGGGCCGTGAATGGTGAACCTATCTAGAATTGAAGGAACCATCATCTTTCCTGGGTGATTGGCTGAAGGACAATGAGGACGAGTGAGAGTGGATATAATGTCCACTTCCTTTGGATTCGAGTTTGCTGTGCAAACTTTCACTGCAACGTATTTGTTGGATTGTTCATCACGGGCTAGCCACGCAGTTGAATAAGACCCATATCCCAGCTTATGAACAACTCGATATCGACCGTGAAAGTGATCGCCGATTTGAACGGGGTGATAGCCCCCTGGTCAATAGTTCTCAAGTCTTTCGACTCCCTCAAGAGGCTCGTAGAGGAGATGTGTGTCAAAATCTTCGTTGGTCCCCATTAAGATGAATGCGCTGACAGTCAACGAGTGGCATATGCCCCTTACGAAGGACAGGAGAAATGACTGGGGAACATGAATAATGTGGCGCAACAACCGAATGGCCAATGACAACAACTGGCTCATCGCCGTATCACGCGGAGAATTTGAGCCAAAAGAAGTTCGATAAAGGAGATGAAAATAAGTTAACTATCTCTCAATTATTTGAGTGACGTCGTCGGCGCGAGACGACACGCGCTAACCAACTGCGAGAAGGTTCTGATCAATTGGCAGTCAGTCAATCCGTACACGAGGGTCGACCAATCCGCTCTTATCTGCCTTACTGTCTTCATCTTCTGCTTTTCTGGATGGACGATGCACGCTCGATCGGGCACCGGAGAAGGTGGGTGCTGTTCTGGTGCAGCTAGCGCCTATGGACACTAAAAGAAAGGTTGTCAGGGTTTCATCTTAGTAGTTGATAGGAATTGGTACAGTAGGCATGGCTATGATAGTCAAGAGTGTTCGGATGATCTGGGAAGCGCCCCTTCTCAATCTCGTCAGCGCTTAATGTCATCGTCGGATTCGTGGTTGTCTACACCACTCCATACCTTCTGTCGACGCCTGGTGCGAACCTTGGGGCCAAGCTTGGTTATGCGTGGAGTGGATTTGCTGGTGTGGGTGCTATCTGGATCTGGTTTTTTATGACAGAGGTTAAGGGACGGAGCTTGGAGGAAGTATATGGATTATTTGCGGCGGAGTTGCCTGCGTGGAGATCGAAAAAGTATAGATGTTCGGGCTTGGATGGGACTATTATTAGTGACAAGCGACACGATTTGAATGTGGAAGAGGTGGAGGAGGCATAAATGTTTTCTCTAGAAGCCTTGCGGGCTTTCTTTAGCAAGTACGATCCCAACTTGGGCTTGGAGTAAGGATTTGATGGGCTGGTGTAAGCCAAATGACACTTCATCGCACAATTTGTGTCCTTTAATCCTATAATAAATCTTTTTAATTTAATTAACCTGGGCAACTCGAATGTCGCTGTATGAAGTAAGTATGATAAGTTGAGGTATCAACACAGCAAAGGCCCCAACCAGTAGACCAGTAATGAAGTACGTGCCGAACGGGCACGTTCCATTAGTGAAGGACATAGAAGTGAACTCAAGAGCTGAATATATTTGAAGAGTTTATAGAGGAAAATAAACATTTGAAGATATACAAAACAAGCTACATGATACTATTTACATACATCATCATTATCGCTATCATTACATAAGTTGAACTGGCGTAACTACTATTACTGCATAACCGCCGCCCAATAACACCAATAGGAAACATATACAAGAAGCATAGGCACGAAGCATAGACAGGAGGTATAGACAAGAAGCATCAAAACGAAGTATCAACAGGATAGCACCAACAGGAAGCATCGACAGAGTGGCACCAACAGGATAACACCAACAGGATAGTACTGACAGTATAACATCAACAGGACCCGTCAACATACCCCTGCCTTAAACAGCTTGTCAATTCTTTGTTGATGCCTACAGTTGAGATTTCCAGTTTTCACATTTGTTATTCCAACTTTTCGGTTCCTTATTTCATTCTATACATCTTGTGCCACCACCGCAAGACTACTATCGGGGCAGCGTACGGTCTCCTCTGTTCATAAGCCAAATTGGCGAATAGAGATCTAGGTTGCGGGATTTGGCAAGACCGCTCTACACATCTGTTTGAGTTCAGGACCTCTCCGAATGGCAGTCAATTTGTTGAGGTTAACCACTTAATCCAGCAAGTCAATAAATACATATCCTTATGCAACGGCAGCGGCCTTGTTGATCTGCACACTTGCATCGCCATCGGCCTGGGTTGACTCTTCGCGAATATAGGGAATACCGGTTAACTTGAAAGTCCGCTCACTGAAAATAGGCTCGGTCACCGGCGCCAGGCGGTTGTGCGGATCTTCCTTACCATCCCGCTGGGCGATATTGGACCCTGTATGCTTCGCATTCGGCCAATGCGTCGTGCCAACACGGCGATCGAAAGCATCCTTCTTTCGCTTTAGATCGTCCTGCGAGACATCCGCGACAGGCATATAGCACGTGTAAATAGCAAACCGGGGCTGGTTGTTCTTGGGACTAAGATTGTAGTGCGGTGTTCGCGAATCCCATAGTAGCAGGTCACCGGGCTCCGCGCAGACCTTTTCCCATTCGCAGCCGTGGTCGGCAAGCCACTGCATTCCACGCTCGGTGAACCCGTACCACTCTGGTGTCCACGCGGGGATCCGCTCCTCGTCAGCCATCTCACGGTGGAACTGTTCGGATAGGAGGTGCCCGCCGCGGCAGACAATGAGGCCCCCGTCGTCGGGTCCGTTAGGCAAAAGGTTCACTAAGCCTTGCATGCAACGAAAGCCATGCTTGGCTGGGTCCTGATCTTGATGAGGCCAGGGCTTGTTGGGAGCAAGGTCGGTACGGCTGTTAAAGGGTCAGTGTTTGGTTACGTTGTTAATACTCTGCTTGCTATGCTTACTTCGGGAACTGGAAGTTGATAGCGTCAAACGACACGATGAGATCTTCATCATCATATATCTTCTCGAATGTGCCGATGACCCCTGGTTCGTTTCGCACATCCCAGACAAATCTTTCATGGGGCAAGGCGTAGTGAAGACACATTCCCTTCTCATTGATCAGGGGCAGGTTGTCTTTGTGTACAGTCGAAAGGTCATTCCGGTCGAATCCAAGCTTGCTTTCTTTGGCGTTAGTTGATCTTGAACACAGTGACAGTAGGGAGGAGGCCATACAAACCCTCCAGCCATGAATACATCTCATTGGCATATTTCAAGGCTTGTTCCTTTGGAATAGCGCCCTTGACCACTGCAAATCCGTTGCGTGTGAGCTCATCGCGGAAGTCTCCAAATCTCCTGTCAGTCCCGTCGAGGCGCATCCGGCCAAAGCCGTGAAGATTTGGGTTGGCCTGAGCAGTCCCTGTAACAGTAGCCGTAGAAGACATGATTAAAATTGAATTCCGTACTGTAATTATTCATTCAAGTTCAAAAGGCTGAAAGTCGTCTTGTCTGATTTGAGGTTGCTGGTACTTATACCATCAAAATGCCCCCGAAAAACAAATTGCACTGGCCACGGAGATAGTACCCACGATGAACCCGGTGGCAACTCATATGGTCAGCAATGTTTTCTATTGGCTTCCCTTTTGGTTGAAGTCCATGTTGCCCCAGTGCTCGGCAAGTGGGGGTGGAGGAGACATGACGCGAAGAGAGTATATGTGGGGGTGGGAGTGGGAGTGGGGGTGGAGAAGACATGACGCGGAGAAAGTATGAGTACGGCGAGGTGGGTGGGGGTGGGGAGACATGAATCGAGAATTGTGAAATAGCAGGAGCTCGCAATGTGTTCGGTTGCTGGCCATTGATGAATACGAAAACATGCCACCGTTTCGCATCGTCATTGTCGGAGGTGGCATCGCGGGCTTCACGGCTGCTATTGCTTTGCGTGGGAGCAACAGACAGATCACAGTGCTGGAGCAGTCGAGTTTGAACAAGGAGATTGGTGCATTGATTTCACTACAACCGAATGCTTCGCGCATTGTCGAGTCAAAATGGTGCCTGAAAAAAGAACTACGTGGTGCCCGACAGATGGTGGATCAAGGTATTCGCATTTACAATACAGATGGGCAGCTTGTGAAAACTGTGCCATTGTTGACAAAGACGGAGTACGGGGCAAACCGTCTCATATTCCATCGGAGGGATCTTCATGAGACCCTCAAGGAAGCTGCTATCTCGCCCGAGGGTCGTGGGGATCCTGTCCTAGTGCGGACTGCATCGCGGGTTGTCGACTGCAACCCAGAACATGGAACAGTGACTCTAGAAGATGGAGGTATTGTGAGAGGTGACCTCATCATTGGGGCAGACGGGATGTAAGAGAGATGACCGTGTATGGCGTAAGGCAAAAAAAAAAGAGCACTGACATTTAAGCCATCTATCTAGACATAGTGTACTTCGCAAGCATGTTCTATACGAAGACCCTTTGCCCATGCCGACTGGCCACTCAGGTAAGCACCCAGAATTTACCCCGAACAGTAAATTCTTACTGATTTTCTTGGATAGCTTATCGCCTTATGGTTAGTTCGAGGATGTTGTTAATGCGCAATAAAACTAATCAAATCAGATACCAACGCAAGTCTTGGAAGAGCATGAACCATATTTCTGCGAGAAAATCAACCCGCGTGACCCTTTTACATCGATGATGGTTGCTCATAACTGTCGCTTAATTATGGGTCCCGGTAGACAAGGTGAAGTGTTTGGGATTGTGGCTTTGGTGCCGGACGGTATGATTCGATGTCGAAGACGCGAATATTCAGAATGTTAACTGATCTAGATGAAATGAGCGAGGATCCTCAAGCAAAACAGTCTTGGGTCTCGGAAGGAGTCTTAATGAAAATGCTGGAGACTTTTGCCGAGTTCCCTATCTGGGTGACTGACATCTTCAAGTGCGAAGCTCCTACCTTTCATTTCTGAATATAGCTGATCAGATAGATAGACACTCGGCAGACATTGGGCTGTGGCAGCTACGTGATCTTGTAAATAGATGCGTCTAACTCTTTGATAACAGTCGATAACACTGTATAGGATCCGCTCAAGACGTGGCACCGTGGCCGAGTAATTCTCATTGGAGACGCTGCCCATGCAATGCTTCCTACCCAAGGTCAAGGGGCTAGCCAGGCAATCGAGGACTCTGAAGCATTGGGGGCTTTCTTTGAAGATATCGACCAGCCGCCGTCCCTAGATATACTTGAAAAGATTCTAGAGGTGCAGCAAGCAATTTCATATGGGCGAGTTTCATTGGATCGTGCTGATGGCTATCATAGGACGTGTTCCACACCCGTTATTCTCGAGTGAGCTTAATTCAAGCTCATAGCCGGCAGGCAGCCAAGCCTGGGACAGCCAAGGGTGATAAAACAATCACTATGTATGTCATTCAAACCCTCGAGGAGGATCGAGGATAATTAACAGCGAGTCAGGAAACCCGACGAATTCATGGATTTCAACTGCATGTATCGGGGAGCTAAGGAGTGGCAGCGACAGAAGCTCGCATCTGCTTAATGGACTGAATGCGAAGTACCCATAGATAAATGGCAAACAATGAATATGTAATTGGTATGCTCGATTTTAGCTTCATCGGAGCGTAAGAAAATAAGTGGCCCGCAAAAGCGGGGCGATCCCGGGGCCAGATAAAAGGTTTGACTCGACCATCCCACGACCTTGCCATTCCCAAAGACCCTGTCCGGATATGAGTGGCCACACCCAGACCCCGCGACGCTCTCCACGGAGCAAGACACCCGGAGGCCACCGGTGTCCCCATTGTGACAAGGCATACGAACGCCCCGATCATCTTGTCCGCCATCTGGATTCCCGTAAGTATCTCTAGTGTTTGGAAAAACATTCCCCTGACCGCGTCTGCGGGAGTGAAGATCGCAACGAGCGTACCTACCGGTGCCATACTTGCCAGCGTGGTTTCAACCGCAGGTGAATTTGCCCCTGATATTGTTGCCAGCCGACCTAATTTATGAACAGGGATGTGCTCCAGCGCCACCAGGTGGTCCATGAGAGAGAGATCGCAGAAGGCAAGGCAAGCGCTAGACGCCCCACAGAACGTGCGATCGTAGCCTGTGAGGCCTGTGCAACTGCAAAGCTGGGCTGTGACAATGACCCGCCATGCAAGGTAGAAAAATGAAGTACTCATCTAGATAGCCTTCAGATATTAACGGGTTCCTCCAGCGATGCCAGACAAAAGACATTATCTGTGTCCCAAGGACCACCGGAACGCAACATTCGAACGATTTGTCGCGGTCGCAACTTGGACCGCTGTGCTCACCGCTCGACCGTGACTATGGAGAGCTCACGACGATAACCACCACCCCGGAGTCAGGCCCATCTGAATTCAGCGTTCCGCGAGCATCAGCCCATTATTCGGGGAGTAGCCACGACTCTAAACTAGGACATTATGAGCTAGGCATGAATCCCTTTTTATCCCGAGAAGGGCTGCAGGTCCATCCAGCCCTGAATAGTTTTCCGGCCTTTTTTGAGCAAGTCATGCAACCGAGTGTGGAATTTGATGGCGTACCACAAGGGACACAGCAGCCTCGCAGTGTATTCGACTTCATGCAGGACACTGACTTCACATTTTCTGACTCGGATTTGTTTGGGACGGACTTCATCCCAGATCTCGATCGGATTATTGACACTCGGACGCCTTTCTCTACGCTTCAACATACCCAAGACCCCGGGTTGGATGCTGATGAATCAGCCAGACGACGTGTAGAAGCTTTTCAGCGTTCACTCTGGTAAAAGTCCTTGCTCTGAAGCAACCAAGACTGAAACTAAATGGAAATAGGCTCTGGGTACCGGAAAAGAACCAGAATGCGTTCAGCGAAGAGGGAAGGATCCCACTGAGAGACAGCGATCGTATTCCACCCACCCACCAAACTCGGCTCGAGGCGCTGAATATACCCGGCAAACTATCTGTGTGCGCACGCGAGAATATCTTGAAGCTTGTAATCAGGACAGCGGGATCACGACTCTCAGTCTCGTCGTTTCCGTCCGCGGAGTACTTAGACACTTTGATCAAAATCGGTATCGACAAACGCACAGAAACGGATGCATGGATTCATCCATATACATTTTTTGATCAGCAGGCCCGACCCGAGCTTCTGACGGCTCTAGTGGCAGCGGGGTGTGTTTGCTGTGGATTGCCGTCCTTTAACAAGACTGGTATCATTCTTCAGGAAATCACGAGAGTTAGCTTGGCACAACTGGTAAGACCGTCTATTATTCATTTTATACTTCAGACTAACGGCAGGTATGTGTTAGGTGGAAAATGACAATAGCGTTCTCCGAGATCTGCAGTACATGCAAGCTTCGATGTTGTGGCTCGACATTGGTATATTCTGTGGCTATAAACGAAAGATGCATATTGCAGAAAGCTATCTCCAGCCACTATGCACGGTACGGTCAGTGGAAGATTATTGCATAGAGATGGCTAATTATATGCAGGCACTTCGACGCGCTGCTGTATTTGATCGCTCCACATACTCTGTGATCACGCCGTACTTGGTGGGCGACGACGAGGAATCACTGCAAAAAGTATGGCACGAATGGGTGAGACAAGAGTCTCTGAAAAGGTATGAGAGCCTTCCACTAGATAATATACAAATTCACCAATATGCATAGATTGGTGTATCACCTGTTTGGACATGATATTGAAGTCTCCTTGGCAATGCATCGCCCGGCAATCATTTCATATACCGAACTCACGCTGCCATTTCCAGCTGCCCGGGATTTGTGGCTGGCACCCACGGCCGCTGCATGGAAGGACATCTGGACGGCAAGGTATCATGCGGTGAAAACGACCGAGTTGAGTCTGAGAGGTCTATTGTCAGACCCATCGCTTATCACGCATGTTACGGTTGAGCATGATTGTGAAATTAGCAGATCTGCACTACTTCATGGCTTGGCTAGTCAGGTATGGGAATTCCGACAGCAAATGATGCTCTCTCAGGGTCATCAACCCGGGCCCCGTGCCACAACGCAGCTTTGGCTACAAAGTAGACAAGAAGACCTGTAAGTGAGATACCAACGAGCTAGATTAACTTGGATATTGATTAGCATTGAAGTTATACTACCCTCAAAACTGTCCAGGCAGAATCGCTCAACCCACCGGCTGTCACTACCCTACTACAGGAGTTCATCATGATGTACTTGCACGTGGACGTAGATGCCATCCAACGATTTGTAGGTAAGTTGGGAGAGCTGGATGCACGTCGCGCATATCCTGGCCTGAGAGATTGGAGTCGCACCAAGGGGGCTCGAACCAGCATTTGGCATGCAGGCCAAGTTCTCCGTGCCGCTCGCTCTGTGAGCGCATACCAGCTGCGCGGGTTTGACTCACTTGCTATTTACCACTCGGCCTTGGTCCTATGGGTATACGGTTTACTTCAATGTGGCGAGACACGACGATTAGAAATGAGTACGCCAATGAGCGAGACTGATAGGGCGCCTTCAGTGGCATTAGATGGACCAGAATACCAGGCCACAAGAGCATTCTTAGGTCATGACCATGGTCGACCGGGCTTGACGATGTACCAGCATCGCAACGGGCAAGAAGGCGAGGCCGAAGTCTTTTGCGAACTAAGTAAGCCGCGCTCTATCATGGCGGTGGCGCGACAGGTATTTGAGGGAAGTTGTCCTCGCTCATTGCCGAACGATATCCTACCGCCTATTATCCAAAACCTCTGCAACCTCATAGAGGATCTAGGAAACCTGCCGTGATGGAATGCATGCTCTTTTAATCAAGTGTACAAATTGAACTGTTATGCCGTGTCACAGGCCGAATAGCACCTCGAAGCTTTCGCCTACTTCCGTTTTTCCCCCTCTCTGTGAGAATGAGTAGCCACCCAGAATCGCTGTGATTAGTTATTGCTGACCTCACTATGGGTCCTTCGGCAAGTGGGGGAGATTTCCCATGGAAAATGTCGGAGTTGTGGGGACAAAAGACCAACCCCCCATCCCCCGCAGAAGACAACCCCCGTTTTGACAAGCAAAAGCATGAGCATCCATAGGCCCAGACACGCGTTTGGAACTTAGGGAATACTAGCCCCCGCGCGGTGGAAATGCGGAGGAGAATAGCTCAAGCGCATAAAAGACAGCCTTGCCATCTCTGCTGCTAATCTTCATGCCTTCTTGAACCTGAGCACCTTGTTGCCTCAATAACTTAACCATAATGGCTGCTGCAGATCAAAAGGCCACAGTTGAGGCTATAGAGAATGTGAAGCCGCAGGATATGAAGGGTGCAGATAAGCTGCTGGTCGATGCGGCTGGCGAGGTTCAGCATCTACCAGTTCCCAGCAGCGATCCCAATGATCCACTGAATTTCACGATGTGGGAAAAAATGGCCATTATTATTAGCTGCTGCTGGTTTTGTGAGTCTGTTTATGTTTTCAACTCCGTCTATTCGGATATATATTCCAATGCTGACTTTGATGGTACCCAGCAATCATGTCCCTGTCAGTGGTAGGTGGTCTGGGAGCCGTTCTGAACGTCTTCTTTGAGATGTATATCCCGGAAGGAATCAGTGCAACTAAAGTTGTCTGGCTGGCTACTTTCCCATCTCCTTTCGTCGGCGTCGGTAAGTTGGTCTATGACAAGTTTGAAGTGATGGCCTTGACTGACGGCATAGGAAATTATTTGATCCTACCACTGGGCCTGATATATGGCCGCCGGTCGGCAACAATTGCCTCTATTATAATTCTTCTGGTTGCAACTGTTGGATGTGCAGTTTCACAGACATTTGGACAGCACCTTGGCTTGCGTATTCTCCAGGGTCTAGCTACGGGTGCTACGGAATCGGTTTGTCCCTCCATTGCTTCAAGTCAATTAAATGCTCACAAATTCCTCGTAGTTGCTTCCCCTAATCCTGTCGGAGGTGACATTTGTGCATCAGCGTGGAATGATCTTTGGCGTATACTGGGCAACGCAGAATGTGGTTACCAGCTGTCTAAATATCGCCAGTTCCTACGAGGTCGCGGCTCTAGGCTGGAGGTGGTTCTACTGGGTTTACGTTATTGCGATCGGTGTCGGCCTATTAATCGTTCTATTTGGGTGTTTCGAGACGAGCTACCGCCGACGAGCTCAAATCCTCAACGGCCAGGTGGTGGTGACGGACCAGTTCGGTGTCACACATGTACTGACTGGTACCCCGGCGCAGGCATATTTACAACAAATACAAGATGCAGATGACGAATCGACCATCCGGGACGAAGCACAACCAAAGAAGAGCTATCTGCAGATGCTCCGTCCGTACCAAAAGCCGGGCAAACAACCAGTTCAAACGATATTGATGGCCTGGTTGCACATGTTTGAAGCATTTAGTTCCCCGGGAATTCTATACTCCACCTTACTGTCGTCAGTAGTACTTGGATCCAGCATCGGGATGTCGTTGACCTATGATACCGTGCTTCTGAACTACGGCTGGTCGGCCAAAAATGTCGGCCTAATCAATCTCGGTGGCGTATTTGGCGGATTTGGGGGAATGCTGTACGCTGGTGTGTTTGGTGACTGGTTTATTTTGCGCATGGCCAAACGCTCCAATGGTGTCCATACCCCCGAGCACAGGTTGATTCTCCTGATCTTCCCTGGGATCTTAGGTGTGATTTCCTTGCTGCTCTACGGTTTCACGGCAGAAGGCAGTACTTGGGGGGGACCGTACATGGGCTGGGCATTGTTCCAGGTTACCTTTGTGTCGGTACTAGTTCTCTCGACCTCTTTCGCTGCCGAAGCTTGGGAGCAAAACCCTGGCCCGGCCTTGGTGGCGGTTGTTGGAACTAAGAACATCATTGGATTCGGACTTAGCTACGGGCTGGTTCCGATGGTAGCCAAGTATAGCTACCCAACTGCAATGGGAGTCTTAGCGGCAGTCACTGGCGGTGTTTTTTTGCTGGGGATCCCGGTATACTTCTTTAATCCTGCTGTGAGTGTTTATTCATCTTTTGCTAGATAAATCTTGGTTGTTAATGAATCACAGTGGAGTCGTTACATGCAAAGGCGGGAGTTGCAGAAAATAGATTCGCCTGTGGCCTGAGAGAGATCAGCCACCTTTACGTCGAGTGCTATGAGTGGGGATGGGTGGTAGTGTACTGCTTTAGGAATAAAGTCATAATATTGAGGTACATTATTGAAATTGCTGAGATTACTCCTTCTCTCATTCTCGTCTTCTGAGGCTCATATCCTTGACAAGGTTTTCTTCCCGGTGAAGAAGCTCTTTAATTTTAGAAATACCCTCTTGATCACCATCAACTATCCCATTCCGATCTTCTCCAACCCATCCTTGAGTATATCCACCTCCAAGGTCGATGACCAGACGTCATGATTCCTATTAATCAGAACATTCGCAGCTTTGGCGTCGCTCCAAATGATTCCAGCCTTATCCAGGTGAGACAATGTGGTTGTCACTTGCGAATCCCACTTTACCCGCAAACCGAAAGGTGTATCTAAAGTGGAAGCACACTCCAAAGTGGTATTATCGCAGTCAATCCAAGAAAGTAGAAGTCCAATGAGGGTACCATTTCATTTGTCCTGGACCACACCGTGTAGACGAGAGAAGTTCATAATATCTTGAGACTCAAATGTTTCTTCCATCATTCTGTAGATATTCATCTCGCGCAGTACACTTCTTTTGTTTCCCGAGTCCACTGGTTTAAAAAAGTAAAATATCCCACAGCAGAAGCTTTTCTAGGAAATCGAGAAAGTGGTTCCTCACAGTTGGTAGGCTGAATTATAATCTGCCCCGGCAGAAGAATAGCCAACTTGGGGAGAGTTTAACCTCGTTGAGGTTGAGACCATCGGACATTGACTCTTCTGGGACGCTATAATCCAAGAATGGTTCTAGGCGCCCATCGGAACCGCAGAGGATATAACGATATGTTTTAGGAGCCAGATATTCTTGATGAGTGACTGGAGCAGCTTGAGGGTGACTCAATTTTGTCGAAGATCGCTGAAAATGGCTTTGTAGCCCATTCCTGTAAATCTTGCTCTGCTGTCTCGGCAACCTCGTCATCGTCATCGGATACTAAATGTATCATTAGAATTTACGCCCGCAAAAGGGGGGTCCGTGGAGATTACCTGACGTTGCTTAGAGATAATTAGATGCGAAAACATTTGCCTTTACAGACCATAGGGATCTTTGCTGAGTTTCCCGCCAGACAGTCACTTGATCTATTCACCGAAATCCACTTCGGCACATTTGAACGAATTTGGAGAGTTTTGCATATCCACCCGTTCTTCAGCGACCTTGCCAAAGACTGGCAGTTTCCTGGAGCCTTTTCCGCAGACTTTGCGATCCAAATTTTTCTCGCGATATTGATCGGAAACAGCTTGGTGACCGGGGACTGGAGCAAGCTGTCCTTTGAACCGCCATGCGCTTCTGGAACACAGCCCTTTCATGGAGATCAGCTGCTGCGCTTGTCCAGAATACTGACATACATCTATCCGGACAGATGCGTCGATGCTTTTGACCAGAAGGATATATCGCTTTGAAACCCCTATTTCAGCTATCATTTCTAGCTATTTGGTCCGCAATGGCATGCTATTAGGCTTGCACCGCGAACCTTCACGATCTAAGTATTTTTCCGCAGAGGAGGCTGAGCTTCGACGTCGCCTGTGGTATACAATTCTGGAAATTGTCCTTTTATTCTCTATAGACAGCGGTATGCTGCCATCTATAGAACCAGACGCGTAGGATGCATCATATCCTTCTGCGACCAAGGATGATGACCTGAATATGGCGGGTGCGGGTCAGTCGCCACGCTTGTCTGTCCCAGAGGGAGGAACCGCCGCCACAGGCCTTGCAGCTTTGGCCAAATCGATATCCTGCCGAATGAAAATGGTGAAGGCCATTAATCAAATGAATCTTTCGCTTCCATGCGAAGAAGTTTTACGATTTGGGGCCGAGCTTCGGACAGAACAGAAATCATTTCATGATTATCTCTCGAACACCGAGCGCCTGGCTCGACACAATAATACCAGCGGCGTCGTCCACGATCTTGGCGACTTATTGTTCGAAAGGATGATCTTCTTATTACACAAAACGTTTGCTATCGAGTTCAGTCCCCAGGACGAATTCTCTGAGTATACCTGTCTCATGACCGCTCCCAGCATGTTGGAGAAGCTGCACAACACAGTTTTATATCGCGATAATATCAACCGCAACGTCGTTCGGAAATGATGAGTGTGCCTCTAGTCGTGCTCGACATCGGCTTCACCCGTATACACTTAATAACTATTTCGGGACCCACCGCTTGGGCCTTAGCGTAGATCAATCATTGAGCGGACCGCATTACGTTGAGAAATGCTGTAAGGATTAAACAAAATAACTACGTTAGCTGCAAAAAGATATACATTCATGAACATAAGTAGCTATCTCTCTAGATTTTGAAAACCGAGCATCTGGTCGTTGAGCTATACCCGTGTTATTTTACTACTCTGGTCAAGTGCTCACTTGGCATGGGGAATCTGTGCCATGCTATCGGAATAATATTCGGCCTAACTCGTTAGTTGGAAACCCTCACGAAGAGAGAGGCCACTTCATAATTACACATTTTACTGAGGGCGGATTATTTTCTGCTTTGGATTGAAAGACACATGCCCTTCCTCTCTCATTATTACAGATGTATGGTAACTGCTAGTGGTTCTTGTGCCTTTATTAAATTTGAACTAAATAAAGAAATTTCCTGAGGTGGGAGCGAGCAAGGTCACGGAGATTGGAAAGCGTCACCGACGATATAGGCAATCACCTCTGGAATATCCCAGATAGTTGGCTTTGAAACTCTCAATAATCTTTTTCTTGCCCGTCGGAAATGGTGTCGGATTGCTACAAAGTTATTGTTTTGTCGAGTTGTCCGTCACAGAAAATATCCGGAAGATTTCAATAAGATTCTTGCGCGAGACGACCTGTCTGTAGTGCAGTGAGCCTATCTTGGAAGGGCTTCAAAGATAGGGCTTCTAAAATTTTGAATTTCGGCTTCAGAGCCTGAGGACACAAGCAATTGGATGCGAAATGAATTTCTCACATGTTACGCCATGAAAAGTTACCTTCAAGTCAATGAGGACTTTAAGTCATCTCGCCCCATTGTTCTCCGAGTCCTACTTAAACAACACACGCCAATATTTGCAGAGGTTGTGGCACAAAGAGGTAAGTAGAGGCAAGATAGTCTTGCCCATACTTTATAAACACCATTTTACGCCCACGCCCCAATAACAAACTGACTATTGCACATATTGGTCAATTCCCAGTCCTCCGCCGCGAGAGCCCCCTTGGACCCCGTATCTTCCACATCGCCCGCTGCACCCGCAACAAACATCGCCGGCATAAAATGCTCGTCTGTGCCATGGGCATCACGAAAGAGCGGATGTTTCATGAGTCTGGCCATCGAGCGCCGCAGCTGTGGCCCCGAGGACTTGGTAATAACATCCTCCACAGCCTGTCTAAATTCCAGCGCCCACGGCTCGGGAGGCACGGGCATCGCGAAATTATCCCTATACCGCACCAACGGCATCCAGTGATTCCGATAGAGATTGTGCACTGCTCCCCCGGACCCAATAAGCAGGTACCCTTCCCTGCGTAAGGGGCGGAGAATGGAGCCCAGGCGCATGTGAAAGTGTGGATCGTAGCGCATATTGCAGGAGAGGAGGACAGTGGGCGGACACCCCTTCGGGAACATGCGAATGAGAATGAGGTACGTGTCGTGGATCCAGTCGAAGGATTCGTTCGGGACAGCATCGACGCCTGCTGCTCGGAGCAACTCGATGCACCGCTGGCCTGTTGCGAGGTCAGGGTTTAGCTTGTAGTCGACGTATTTGGATGGGTGGACGTAGGCAACGGGGCTTTTGGATGGGTTAGGGTTCATTGCGACTTCTATTCGGCGGTGGCCGACGGTTCCCCAGTGTGCGCCCTTCTTCGTTAGCTTGCTTTCGAGATGATGGTCGGGTATCGGTTGAGGGTGCTTACCATCATAATAATGCCCTTGATGTTATGTGCGAGGGCCTCGTCACCGCTGGCCTGCCAGAAGTTCGCGGACGCGGATTCCTCTCCGAGCATCATGGTGGACCCATGGGAGAAGAAGTAGACGGGTGTCAATTGCTCCCTGGTATCTTTAAGAAAGGAGAGAAGTTGGTAAGGAGCTACTCTATGGAAAATTGACGAGTGAGACGTTACCTTTGAGTGCCATAATAATATACAAGTGCTTGCTATCTCAGCAAAGGTTGTGCCAAAAGGTTGTTACTTTCAGGCAGCTTGAGGGTACCTCCGAGTAATGCGACGTGCCATATTTCGAAAACCTGGGACTGTTTCATCAGTCGTATAGAAATAATATCGAGCTAGTACTAACTGGCAACTTACACGGCCCAGCCTAACATTGGTGAAATGCGGGCATCCGAACTGTTCGGAAAGTGGGTCTTTATTCGGGCTTGACCGGTGTTCCCCGGCTTTTACGAAATAATCTTACCTGTCTATTCATCCAGATACCCCCTTATTTCTTGAATGAAACTCTCGTCTCTCTCTTCTCGGCATTTATTTGTTGGAGTTGTATGTTCTATATGACAGTTCGTAGCGTCCCTTTGAATGTCCCGAGTACCACCAGTTTACTTGTGTAACGGGAGTACTGCCATGCGCTATGCAGAGAAGGTGCAACTAGATTCTATTCTTGAAAGAAGCATTGCCAAATTTATGCAATGGTAGAGCAAAATATGAATCGGAGCATTTAGGAGTCAGTTCAATAGTTCTTTCGCCACTCCTTTGCTTTCCAGCAGACGCCCAATAAGCCCTTGACGGTTGGTGCCCGCACGTTCCCCGCATCTGACGGCGTGGGCTAGAGCCCCTCTGGGGCTTGACATCCAAATTTCAAATAGTACTTCATCCTGCCACAAAAGCTTCTCCCGCACCGATAGTCACAACAGAAATCCATTGCAGATCTATGATTTCCACCACATGCCTCCAACACAGCCGTTAAGAAACAACCCCGGCGATTTCCAATGCAGCCGCTGCCAACGTACATTCACCCGCGCCGACCACCTGTCGCGGCATGTCCGGATCCACACGCAAGAGAAGCCATTTGCATGTCTTCTGTGTCAAAAGAGTTTCAACAGAGCCGACATGCTCAAGCGGCATGCATGCCTGCGGCGCGCGGCTGTCAACGATAAACAGCTGGAGGAGCTGGCCGCCAGTCAGACGAAAAATGTACGCGTAAGCCAAGCGTGTGTCACCTGCGCAGCCTCCAAGCTCAAATGTAGCGAGGAGAAGCCGTGTGAACGATGTAAGGACAGGGAAATTGTGTGTCAGTTTCAGCAAATTGGGGATGGGACGAAAGCTAGCCAGTCATCGTCGGGTGATTCTCCGTCTGAGAAGACAAGCGCTCACCAAAATATGAATGAGTACCCGACAAATGGAAGCAACGACATTATGGGAATCCAATCTCCCATTACCCGACTGCCGTTAGAACAGCTGCCATGTGTTGACGCGCTTCCGCCGCCAGAGGCCCCCATTCAATCAGCCTGCGATCGGGGCCAGGAGGAATCTGCGGAGCGAACGAAGCGTTCAGGATTTGCATACGAAAATGCTCAACAAGATATACCATCCAAAGTTCCTCGCATCGACAGCGGAAATGTGCACGGCGACTCCCTGAAAGATCTGCAGCTTGCAGTAGGGCCAAAATTGCATGCGCAGAACCCCGATTTTCCCGTAATGAGCAATCAAAATCAGATATCAGATCCGTATATCGATTCATCGAGAGATCTGCCCTCTTTTCTCACGTCAGACGATCATAGCGCGGATGCACCATATCGGAGTGGTGCACAAACCCCCTTGAACATGTGGGAGGGGTTTCTCACCACTCCCTTCGACTGGGACACGGAACTGCAGAATATACAGATAACAGATCTTCTGTCCCCATTATGTAACTCTCCTGACTCGGCGGTGTTGGCTGCGGATGGCCGGAGGAAAGATGGAGTCGATACAGTCTGCCGTGACGAGGATGCTCTGGTGATGGGGGTGAAAGCATACAGATCGTCTTTCTGGCACCGGGTTCCAAGCCCGACAGCCACTAATAATCCCGACGATTGCCGCTTGATATTGACCCCTGATGTGGTGAATGGGTCGCCCGAGATCTTACAGTCGGGCTCCTGGACAGGGAACCTTCGAGTGCTGCAGAATTCCGACAGAGGTCGCCTTCTGGATCTATTGATCAGCCACTGCGAGAAGAAGGATGCAGTTCACATTCTGTCTTCATTTCCTTCTCTGGACTTTCTTCGCGGCTTAGTCGGGCTGTTTTTCAAGGCGCAGGCAGGACACACACCCAGCTTCATCCACAGATCTACATTTGACCCGGAGACTACCTGCTCGCCTTTACTCGCGGCAGTCATTGCCTACGGGGCCTGCTCAAGCTACACCCCTGCGGTCCAGCGCCTCGGGTACGCTATTATGGATGTTGTGCTTCTAGCAATCATGGCAGAATGGCAACCGGGCAACACATTCGCTCGAGACACGCAACTTGTTCAGGGGCTCACGCTTGCTCTAACAGTGTGCCTCTGGAGCGGAGATAATTGTAGACTAGAGGCAGCGGAGACATTCTCGCAATCTGCTGTGACCGCTGTCCGACGAGCTGGGCTTTTCCGAAACCAACACACCAGTGAGAGCTGCCCCACCGCCCCAGTGGAATCGGACCAAGGGCAGCAGCTTGAAGACGTCTGGCAGCGGTGGATCGCCCAAGAGACAGAACGGCGTCTTGCCTATCATATATTTGTTTTCGATAGCGAGCTGTCGATGGTGCAGTTGACGAGTCCGCTGATCTCGTGCGGCGAGATGAACGCTGCTTTCCCTGAGAAGGAGGAGCTCTGGCGCTCCCCTTCAGCTACGGAGTGGAAAACGCGATATCATCAGTTCTCGAACTTCCCTTCGTCGTTCAAACGGGACACCAACTTCTCCCTCGCCACGAGCACCCGGTGGACACTGAGCGGCTATTTCGCCGAGAATGAGGGCGGACTGCGCGACGAAGAGGGGATCTTGACTGTATACGGGCTCTGGCGTTTTACGTTTGCATGCCGCCAATCTCAAGATCTATTGAGCGGCAGCTACGAGGATCACCTCGACGTGGGATGGCTGACAGCCCACACAAAAGCCCTGTCCAAGCAATTAACGGACCTGGTCAAGCGCGGCTGCCATCCTGTTGACCCTGTGGCAAATGTCAGGCTCAATTTGCTGAAAGAGTTCCTCTGCTTGACCTTGTGTGCGCCGTTAGAGAACCTGCAGAGCTTCACGGGCAAGTCCGGAGTGGATGTTGGCGCCGAAATCTTTCCCTCGCTGCAGGAATGGGTGATGAGCAGGGGCGCCCGCGAGGCGACATGGCATGCAGGCAAAGTGCTTCACGAAGCCTCTCGACTCCCAGGAGTCTTTACGGGAGGATTCTTTGTCATTGCTGTCTATCACGCCGCTATCACTCTGTTTGCGTACGGGGTTATTAGGGCCTCTCGTAGCCGACAGGAAGGCAAAGTGACCACGAAACCAACCTGGCCGGCGCCTCCGTTATTTGAGGGCACTGTTTGGCTCTCCGGAAGCTCGTGGTCAGAGGTAAGGGGCTATATTGCGCTGTGTGAGGGCCACCCGGCGGTTGGGCACCCGAGTGGTAAGGGTCGTGGCAGGTATGCCTACTTGGCAAACGGATGTGAAATTATGAATTACGCAATTAATATACTGAAGCCTGAGGGAGCTGAGAGCCAAGGGGAAATCACGCCTTTGATAGCGAACCTGGCACAGCTGATGCTGGAGATTGGGCGTTGCGCTCGGGCTGCGGGCCATAATTGATATTTGCGTCAGCTGAAGCGGAAGTGCGAGTTTTATGTGATCCTAGAAGAAACCAGTTCGATCCAGGCATTCTGATTGTCTTTCTCCATGCAAGGTTGTCTCCCTCCGCAGCCTGACGGCCGTAAAAACTAGGGCCGGCTGCCCTCCCCAACCGATCTCGGGTCGGTCTGGTCCCACGCATGTATATACGCCCCCTCGAATAAGACCACTGTTCTACGCGCCATACATTTCAGCTGATTATTCTCCTTTACTGCTATTATACCTTTGCTACCATTAAGTGTACCAACCAGAAACCATGCCAAACACCCCTCACAACCTCCCACAAACCCACTGCTACTTCACAGCCCACGATGCATTAGGCAATGCTATCTTCTACGACAAACCAGAAGAAGTGAACATGAAGCCACTGGGGCCAGCCCTCTTCAGTGTCCTCTTCACAACCAACAAGTTTCCGCACGAGTTCGACGACGACAAGGATGTCGTGTCGTTCCTCAACTACAAGGGCATCGTGCCCGTCTCAATGCCCAACGGGACTGTCGTCCGGATCGTCGATCTAGCCCCAGATGAGGCATCCCCTATGCATCGCACAACGAGTCTTGACTACGGAGTTGTGCTAGAGGGTGAAGTCCTCCTCGTCCTGGAGGATTTGGATAACGGTCCGAGACGGCTGATGAAACGGGGTGACGTGAGTGTGCAGCGGGCGACGAACCATGCGTGGGTCAACCCTTCGAAGGACACTTGGAGTCGTATGTTGTATGTCCTTGTTGATGCTAAGCCGGTGAAAGTTGGGGGAAGGCTTTGCCGGACCACGGGATTGGGGACATTGATATGCCAGAGCAATAGAGTTGTATTATGTATGTTTCTTCAAGTTTATGCCATTACATCTGTAGATAATATATCTAAGGCCATATGACCCGCTAAATATTGTGGCAAATTGAGATGGACCTGAGGATGATCCAACATACGACATACTGCTGGCAGACCAACTGGTGTCTAGGGCATCTTTTTAGGTACTGAAAGACCGTGCTCTGTTACAGTTATTGTTACAGTCCTCGAGAATGAAGTACCAAAAGGAAATTCGTACCGTTCCCTTCTCAGCTATCTCAAAAGAGTTCCCAAACATAATATGCCTACATCTAGGCTGGCGAGAAGAGACTATGACCGGCTCACTGCCGCACTGTCGTGATGAGTCAACGACAATGATGTTCCCCAATCAATGGGATTTGGAGTGCGGGGAAGATTTCCTGGGGCCGATGCTTTCGGACTATCCGGACGGATGGTGCGGGGGGGGGGGAGACAGACTGGGGTGTTTCAAGCGAACTACGTTCATTGTGGAGGAATTCCCCCAGAATTTCCTGGATATCGCATATAATTCAGTAGTGGACTTTGATTGCGACGGTTGTGGCGACGTTGAAATGGCGGTCGCCACATATATATGCCACAGCCACCTGTGCCTGCCAGATGTGGGTGATAGAGCCTCCTTATACCTCTTCAGATATCTTCAAGCGTAGTTTCTTGGCCTTCATACCCCGGCCGTAGTTTGTTCAAAAATTGTCGGTGACCCTGTAATGCGTATTGGGTAAGAGATCCACGCGAAACCGAGAGTTCTCATAATTGCCTCACGTACGTGGGTCCAGATTAGTTCATAGAATTCCAGTCAGATAAAGCCAGAGCCATAATCCGGTCTCCGGTAACTCAATTGAAGCAGTGGAAAAGGGAGGAAGGAGGCGCTGACGAATCGGGTGCTGTGTGCCCACGGTAGCCGGAACTGATTTTCTCTCAGTAAAGTGGAAAGAGGAGGACTATAGGATAGGGTCTCTAACTTTCAGAATCTATCTCCCACCCCACGGATACATGATAACCCTCTCAGACCGTGCTGTACGAGTTACCAGACAGACCTTGCGGTAGCCACAATGGCCGAATTTACTTACCCAGTTCACTTCCACAACATGCCTTCAAGCCCGCTTTTGATCTTCGCTCTATCCGTTCTGCTGCTACTCTACATCGCATCTCAACGCCTCACCAGTCCTATTGCAGGAATCCCCGGACCAGTCTTAGCATCCCTGTCACGCGTATGGATGGCATACCATTCTTATCGAGGGAGAATGCACATCGTCATGCGCGAACTCCACAGCCGATATGGAAGCCTAGTCCGTACCGCACCAAATGAAATCAGCGTTGCGGACATTAGCGCAATCAAGGAGATATACGGACCCGGCTCAAAGTTCCGCAAAGGCCCATGGTACAGCGTCTGGAAGGGAACTCAAAAAGTCGATTTATTCGCCGAGCGCGATATCGGGGTCCACGCTGCTCTGCGACGCAATGTTTCGCGAATGTACTCCATGAGCAGTGTTACCTCCCTGGAACCATGGGTTGACAATGCTATCAGCTGCTTCATGGACCAGATGCGGGACCGCGTAAATCAGCCCATCGACTTCGGCATGTGGCTCCAGCTGCTTGCCTTTGATGTGATCGGGGAGATCTCATTTTCTCGGCGCCTTGGATTCCTCGAGGCAGGTCAAGACGATGGAACGTTGAATCGCATTGAACGCGCTCTTCGCTCCCTGTGTTGGGTCGGTCAGGTCCCCTGGGTGTACTGGTTGGAGCATTATCTATCTCCCATCTTTGGATATCATCTCGATGTCAAACTACGGCATGGCAAGATCCGTAACACCGCAGCGAAGGAGGTTTCAGCGCGCAAGACCCGGCAAACTGAGCATCAGGATATCCTAGGCCATCTGTTCCAAGTCCAGCAGGCGAGGCCGGATCAAGTCGACGAAAACGCAGTGACCTCGATTGCGACGGCGAATATCTTTGCTGGCTCGGACACAACCGCGATATCTCTCCGAGCTGTGTTTTATTTCCTGCTCAAGAACCCACGGTGTCTGAATAAGCTGAGAGACGATATTCAAACGAGACACGCGGACGGGAGATTGTCCTTCCCTGTGCGGTTCTCCCAGGCCAGTGATATGCCCTATCTCCAAGCTTGTATCAATGAAGCTCTTCGTCTTCACCCGGCCGTCGGGATGAGCTTACCCCGGGTGGTGCCCCCGGGAGGTATGACAATTGGATCGCAATTCATCCCGGAAGGGGTAAGTATCCCTCCCTGCCCTTTACTTCTGCATTATTATCTGTGAAATGCAGAATCTCATCAGAAACAGACAATCGTTGGCGCCAACGCGTGGGTGATCCATCGCGATCCGGCCGTCTGGGGTGCAGACGTTGAAACGTATCGACCAGAGAGATGGATCGAAGGAAACCGGGGCGAGATGGAACGATGCTTCCTTGCATTTGGTGGTGGCGCTCGCTCTTGTATCGGAAAGAGTATGTTGTATATCCAACTCGTCTGGACCGCTGCGTGCTAACGAACGACAGACATAAGTATTCTAGAGATGAGCAAACTGATACCAGCAATACTCCACACTTTTCAAATCGAGCTTGAAGAGCCGGATAGGCCGTTGGAGGAGAAGTGCTACTGGTTTGTCAAGCAGGAGGGATTCGTTGTGCGGATGAGTCTGCGAAGGGTGGAAGCGTAGTGCCTCTACGACCAGAATAGCTTTACAGAACTTTTAGGCTTTACTTCATGGGTCTTTCCCGCGACCTTCTACATGTGCAAAAGCGCTTACGGGTACGATATTCAGCTTATCAATTAAACATAGCGTGGCAATATACGCATTGTCTTCTATTGAAACTCTAGTCCAAAGAATATACTCACGCACTCTCACCGCTCAATGGGATAACAACCACCCACAGTCAATCTCAATTTGTTGCCCGGTCATTGACCGATTCCTCGCAATTGACAGATATATCTCAGCGCACTGGCGCACATCAGGCACCTCCCGCAAACTTGTTTCGTCTCGCCACCGCTGTATATACTCAGGCGAATAGCGCTGGCCCCAATCCGTCAACAACAGCCCCGGAATAACAGAGTTGACCCTGATTTTCGGACCCTGCGTTTGAGCCAGGCACTTCATCAAGTGCAATCCTGCAGCCTTGGTGACAGAGTAGGCCATACTGCTCCCACTTGGAGACACACCCGCTATGGAGGCCGTATAAATATAGACACCCCCGTCCGGATTCGCGTTGAGCGTGTCCTTTGCGGCGCGGAACATGTGCAGACTACTCTTGACGTTCGTCGCCCAGCACTTGTCCCACTCTTCCTCGCTGAGCGCGGAGAGATCTGCGAAGTCGCTGAAGGCGGTCCATGCGGCGTTGGCGATGACGATATCGAGGCCGCCGAGGCCGCTTACAGTTTCCTGTACTAATCTCTCGCAGTCTTTTGCGATGCCTACGTCCTGCGCTGCTGATCAGCTTTGCTTTTTTATCTCTATTTCTCGTCCCCCGTCGGCGGGGCGGAGGAGTACTCACGGCCTGGATGGTAATCGCGCGGATACCATACTGTTCGGCCAGATTCGCTGCTACTTCATCTGCCACTGTGCCGTTTGACATGTAGTTTATGGCTACCTGGACACCTTGCGCGGCTAGCAGCTCTGCAATCACCTTGCCGAGTCCCTTAGAGCCCCCTGTAATCAGGGCTCTACGGCCTTTCAAAGCGTATGACATCTAGAGGAGCTTGGGAATCGAGCTGTTTGAAGGAGGATCGGAGGATAGATACTATTTGGAAGCACCAGCGCTGCTAAACCAACAAAACTGAAGTTGTATTTTCTTTCCTTCGGAACTTGGTCGATGTGTCAATCAGCCTATTCGGCAGTGAAAGCCGTGATGTACATTTCGAATCGGAGGCATGCCCGCCGGCCCCGCAGATCCGATGTCTCTCCCGAAGAGTTATACCGTGGTACCCAAAGGCAAGGCACTCGTAAAACAGTCACATGCTTCTTTTGAGAGTTATTGTAATTTTATATTATAATTTCGCCGTCCATTGTTGGTGAACCTCAACACTTTATTTGCTAGACTAGAGCTACACTACCAGCCCGCTATGCCGCCAGCCTCGAGACAGAATATACACCCTGTACTCTTATGCCGGAGGAATGATAGGAAACGTAACGTAATTCTCCCAAACGGGCCCAAAACGTAAAGAATTTACCCCCTGAAACCTCTCAAGAGGTCTATCCCTCGGGTGATTATGCTGGAAGATCCCCGAACCCTCCGTGTCGCCGGAGGCCACTTCAAGAACCAGTTTTCCACCCTTTCCAACCACGACCGAGGTAGGCCAGAGCTCGACATCCACAGAGTATACCTCCCCGGGTAGTACAGGGAGAATATCAGTTGAAAGGTATTCACGGTATGGAAGCCACGACCGGTGGCGTGGGTGGTTCTCGTTGACCTTCCGCAGGCTGACTCTGAGCCAGCCACGGCATGCTGGGACTGGATCACCTGCACTCCCAGTGTAGTTGATTTCTTGTCCCTCTGGAGAGATGTGTCGGAGGGTAACGAAGAGGTCTATGTCCCGTGGGGATTCGCTATCGAAGTCTGCTTCGAGCGAGACACACAGATGCGCTACAATGTGGCCAGTAACCTCTGTCTCACGTTCGAAGGCCAGGCTGGTAAATTGCAGGAAGTGCGGGTCTTTCAGTGGCCCTGGAGCCTTATAGGAGAGTTTGGCGTAGGGTGATGTAGATGATGGCTTGATGGGCTGGAGGCCATAGTCCGGTGTCAGGTAGTACTTCGTGTACTCGGTGCGTGCCAGGGGCCATTCATTTTCAGTTCGACGAGGGAAAGTCATCTCCGCGGCCTCGTCATTACAGGGAACATTCCCCTTCCGCAGGACAAGGTCAACGGGAGGGACCTCTCCCTTCCTAGACCACCCAACCCGATCATCATCGCGGAGAAAGGCATCCAGGAAGCTCCGTTGCAACTCCACCTCCTCATCGCGATAGAACGGAAGATCGTGCCTCCCCGTAATGAAGCGAATATACTTCAACTCTGAGCCTGCATGGAGAAAACCCTGAACATTCCCTCGCAAGTGCACTGTGATACCACCCCAGTTTGCCACGGAAAGGAGCGGCACCTCGATATCCTCCAGCGCATATTCCTTCGAGGCATAATACACATCGTCTCGAAACTGGTTGCTCGCGTTATCTAGGGTCTGGTGTCTCCGCAGCTGTTCTAGCTGGTCGTCTGAAAGCTCGCCCTCAATCGTGTCAGGTCCCCAGTTACTTGCCGCTCGGCCGGGCCGGCCATACTGGTTTGTGACGACTTGGCGGTTATACCAGAAATCAATGAATCCATTGGCGAAGATACCACCATGGCGACAGCGGTCCCGATAGTAGTCGCTCATTCCTTCCCAGGGCACAATTGCCTTGAGACCTTTGGGTCTCCTCGCTGCCACGCGCCACTGGCTCCCTGCGTAGTAGCTGATTCCCAGCAGGCCAACATGGCCAGATGACCAGGCCTGCTCTGCACACCATTCAACTACGTCGAAGAAGGCCTCGCTCGTTCCGCGGGACATGGTATCAAGCATTCCAGGGGATTGCCCCGTGCCACGTTCATCCGCACGCACGACCACATACCCGTGCTGTGTCCAGTAGAGAGGGTCTGGGGTTTCCCAGCACGAATGCTCGGATTGCTGATTCGGATTCACCTCTGCGAAGGAGCGGCCGTGGAAATCGCGGTAATGTATATCTTTCCCGTAGGGACCGTACGTAACCAGGACAGGATAAATGGAGGACTCATCATTCGGGCGATAGATATTGCAGCGGATGACGGCCGATGCATCCAAAATGGCGGTCGTTTTCAAGGGGATGGATACATTCTGCTCGAAGATGTAAGGGAAAGACGTTTTGTCCTGCGTTGAGATGTCACGTATTCGATGGGCGAGGTCTTCCATGACGAGAAGGTGAGAGAAGGTGTGATCAACGTTCGATGCAGTCCATGAGCTCACTAGATCAAGTTGGGAGCTGCAGGCCGGCCATAATATGTAGTAGCTTTTTCTCGGCCCCGCAAGTGGCTATGCTATCCGAAGCCATGCTTGTGCTCCACTCGGCCTGGTCTATCAATTTCACTCCCGAGTATGGCTTCGACGAGAATATGGCTACAATCTCATTGATGGGAAACAGCAGGGAAAGCCGTCGCGTCTATGAAGGGACTTTATCATCGTTTGAAAAACAGCCCATTCTAAATATATCTGCTGTGCTGGGTACGTATCCTCCCAGGCATCCTCATAGTTCGCCCCCAACACCGTACCTGAACCACCCATTGTTGAGCCGTCCACCGGTGTTTCGCCAGATATGCGCGACCGACTTTCGAAGGCCCGTCAGTTCACCTGATGGTCTTCCGCTGACACGAAGAAACGACTAATTGCTCACCGCATTGATATGGCATCCATTCAGCATCATGAAGGCAAACACAGCCTCGGCCGTATTTCGTGCTCCTCGTTCAGAGTAATCGAGGTTCGTGTTTATTGGACGATGAGGCGGAATCCGGCGATGCTCTGACGGCCAGTTGTTCGGCGCTGGAGAGGATGTATCGTGAGCCCTATTGCGGTCGCTGGGTTCTGGCCTCAGGGTAGAGTGGTGTATCTCATAGTCCGTCAATATCTGTGTTACCGTCAGAGCAGGTGATGACTCGGTGACTGTTTCGGACATTATGGATGGGGTTGGATGTATCGGTTTGAAAAGCTGGAGGGAAACCAGACAAAAAATATGGTTAGGAACGGTTTGCAGTCGTCGGAAGAACGAAGACTAATCCTGTCAACAGCGATCAGAAGAAGAGCTCCTAGAGAAAAACCGGTTAGGATTAGTGAGGGGCCTACAGTAGTCACAGCACCCTCTGTTCGGCTCTTCGGCCCCGCATGTTGGCGCGTTGGTCTGCGAGTGCAATTGCCCTCAAATGCAATAATACGGACTATCATTTTAATTGTACATTTCTAGAAGTTTTCCGCTACAGTTACTAGACTGTACTGCAGATTATCTTTTGTTAATTGCTCGCCTACATAATCCAAGGCCATAAAATGGGATCACCATCACAGATCAGCATTTCAAGCACCAATGCATCCATCGTCGCACGCTTAGGCGCCGCACGCATCGATGGCCGCAGTGAAAACCTCCGGCACCGGCAGGACGAACTTCGATCCCTCCATGAAGCACTCTCCAAAGCTCACGAGCAGCTTCAAGCAGCGATGCTAGCAGACACTGGGCACTCAGCAGCGGAGATCAACCTCGAGTTCTCCATGGCTCTGCAGACGGTGTGCCACCACTACGATTCGCTGGATTTCCGGCAGGCCCAGGACGAGGAATACCAGGTTGAACAGGGACATGACCACACAGGGCGGCGCATGAACGTGGGAGTGGTGTATATCAGACCCTCGGCGCTGTCATCGTTGTTCTCGGTTGTTGCGCCGTTGGCGGCAGCGATGGCGGCGGGAAATGTTTTGATATTGGAGGTAAATTGGTCTCGGAGATGCGATGAGCCGAGCGCTAACGAAGGGTTGCTTTTTTGGCACTATCTAGGTATTAGCGACGCTGTACCAACTACCCCACCTGCTCTCGAAGGTCCTCGTCGAAGCTCTGGACGCTGATACCTTTGCGATTGTCTCAACGCCTCTCAGCGATGAGGCACTCCGATATTTATCCGCTCACAGGGTTCTGACCGATCTCGGTCGACCTGCGGATGACACCCATGCAAACGTTCTCGCATCCTGCTCAGGCAGCCGGGTGATCGGAGTCGTCGACCGCACCGCCGACATCACGCAAGCAGCTAAGGCAATAGTCCGAGCACGATTTGCCTTTCAGGGCAAATCTGTTTACGCACCAGATGTCATTCTGGTCAATGAATTCGTGAAAAGCTCACTCCTCGAGAGCGTGGTCAAGGAGGCGACAGTTTACTTAAGCCAGACGCCTGCCAGGAATACAGAGCCAGCAGTGCTCCGACAGCACGCAGCAGTCCGGAAACAGATGGCCAGCATCGTGGCAGAGAATCGGGGAAATATAATTGCCCTGGGCGAGGCAGCGGGTATAATGGACCTGGCGTCTAGGTAAGCCGCTTGCTGTTTTATTGTCAGAGAACGCGTTGACTAAAATACTCAGAAGAGACGCAGCCATCCTCGCGACTAAGATGACGTTGCCTCTACTTGTCTTTCTGTCGTGCACGAGCCTTGATGATGCTATCAACTTTGCCAGCTGTAATAGCGACGACGACCTCCTCGTTGGCACTCCATACTTGGCCTCCTACGTATTTGGAAGTCCAGAAGTCGCTCGATACCTGTCTCAAGGGCTGAGTGCCTGCGCCTCATTCTTAAATCATATTCCAGTTGAGATCTTAGGTACAAAAAAATAAATAAAACTCCTTGTCCACATCCGGGAAACAGTCAGGCTAACAGTGTACTCGTCCTCGGGTTTAGTTGGTCCCGCTGGCCCAGCTGGACACCCACTCGACGCGAAACACCGGTATACGAAAGCAATGTTCGAAGTCCCTCGGCCACAATTCGTCGCGAACGCCCACGCCGGCGTGCCCTTCAAAGACGCCGTCGTGATCAACCCGGCGGCAGCAGCTAAACTGCTGAACTCTGCCCTTAAACCGCTCAAGCCCACAGACCAGCCATTTCAGGTCTCATCCATTGGCTTCTTCGAGCAGGGCTTGCTCACATCGCTGGCAATTGCAATGACTCCCGTAGTGGTCGGGATTGGCTACGGGATGTATTTGGCTGGAAAATGGCTATTGCCTTATGTTCGAAGGTAGATTATTTGTATTTCTAGTATTAAGGAGTGGTTTGGTCTAATAGACTGCATCATTACGACATGCTCGAACTTGGTTTAACACGTAAGCATCATGGCAGACCTCAGTCATCATCGGGGTAAGAATCATAGGGACTCAATTCTATTTGCGCATTGTCTAAGTAGGAGAGCTGGAAGAGATCTAAGTAAAAGTGAAGAGGACACTGTGATTGCACCCCCGGTTTAGATCTACTCTCACATGTGCATGTACAATGTCATGGCATGTCAGATCTCATATCACGCTCACTTCATCTAACACCATTCTATATCTCTCAATTTCCCTATATCGCAGGAGCGACTGTACCCACCAGCTGCCCAAAGCCAATTCTGGCATTCTCAATGCCAGTCGCCCAGGCCTCCATGATCACAGAGTCAAAGTCATTCAAGTACATCCCCCCGGTTTGAGGAACCTCGCGGGTCCCATCCCAGGTGATTTCAAAGAGACAGCCGTTTCGTGCTACAGAGCGGTCCGGCCAGTCTGATTCCTATTAGTCGTTGAAAGAAGAAAAAAATCAGTTCCCTCTGTCTTGCATATAATAGTTCTATGGAGGGTCAAAAAGAAAGGCGTACACTTACAGGAGACGAGACGGTGCCACCTCCTAGTAATTCTCCTGTAAGTAACCCGCAGCCTGAGCTCGCCCGGTGTGCGATGCATTGCGCCGGCGTGAAGTACGAGTGTTTGTAGTTCGAGGTCGACACGTGAGCAGGTTGCTGGCCAGTTCCTAGAAACAGTGAGATGCTTAACTCCCTGGTAGTGGTGTCTGGCTCCAAACAGGCAATTACTTACGAGTTATGGAGACATCGAACGCAATATCATACGACTTGTCCTTTAGACTTGTATGTCGAACATGGACCGGGGGATCCTCTCGTCTTTGGTGAAACGGGCTCACCCTCGACGCCTCAAGCGCCTCAGGAACAACAACCCATGGCGAGATGTGACTCGCAAACGCCTTGCAATTGAACGGGCCCGCAGGCATGCTTTCGTACATCTGGATATCTCGCGCGGACCAGTCATTCAGTAGAACATAGCCGAATATGTAGTCTTCCGCTGTATCGGGGTCCAGTAACTGGCCAAATGGAAGACTAGTAGAGAGGAGGATGCCGAGTTCCATCTCGTAATCTAGCTTTCGGACTGCCTGGTACTCCACGATGCCTGTTTCAGGGGTTTTGAATACGCCCCGGGGGCGGGGAAAGCTGGTGCCGCTGGGAAGGATCGAAGAGGCTCGGCCGTTGTAGGCCATGGGGGATTTGTAGAAGTTGCTCTCTGGGCCGAAACTGATGTTTGATAGAGCGAAGCACTGCGAGTGTTAGGTATCGTACTTGAAAAATCCAGAAGCAATTGGGGTAAGTCTAGGGCAGAGAGTAGGCCAGCCACTCACATTACCAACATGTTCCTCGAAACAGCTAAAATCCGTGAATGCAGGAATATGCATTGGAAGATGCATGTTCACGTCTTCCAGTCTGTGAAATGCCCTAGAGTTCAAATTCTCACTGCCGAAGAGCTTGCTCTCAGGATCTTGTAATATTTGAATAATCGCTTCTCGCACTTTCCGTCTGACGTCTTTTCCAAGGGCGGCAAACGTGTTCAGAGTGGGCTACACTTGCGTGAGTTTGTAATAATTCACTTTGCTATTGTGTTAAGCGTACCTGAGAGAAAGAATTTGCAGATAAGGAGAGTACTGTGTCAAACAATCCTTCATATTCCAGAAGAGCCAGGTCAAGGACCCAATTTCCGATGACTGTGGCAGCTCTGGGCGCGCGGTTTGCTTCATCGGAAAAAATGCCGAAAGGGATATTCTGGATGGGAAAGGGGCTGTTTTCCGGGACTTGGATTGGATAGGCTGGCATTCTGAAAGCTGATGGATTTGAGCTCGTGAAGTATAGATGGTAGAATAGCGACGCTCAGAGATAGCATGAATATTGGCGATCAAATGCTATCATCAACTAAACTTGGAAACGAGTTCCTTGAAATATGGACGAGCCTAGACGACACACTTGTACTGAAGCATAATAGGAGCAAATGAGATGTTTAGTTACTCCGCACTGTTCCTCTTGAATGTATCTCCGGTGTTACGTAGGCTCTCGGCTCCCCACCCCCGCAACCGAACCCCCGCGGAAGCTCCCCCAGGATTGAGTTGAGTTGTAGTTCACTGCTCAGAGTCGGAAAAGGCGGACGAATAAAGAATTAGTAACGATATAAGTGCAACCAGCTCCTTAAAGCCGACCGAATACCACCTGTCTATGTGTTGTCTCAAACACTCTCATTCCAACGTCATTCTTCACACCATATCTATCGGATATGCCTTTGAAAGTGACTATCATTGGCGGCGGTCTCGCCGGGCTCCTCGCAGGACGTGTCCTTCGGGACCAGCACGACGTCACCATTCTCGAGCGCTTCAACGGCGGTCATGAACTAGGTGCTGCAATCAATCTAGGACCCAGCGCTCTGAAGATTGCCAAGAAGTACGGATTGGATACGAAACGTGCCGGATCCATTGTGGCTGATACTGCGCGAACTTTCCTCAAAAACGGGAAACAGGTCCGGGAGAATGACATGGGGAAATTCAGCAAACTAGCAGGCGAGGACTGGGTTTTCCAGCACAGGGCTGACTTGTGGGAGGAGTTTCTGAGACTGGCCACCGGCCCTGGTGATGAGGTCGGGAGCCCTGGGAAGCCCTGTACCGTGCTCTGGGGATCGGATGTTGTTAATGTGGATGTCGATACCGGCGATGTCAGTCTTGCAGATGGAACGACTCTCTCATCGGATCTAGTTATAGGTGAGTTCAAAGTCATGTTTTTTTACCAGCGTTATTGGTTTATGACATTCTATAGGCGCTGATGGAGTGAAATCCATTGTCCGACCACTCGTCGTCGGGGAAGACGATTTCCGAACCGCCAGTCCTTCTGGACTTTCAGCATTCCGGTTCACAATCCCAGCGTATGTCTACAAAAATGCACTACCAGACGAAACCCGCGTTCTTGATGCGACTAAGAACGCTTCGTTGGACGTCCACCTTGGCGGCGACTCGACTAACAGATCAGTGGTCCTGTATCCCTGTCGCGGCTTCCAACTTGTCAATTTCGTCTGCATTGCGCCGGACAACCTGATCAAGACAAAGACGTCCGAGTCCTGGTCTGCCAAGGGCACGGTTGAAGACCTTCTAGACACCTACCACGATTTCCACTACCTCAAGCCTGTCTTGGCCGAAGCGAAGAACATCATGTTGTGGCAGCTGCGTGACCAGGACCCACTGCCAACGTATATCAAAGGCCGAACGGTGCTCATTGGCGATGCTGCTCACGCAATGACTCCACATCAAGGTCAGGGCGGTACGCAGGCTGTCGAGGATGCTGAAGGGTTTGAGCTGTTTAACATGCACTCCGTGGCCAGGGATGCGGTGTCATCTGTCCTGCAAGACTTTGACATTATAAGGAGGAATAGGGCGGGTCAAGTACAAAGCAACACCCGCGAAGCGCACGATCGAAAGGACCCGGAGACGATGTATAAACATACTGCTTACAACTGGGTCTATAAAGGAATTCAGGAGAGCTTGGAGTTGGTCAGAAATGGAGAAAGCATCAAAGAATAAGTTGACAAGGGTTAAAATCTACATAAAGTCATGACATACTGTCCAGGTTGAGTTTTATCACATACAACTAGCATATAGACATCTGCTACGCGTTGGAGAGGTGAATTAATCATTACATTAAGTCTTCTCGGGTCTTTTTGAACCTGATTATAATACATCATACGAGTCAGCTTCATTTCAGACACGTCTCGAACAGCTGTTGGGAGTCACAATGGAGCCGAAAGTGTCGGCTGCCGGGACTCCATCTAGGGTACTGTGTACTACCTGCCGGCCAGCACCCTAATTTGTAATTCGACCTCTATGTCTCTGCGGAGGCGTGGACGCCTCTGTATTGCCGCATAAGGGCTGACCATGAGTCCACTCGCCCTTAAAATTACGATGAGTATCGGCTCCCCATATCGACCATGAGCCGAATCTCGGGTGAGGAGTAGCATCACTAGTCCTTGATGTTGATGTTGCTTACTCGGCCCCTGAGATCCTATCATCATAAACTTTTCAACGCAGCATATAGAGGGGAATATCTGCCAAGATGGTTGTCGCCCCCTCGCCGGTTTATGAAAGACCAGCGACAAACTTGAGCAAAGATGCCCAGTTTCAAGGAAGCATTTGCCTTGTCCAAAGATGAGGTCAGGTTGGCTCGACCATTAGGCACTATTCGAGTGACCGGTAGGTCCATTACGTCTCTTTTTCTCTCATTTCCCAACTAATGCTTGCACCTTCGTGCACAGATTATATCCAGTCACGACATGACGGAAGGTCACTCCGACACCCCCAGCCCTCTGCGGACTCTATGGACCCCTTGAATTTGTCCTTCAAGCTGAAGATAGCATCTCTCGTCTGCATGTCTACCTTCGGATTTCTCTCAAATTTTACCTCCTCGTCCATAACAAGCGCCATCCCGCTTCTGGCGACCCCTCTCGCTTTCAATCCTCCAGTGCCGGTCGGACGTCTAACCCATCTGGTAGCAGTAAGGCCATAACGCACCTTGCCTCCGACTTTAGACAAGAAGCGCTGATCTTCCTTTAGGTGAACGCGATCATGCTCGGTGTATCGAATCTATTATGGGTTCCGGTAGCCAACACGTTTGGACGACGGCCGGTGATTCTCCTGGGAACATTGCTTCTCACGGTATTCTCTATCTGGGCTGCGGTTGCGAAGAGCTTCGATAGCCTGCTTGCAGCACGTTTGTTTATGGGGATTGCAGGAGCCCCAGGGGAGACAGGCAAGTCAACCAAGGACAGAATATGAGAGGAAGCTGCTGACTCTTAATCTCAAGTGGCACCTAGTGTGGTTGGTGAACTGTTCTTCACATCTCAGCAGGGACGAGCCATGGTATCTTATCCCCCTGGTTCCGAGAACCCTTTCATAGCTGTCCAGGGTTAATTACTCAGCATAAGGGATTCTACACGGTCTTCCTTGCCCTAGGCCCCCTGGTCGGCGGGGTCGTAGGTGGATACATTGCCGGAAATCTAGGTATACCGTGGATCAACTGGATAAATGCAATCATCTCCGGCGCTCTCTTCGTCACCTGCTTCTTCTTCCAGCCGGAGACTCTGTTCAACCGCGACGATCCGCAACCCAGCGAAGTGGCGGAAGCCTCAGTAGGCCCTGAGAAGTCTGAGGATCTTCAAGAAGTCGAGAATATTTCACCCCTCAGCCTCAGTCAACAGCGCTTCTCTTACACAAAATCCCTCGAAGTTGGCGTCTACTGCGCAGCGTTAAGGACACAATTTCTCCGACCCTTTCTAACCCTTCGGCTCCCTGGAGTGTGGCTCGTGATGCTCTGGTACGGCGGCTTGGTAGGAGGCATTGTTGCCCTTTCGGCTGTCGGCCCCACAATCCTAGCAATGCCGCCGTACCTCTGGGGCGTGAACGCTGGCTGTATCAACGTGGGAGGCATCATCGGCGTCCTTATTGGCTTCCTCACGACAGCTGTATTTTCGGATCGTGTTATCTCCTGGCAGAGTAAGAGGTCTGCAACCGCATGCATCGAGGCCGAAGCCCGCCTGTCGCTTGCAATTCCCGGGTTATGTCTCGCCGTGGCGGGCCTCTGGACATTTGGGTTCTGCGCCGATCACCCGGCCCCCCATATGTGGATTGGGATGGAGTTTGGGCTGGGTATGCTCTGTTTTGGTATAATGATGGTTCCATCTATAGGATTCAACTACGTATGTGCACTATCCCCGTTTGCCCTAGTGCCCTGTCTCTCTCTATCCACTCCTCCCTGATCAGATATTACCGAAGGACCACCCGCTAACCGCCTAAAGCTCATCGAATCCTATCACCACCTCGCCCCAGACGCCTTCGTCGCGATCACATTCTTAAGGGGGATCATCAGCTTCTGCTGGACATTTTTCGTTAGCGACTGGGTCACAAACGCCGGTGCCGCGGTGCCATTCGGGGTCTTTGGCGGAATGATGGGTGCGTCCGCTCTGCTCTTGATTCCGGTTTTGTTTTGGGGGAAGCGGATGCGCATTGCAACTGAGAAGTGGGTTCGTTGATTGCTTTCTATATTTCTACCAGTAATGCCATGAAAGCCTTGTAAGCAATATCATACGGCAATGGGGAAGGAAGGAAAGATACTACAATTTTGGATTATTATCTATTACCCCAGACTATCGAGCATTCTGCAGCTGCAAAGTACACAAGTTCGCGGCCCCAACGGTGTGCAGTATCCAGTTCAGCCGCCTCGGGTATATCGTGGCCTATAAACATGAGGATCTGACACTGCACTCATTCTCTTGAGGACATGGCTGGGAGGAGTTCGTCGAGAAACTAGCTAAGACCACACTCAATCGAAAATGAGATGATATCGCAAACGCTACCCACGCGAGGTATAGACATTGTTAAGGAAACGTACGGCGTCGTTATATACCCTATCTCGTAACTTAGCGTCGATGAAGATTGAAGGAACTAGATATATTGGAGTTAGCCGTAGACCAAAAGGTCATCCTTAACGTGAATCCATACTTTCCAGCCATCCATGAAACTGATCCTCGAAGAACTCGCACTCGACATGGTAGGCCTCATCGATTTTATTACCTTGCGACACGTTCGAACGATGAACTTCACGGTTAAATGCCGCAGCCTCTTTTTTTAATTTATCAATGAACACTAATTGTTCATGCAGAAGGATATCGACCTTTGCTCCAAAGAAGAGTATATTCCGCGGCACGGTCTCGGTATCTGCGAGTATAGGATGCAACAACGGGCTATCACGGTATTTTTCCCGCTCGGGGCCTGCATAGGCATCCATTAATGGTAAGATGAATGCCAAAGGATCCTTCGCCGGGAAATTGATAGGCTTCGGCTTTTCCCACGGGGGTAGACTAAGATCAACCTAAATATAAAGTCAGTGTGTATACTAACATACAGCGTCGTTCCAAAAGTCTGAAACTCCCTCTAAGCGGTTAACGGATTTCAGACTTTGGAACACCACTGTATACACTCTTATTAGACCATCACCTACCGGCGCATCATATGTCACTGACGCTTTGACAGCAAAGTCAGACCGGGACAACCATTGCGCAACCCCTAGCGCTAAGTTCCCACCAGCTGAAAACCCGCTCACACTCATAACTCTCGGATCCGCCCCCCAGACTTTCTCAGCATTCTGGATCAGCCACTCCGCTACATCTTGGACATCCTCATGTGCAGAAGGGAACGTGTAGCGCGGGGCATATCGGTGTGAGGTCGAGACAACTAATGCTCCGGTTTCATTTGCAAGTTTGTGAAAGAAAGGCGCGTTGTTTTCTGGTAACCCGCCGATAAAGCAGCCTCCGCGGATATTGAGATGGAGAGGCTTCGGTCGCGGCCGCGAATTCTTCTCCAAAGGATGGTATACGATAGCACGAACTGAGTGGCCAGGAGAACGCTTCAAGGGAATCCAAATTACAGTGTGTGGCTGTTCTGAGAATAACGTGGTCCCTCGGAAAGATTGGATAGAGTTTGTGAGGAAAATCAAGGGTTGAAGAGCTAGGAGGCGCCAGCGAATTCCGAAGGACAGGGACGGGCAGAACAACGTATCATATACTCGCTTGTTGCAGGTCAGCAAATCACACCCCATGACAACCGTTTGTTCCAGTAGGAGGAACAAACGGTCGACGACTTCAACTTTGTGTTCCTCCTTCTTTCCCGAATGGCGATGGTGAAGTGCGCTAGGTCAGGCTTCTGGGAAGCGTCTTCAATGAGACTGAGGGTGAGTTGCGCAAAGAAGGGTTACGAATCCGTTGTGTGAACTTGACGAGATGTCGAGGAGTGGGAGACATGTTGAATTGAAAGTTGTCCTGTATTAAACGCAGATTGTGTAAAACGTCAATGCGTGGTGATCTCTCGAGGCCGATGTCTTCGCGGGGGAGAAAGTGCTCATTTATATATTTTGCCTCAAATTTTGTAAGTCTTCTTTTGCGCCGCTATGTTGTGGAACTCTTGGGACTAGTATTAAACTGCAACAATGAGAGTGCATAAGCGCTCGTTTCATTGTTTTTGGTCCAGTATCGCTAGCCATTCATTTGCCGCGACCAAGTGTTGGGCGCATATATGTCTGGCATTTCTTGGCCTTCCCTTTTCTATTTAGTGCTCATCCTTTGCTCCCAGAGTAGAACTGAGCACGAGCCTGAGCGGCCTGATCCACTCACAACAGCGAGAGACGTGCAGTCATCCCTCGGGTTCTGTGACTTTTACAGGCGCTTCATTGAAGGATATAGCAAGATCGCACGACCGCTATACGCTCTCACCCGCAAGGAGAATCTTCAGCACTGGAACCCGGAATGCCGAAAGGCCTTATTGGGCTGAAAGACTGTCTTGTAAACACTCCTATCCTCCGATACTACGACATATGTCTTCCAACGAGAGTCGAGACTGACGCTTCAGATGAAATTGTTGGCGTAGTCCTGTCACAGCTCGCAGAAGACGTTCTGGCATCCTGTCGCCTTATTCTCTAAGACTTTAAAGCCTGCTGAGAAATTGTACGAGATTCACGGCAAGGAATTACTAGGAGTGGCCAAAACTTTCAAGGAGTGGAGGCCAGAATTCGAAGGGCTTATGTCTAGCATCCAATCAATGGTTTAGAGGTTTATGATGATATTGTACCGCTACCACATATATAGACTAACTTGTTTCAATTCAGGGCTTGGGAACAATTCGTAAGAGAAGATGGGATAATTTGATTTCGAATATTGCTGTACACCACATGGTGCGACTGAAATTCAGATGGTTTATGTAGTTAGCAATCTCGTAGATCTCATCGAGGTAGAGACCCGGCTTTTCCAACAGGTGACGAAGAGACGGTTATCCCGCCAAGCGTCAAAAGCGGAATGGCGGGCACCGTCGGCCTTTGGACGTGTCGCCGGATCGGAATCCGTCCGGTCATAGTTCCGCCAGCGCATCATCCGCGCGCGGAGGCAGTACTTGGCGTGACTGGGCGTTAGGCGGGCTCTGGGCAAGAGGAAATTGAAGAGCATTTTAGTTTCATCACGCCCAGCCACGCCATCAATCCTGGTAATTCCGTGAGGTCAGGAATTGATTCCGGTACAGTATGATAGATCACAACAGTAACAGCTACGGCTAGCGCGGAAATCAATATGTTATTACAATTTTCCAAAAAATTTAACGTTACACACAATTACTTTTAAATTTTTAAAAATCTTAAATACAACAGCAATACGTCTCTATTGCCCATGTGAGACTAGCCGCAATGGAAAAGGCGACTGCTAAGCCCGTCACTTTGAGCATGTCACCCCCAAGGCTAACGTGAGCTCCGAATGGTTCCAGAAGGTTCAGAATATCCAAGCTCGTTATACAGTATATTATGCTAACTGATGCACCGGTTACTAGGATGGATGCCGACTATACAAGTTGTCAGTACTGAGTCGAAAGCCATTTCAGTCCAGTTACCGTAGAGAAGATCAGAATCCACGTCTTTCTTTCCAAGAAAAACTTTGAATAGAGACCGAACATTATGCCAAGAAGTGTGGTTCCAGAGGCTGACAAAAAGGCCAAAGTAGTCCATTTCGCTTTCTTGCAATACGAGTAAGGCGACTTGTTGCCGCTTCCAAAATCCGACATGCGTTCGTGGCTTATCGAGGAGATGAAGATGTCGGATAAGTCAAATGCAAATGTAAAACTGGGTTTAGAGCAATTAGAATATGTCGCTGCTGCTTTGTAGTTCCCTTCACAATATCCCCAAAGTCCCACCACGTAATAATTCGGAGAATAGGTCTCGAGTTTTGAAGTTTGAGCGTCGCTTATTTGGTTGAACTGGCCTCTTCCACCATAGATTCCGTTGGATGCACTCGCTATTCCGCTCTGTGTCTGACCTGCCACGATTGACGTATTTACGCCAGAGCCTGCAGCCAATTGAGTAGGGTGAATTTTCTTTGAGCCGGAATTGTCTAAATCAATCTGTCACACACAAGTTATAATCGCGGCCTTCAGTAAAAATTTAAATTCATTATTACCTTCATAAGATAGAAATCTTTCGGCGACGATGGAGATGTGCAACCGATAAGCATTAGAATAAGACAGATCAAGGCTCCAAGTGAGAACCCTAATGGAATCAACTGGAATATCCGTTGCAACATTGTCTTTACTTTTTAGATTCGGCTTTTGCATGAAACAGTCCATTAAAGAAAGTCAGAGCAGGGGACATCCATGTGATAGACATGGTCGAGTTATTTTCTGTAAATAAATGCTGTCATCGGCGCATTGAATCCAGTTCTTCGTTGATCGTGCTCAAGTAGATCAACCAAATGGTTTACGGCAATGCATTTATATGAGATAAATTGAAAAAGATTAGAAAAAGGCAGGTGTAATTACATACTAAAGCAACGGATAAAACCTTAGTAGACGGGAACTTCGGGCGTGGTATAATAGAGCACGGAAGCATGTTATTAGCAGGGCTGCAATTTTGTTGCATAAATTTTCGGGTCGAACTTTTATAACAGGATCACTTATCCCCGTTTCCTCACTCACGTCACAGGCAGGCAGACGGAACTGCGCAAGTACGTTTCAAGAAGGACTACTCAAAAGAAAATTGTACACCCAACTGCGTGACAGATTCCAATCGTTCTTACACGACGGCAACGGCAGGAACCTTCTTGTAGCCGTTGATGACCGAGTGCATGGTGGCCGGGACGGTGGGGTAGTCGGTCGCCATGGAGATAGCGGTGACGGTCCTGACGGCCTGGCTGAAAGACTTGAGCAGCTGCTCGTCTTGGAAATTTGGACCAGAAGTTCCGGTTCTTCTCCCGTCTCTATGACGAAAGCGAATGGATGAAATCTGTTATACTGTAGCTCATCATTTGGGTTTCAGATTAACCAATGTGCGCCATGTGGCGAAAGTGGACGACTGGTTCCGTGGCAGCTTCAACGTTTGCATTTCTACAGTATGACGGGAGCACAAATGCTAAAGGGCTGTAGCGGCCGCACATACAAACCCCCGAAGCAGATGAACGTATGTCTGCAAGATAATAGACCCCAGCCTTGTCGTAAAGATATCTTTGCATAGAGAATGTCAGTCCGCCGTGGCCCTCGTGCTTTCCAATGATGATAATAAAATGAAATGGATGCTTGACGTCCTTGTAGGAGAGGAAATCAAGTTGAAAGTTACCAAGAGTTGTTTTGCCGCACCCAGGCGGTAGTTGACCAGCAATTGGAACAAGGGCGGCACAGTCGGGAGCTTGACCAGGTCCTGGATCAAGAGCTGCGAGCTCACCCAGATCAGGAGACTATGGTATGGCGAAATAAAATGCATGGTCAATCTCCAATTTTAATTATTATTTCACTAATATGCTTAAGTAATTAACTTATCGGTAACTAACGTATGTGATAAGCGAGTGAGACAGATAAGCGAGTGAGACACCAAATCGCGGCTACGCTACTTCTTATATTCAACGCTTTTTTCTCCACCAACAATCATGGAGTCTTCAAATAAAGAAAGACCCCTCGTCTTAGCTGTCCAAGCAATGAAAAAAGATCCAGCTTTAAGTGCCCGAGCCGCTGCAAAGATCTACTCAGTCAGTCATGCGACGCTAAGTCGCCGACTCAATGGGAAAGCTTCGCGACGCGATTGTACACCCAATTCGCGGAATTTGACTGCTTAGAAGAATCGACAATTGTTGAGTATATTCTTGACCTAGATGCGCGTTTATTCCCTCCTCGGCTTTACGATGTGGAAGATATGGCCAATCGACTACTTACAGAGCGCGACGCCCGGTGCGTTGGGAAGCGGTGGGCTTCGAACTTTGTTAAGCGACAACCACAACTCAAGACGCGTTTTTTTCGAAGATACGACTATACGAGAGCTCAATGCGAAGATCCAGAACTAATTCGTGGTTGGTTTTCCCTTGTACAAAACACAATCGCGAAATATGGGTGGCAGAGTCGGATATCTACAACTTGATGAGACTGGGTTTATGATGGGTATTATCTCGATAGGAATAGTGGTCACAAGCGCCGATCGACGCTCAAATGCAAGATTAGTGCAGCCTGGAGGTCGTGAATGGGTTACCGTTATCCAAGGGATTAATTCGCAAGGATGGACGATTCCGCCCTTCATTATTGTTGCGTCCAAATATCGCCTCTCTACGTGGTATATCGATAGCCCCCTACCAAAGGATTGGGTGATATCTATATCTGAAAATGGCTGGACAACAAATGAGAGAGGCTTAGAATGGATTCAGCATTTCGACAAGTATACGAAGCCTCGCACTACGGGTCAATATCGTCTCCTTATCCTCGATGGGCATGAAAGCCACCACTCTACCGATTTTGAGATGTTTTGCAAGGCGAATAATATTATTACGCTTTGTATGCCTCCTCATTCATCTCATATCCTTTAGCCTCTTGATGTGGGATGTTTTGGCCCGCTTAAGCAATCCTAAGGTCGGCAAATCGAGAATTTAATGCGGGCTAGTATAACCCATATCACTAAGACTTCTTTCCCGCTTTTTTTGCCGCGTTTTAGGAATCAATGACAGCCAAAAATATCCAAGGCGGTTTTCGAGGGGCTGGGCTAATTCCGCTTGACCCAGAAAGTGTCATTTCAAGGCTAGATGTGAGACCACAGACACCGCCGCCCGTCGATAGGATTCTGGAGACCCCTATTCCTTGGGGTTCTAAGACGCCAAATAACCCAGAAGAGACTACCTCGCAATCAAAGTTCATTAAGCACCGGATTCCCTATCATCAAAATAGCTCACCAAGCTCAATTTATGATGCTATCGATCATTTATCAAAAGGGGCAGTACAAATAATGCACCAGATGGCTTTATTGAAGGCAGAGAACCGGATCTTTCAAGAGCAAAATAAGGCGCTTAGCACGCGTCGCAGGGCTAAAAAGACACGTCTCCGACAAGGGGGAAGTATGACTCTTGCCGAAGGACAAGATATTCAGACCCAAAATGACGTGGAGGATCAGATCAAAGAGGAAACGCGTCGAGGTTGTGGTCGCAAAAGGAAGGCTGAGACGAAAGAACGGTGCTGTAGAACGTGCGGGAATCCAGGACATAATGCAAGAACATGTAAGGAAGATAATAAAATGTCTGACGAAGACGATTCTGAATAGTTTTAATTGATTTTCTGGCATTGTGGTTGATTATGTAAATTCTTGTAAAGAAGGTGCAATTGAGTGTCTCACTCGCTTATCTCTCACTCGCTTATCTGTCTCACTCTCTTATCATATACGTTAGTTACATAAAGTTCGACATCATGTGCAACGCTAAGAGGGAAACCGATAACAAATTATGTCGATTTGCTGAAATTCTGTACTTTACTAGCCCTCTAGACAGTAATTGCCGACACAAGACCGCTATTCATCGATTCCTTTAAACCCGCCTTTTCGCTGCTGTCCATACCTGTGCGGAAAACGAAGCTGTCTTGACTGACGCCAGTGTTGTTCCGAGTGCGTTGTTGAGCGGGAAAGATTTCGTGGCCAGCGGCCGCCTCTTTCTTGCGGTGGTCTGTGACCACCTCGCGCACAGTCTTCTGAAAGTGGATAGGGCCCTTCTCCATCTCGGGGTGAAGCTGGCCGTTGACAAAGACACCAACGTTGAGGTTCTTTTGGGACTGAATGCAGAGGTACTTATCCTCGGACATGATTCGTTTATACATGTCGCTGATGAGGTTAAAGTCCTCTTCGGTAGCATTCCTGTGGCGGTAGACTTCATATCGCATTACTGATTTGGTGGGGCTGACCGGAGTAAACCGTTGCATGAAGAAGAAATTAGGGCTAAGAAGTTAGCAATGTTTCAAGTTTGGAGAGAGTAAATTCTCACGAGATGTTGAAAGAGGCATTAGGCCAGAAGTATGTAGTGGCTATCCGGAAGCCCTTCTCGATCTGGTCGGGTCGCTGGGCGCCGTAATGTTGAATGTGGCCGTCCTTTGTCTCGACATAGTAAGAGTTGAGGTCGGCAATTGTGGGAATATCGGGATGGGCGACTTGGCAGTGGTAGCACTCATTATAGTTGTCGGCTAGAATCTTCCAGTTAAACTCCCCCTCCATATCCCAAGTGTGGTCAAACACGTAATTCTCAAAGTCGTAGTAGTTGAATCGGGGCTGTTCATCGACACCTTCAAAGTCGTCCTTCCAAGCTACCTCGGGGGTTTCGCCAGCGTCCAAATTGACCCAGATGAAACCATTTCGGTCAATGTGCATATGAATAGGAAATGGATCATTGTTGTAGAATGCATTGATGTTTCCATGGTTGTCTTTGGTGACGACAAATTCGTAGCCAGCGGCGTCATATCGAGCCCAGTCGCCAGCGTTATGGACTCGTTGTTTATGGGTAGTGAGAAGCCATTTACGACAGAATATAGACCGCCGTTCAAGCTCATACATGGCCTGGGATGTATACCAGGAAGCAGGCAGAGCACGGATAGGCTTCTTCTCGTCCTTCGCCGCAAAGGCGGAGGTACCAAAGTAGTTTTTCAACTTCAAGAAGGACATTGCGAATACAAAGACAGAGAAAGGACTTTGTAGAAAAGGGAGGGTTGAAACTTCAAAGTTTTGAACTTTGACGATTGACTCGGCTTTGGGTGTTAACTACACTTGACCTCGGACGTGTTGGCTCTTCTAAATAGTTATCAAAATAGAGCACGAGCTCAAAACACTCTATCCGATCAGGTGATCGGCATATTCCCAACCGGACCGAAATATCTTAGACTTATCGCTCACCCGAACGAGTCCAGCCTGGGCTGTGGTTGTGGCGCGTGCGCGATTTTGACGAGGCGGGAAGCAGACAGAATCTCGAGCGTCCTGCGCCATTGGCTGTCTAGTGTTCCATGTTGATCTAGAACGCCGAAACAGTTCTGTTCCCTGTTTGGCATAAACCCGTCCCACTCCGGCAGTCTAAAAATACCCTTTGATGGCAGTGTTTATCATAGTTTCCCAAGCTGTAGGCGAAACTCAAAACACAATGTGCGAATAGCAAGCCTTTCGCGTTTATGAGAGGGCTACCCAAAAGCACGAAAGCGGCGTGGGTAGGCCTGCCAAACGTTCACATGGTCAGGCCTTGACCTCGCACTAAGATCCCAAACTTTTCGCCTTCTTCGCTTCTCCAGCATTTCGTCCTCTCATACTTACGGGCTCCTGTATGAGTCCCATCCTCTTGGGTATGGACCACATCAAATTTCCGTCTCCATCCTCTATTCTAGACTCACCGAAGGCTATATCGGCATCTGTCCGAAAGCCTGCCGCTCGCAAATCGGTCGCGCCCGCAACATGCCAACTGCCTAACCAGGCCAAAAGCCGGAATGGGTGTAACACCTGCAGGGCGAAGCGAATGAAGTGCGACGAGTCCAAGCCCATATGTCAACAATGTGAGAGACGCAAGGTGCACTGTGATGGCTACAAGAAGGACTTCAAATGGCGGCCCTTCAAAGAGACCAACATAGCCTCGGGTCGGCCGACGGTCAAAACCCGAAAAGGTAATCACACACATAGTCACCTGCATGCCAGACGATAATAAAACACCGCGCCTACGGCAGCCACGACGACTCCACCTGCTCCGGACAAGCTGGCTCCATCTCCTGATCAGAACTTCCTGACACCTCCGATGAATGCCTCACGTTTGCAGTCTTCACTGGAGAACTCCCCTGCTAGTCTCAAGAGCTTTCTCTCTACGGAATGCCAGTTTCTTATTAGTTTCCCTGGCTCGGCACGCCAAGCAAGAACGATTCCTCCTGTCAATATGACAATGCCGGCCGAATCTGAATCGATCAACATTATTTCTTTTCTTGAACCCGTTCAGCAGTCGCTTTCAGAGTATGCCGCTATAGCTCCAAAGTTAGATCTGGAAACTGATCGTCATTCGATGCAGTGGGCATTACAGAAACTAGCCAAATCCACCCGATTATGGCCATTTTAGGTGATGCTTCGTTTGTTCAACATAGGACATACACTGTATCTATTGCAATATTCGTGAAGTTGGCACAAGCACTGGATCTCGCGAAGACAACCCAACCACGGCCATGTTTAACTGAAGTTCTTTTATTCACCGTTGACCCTGTGTGCTGCAACGTTAGTTGTTATCTGAGGAATTTGAGAACGGCGATAGAAGAAAATCTTCTATTATCTGCCTCTAGTTGATATCGTATGGATCCAAGAACGTTCAACAGATATATTTACTTGGATTCACCTCTGGTTCTTGGCACCCTTGATGTCCGTGTTCGAGTTTCTAACTCGGAGAAAACTCCCTTTAGATGGATTGGCGCTTAGTATTTTTGCTATTGCCGTGCTCTTATGTATAATACTGATCTGAACCAAGCTATTGCTGATCCGTGCTGAGCAGTCTCGCGTTGGGATCGAAACACTGGCTTAATCTCCAACTCCATTGATTATTTTAATTTTTCGAAAGGCGTAATTACGCCCCACTTGTCAGGTCTGGCGATCATCCGGCCAATGCGGGTGAAAACATCCTCACACAACTACTGGCACTCTTCACCCATAACCACATGACCGAGGTCCGGCCCGGTAGTATAAACCGCGTGTGCCCGCCATGTTCTCTTGTCTTATCCTCTCCTTGTTGCCTCTTCGTCCCCCAAATTAGCTCTTTCCCTGCAATCAACATCATTATGGATCTTGCCAATACGCTCTCGGCTCCTAAGTCGGCCATCATCACACCTGCCGATACGCCCGCCTTGTCACATTCCAACTCAACCTCATCCGACGGCTACTTCTGTTCCACAACGGTACTGAAGCGCTCGCCACAACGGGCCCCGTTGTCGCCGGCAGTTGACGAGCAGCCCAAATGCTCTCTCCCGTCTATTTCCACTCTGCTCAAGAATGCGGATAGCCAGTCCATATCCAGTTCGTAACCTTCTCTCCTTCACTACACCCAAATCCTAACTTCTACTAGAGCGTCCTCGCCTCAGCATCCCGTCTCAGTCTGCCCATCTAGATTGCTCCCAGTCCTATAACATCTGCATACCCCCAACACCGCGATTGCGACCAGGCTCTGGCATCCAGAGTCACAGCAACTCGCTTGGCGATGAGTGCCTGAAGCGCGACCTGAACCGCCCAATCGCCTTGGACCACTCCATCTCCAGCCAGGCCTCCACCCATCCGGCCGCCAGCACCTACGACTCGCTTGCGCCCAGTACGTTGTCCTACTCCTCACCAATCGACAGCCAAGCCCAGTCATCAGCAGGATTGTATTACCCGCGACCACCAGCATCGGCAACCTTCCAGCCTCCGTCAGCCGTTACGGCCCCCTTTCATCAATCCCAGCTATCCTCCAGTTCTTTTTCATTTATGCCGCTTATCTCCCCCGTTACTCCCACGTGGCAACACCAGGACTCCCCGCCCTCCAGGAGCGCGCCGTACCAGCAGAACCACGATCGCTCGCGCCCTTCCTCTCTGCGCATCTACAGCAATACGCACACGGGGGAGAAACCCTACCGCTGCACGCACGCCGGCTGCGGGAGGACTTTCACGGTACCCAGCAATGTAAAGCGGCACGAGCGCAACTGCCACTCTGGTAGACCTGCTTGTTCGACTGCGGTTCCGACGTTTGTTTCATAATTTTGTTCTTCGTCGTACATAAGAACCCTGTCTCCTGTATGTGACGTCTTCTTCTGACACTCGTAACTTTTCGCGCGCGCTTTTCCTCCTAGATTCATTGGTTCTCAGTAGCCCATCTGTAAGCTGCTCCTCTATCAGTTGGCGACAGCAGGTTCGTAGCAAGGGGATCGGAATTTTGCCCTGCGGAAAGAAATTGCCAAAGACGGCTGGTGGTAACGCAAGCAAAACCAATCGAATTTCGCTGAGGGTAAATGATTTTAAACACACACAGAGAGAGAGAGAGAGCGAGAGAGAGTACAGTACAGTACAGTACATTTTTATCCTGTTACATCTTGTTTCGAGCAGCCCATCTCAATCCCAACGTTCTCCTGGGGCCAGTCAGGTCAGTCAACATATATTCTCTTAGTGGACAATCATTTATGGCTTGTAACAAATGTTTTTTTTCGGCATTCGGTTGTTGGGCTTGATGGATGATTCCCACAGAGCCCTAGTTGAAAAAGATTGTCTACAGGACCAGGCGCAAATTTTGGGCAGGCAATCACAGGAACTGAACATGATGTAAAGGCACTTAATACCGTACTTTTGCTCTCCTTGCCCCCTTTGCATGCGATGAACACTCAGTATTGGTTGTCCCTGTCGTTGACACCGGCCGACGCAGATATATATATACACATGGGCCTTTCACAACAACACAGCATGCAATTCGGTCCCGGGATTTTTCCCGTCTTAGAAAGCTAATTTGTGCCCGCACTCTGTTCTAAGGATTAGATAAATACAAAGCGTTCGATAGACATGGAACAACACGTTTATCTCGGTGACTTCGACGCGTAAATAATCGAGACAAATGCTCTTTCCTATTCCGGGGGTTCAACTCATGACCCACTCTCGCGTGACCCTTGATAACGAGATAGATAAGGCGATGAACTGGTGACTATCCATTCCATCCCTGCAAAGCTTTCAAATGAAGCTACACCAAAACAAGTTATATTTGCCAGCGTGTTACAGAAGATTCGACTCAACAACCTCGTCTTCATCCTCCAAAAGCAAGGCCAGGATTAACTTGGTTGTACTGCACTGGGGTCCGAGATCCGAGGTCATTGGCCTGCTCCTTTGTCTTTTGGCAATGCGGAATGGGAACCCGCCCCTCACTTCTTCAACTCCGAGCTTCTCCGAGTTGCAATATGAAGAAATCGGGGAGAGTATTCCGCAGTCTGACCCCGATGTCGATCCTTGGAATTTCCCGCTTTTTGAACGGAAGTCTCTCCCATTTGACAGGCTCGGCATTATGAGCAGACCTTCGCTGGTTCCTACAAGCCAGGGGATGATGATCCTCCGTTATGACAAGCTTACTTGCGGGATCCTATCTGTGAAGGATGGCATGGCCGAGAACCCATGGCGCACCCTGGTCTGGCCACGTGCCAAAGATAACCAAGCCTTGTATCATGCCCTCCTTGCCCTTACTGCTGTTCACTCCTCGAAACAGGACCCATCCCTTCGAGTTCAAGGTGTGTCACATATGCGCCAGAGCATAACCAGTCTGGTATTACACAGCCAAGGTATGCGAGCAGATGCTGTCTTGGCTACGAGCTTGGCACTGGCGTTTGCATATATGAGGGATCGACACACTAGAACCTGCATTCAGCATTTGCGCGACACGAAAGCGCTGGTCAGTCGGGTCCTGGATGAAGGACTTGAGAGCAAGGGTCGTGGCAACGACCTGGACCGAATCCATTTTCTCTGCAATACATGGTCTTATATGGAAGTAACTGCAAGACTGACCTCCATAGACGACTGTGGAAGACCGGATCTCGATCTCCCTGTCTTCCATCTTCCTATTGATGCGGTGCATGATATTGATCCGTTGATGGGTTGTACTACCACGCTGTATCCGCTGATGGGCCGAGTGGCAAATTTGATTAAGCATATGCGCAAAAGCTCGTACAATACAGTCTCTCTCGTTGCGCAGGCGATGGAACTCAAATTATAACTCGAACAGTGGAAACCGCCACGCTGGTTTGAGACACCCAAGACCCAACTTCTGAGGTTCAGCACAATATTCAAGTGGCCCACGCATACCGCTGGGCAACCCTACTGTATCTACATCAGGCAGTCCCGGAGATGCCTTCGGAGCCCACAGAAGAACTTGCCAGAAGTGTGTTGATCTTGCTGGCCACGGTTCCATATACATCACCCACAACCATCATCCAGATGTATGCCCTTATTGCCGCGGGCAGTGAAGTTGAAAGGGAAGATGACCACAACTGGGTGTTGGACCGCTGGATAACAATCCAGTCTCGCCTAATGCTCGGCAGCGCGGATCGATCCCTCCAGGTCTTGCGGGAGGTGTGGAATTGCCGTGACGCCATCAAGGGCGATAGACAGCAGCATAATATTGGAAACAATAACAGGGCTAGTTCCTTATCAAATGACGACAGAAACAAAATCAAGACCACGGTATGTGGCTTTGATGGCGGTTCATCTGGATTTAATATGTTTTGCGAACTGACTAGTCCTCAGCAAAGACCAGTTGAGCCGCAATTCTCCTCATCTTCAGCCAGGCATGAAATATCGCTGCGAGGATCTGCTATCGCGCCGTTAGAGAAAATTGAAGTTGAGAGAACAGTTCGCGGCAGACTGCATTGGGTGAATGTCATGGCAGAATGGGGCTGGGAAAGTGAGTAGCCTCCCCTATTAGTAGGAAGCAACTGACCTTTTGAAAAGTGTTCATTGGCTAGCGCGGTCTTTGATGACAACGTTACTCTGCTGGAGCAATGTTGAGCTCTTGGCGGGTTTTTGATCAGGTACTCCCTACTAAGTATTTACGATTGACGACACTGCTCGACTGAAATTCCCTTTGGATATAGTTTCCACTTATTTTTACTTAAGTTATTTTAAATAATAAAATTTTTTATGTTAAATCCTTCCTTCGCCTTCATCTTTGTTTCGAATTGTATGTTGGGACCTCGCGAGGTCTGTTATCCCATTACGCAGAAGGATTTTCTGTAGGTCAGTCGCCAATAGGCGCAAATTATTCATTATATCTCATGTCCTTACAGCCAATCCGGTTATGCCTAGTAATGAATGCAAAGAGTCTGACACTCTCGATCATCGATTCTATACTAACTTAAGGATAGCGACGATTATAAGGGAATGCCCCTGAGTTAGGCCATGAGGTCTGCGCTGATAAATTGTCGACATTAGACGTTTACATCTCATTATAACCAATATTGACGAAGCAGGGAATTCGCTAGGGACACCGGGTGTTGACATCAGGGGTTGAAACAACAGGCCAAATGGACGAACGCATGTCGCAGTAATAACAGGGCTTCAGCCGAGAGGTGTTAGTTATTCAGTAGCAAATACTGAATCACATTGTATTTAGTCCAAAGCTTTTCCTGGAGTAGGGCTGCTGCTGGGGGTTGGGCTTTTTGAGCCAGAGACATTGCTTTTCCACTTTTGCGCAAGCATACTTTGGGCTCTAGCCAATTCCTGGGATAATATGGCGCTTTCTTGGGCTTGACGTTCCATAGTCCGCTGCTGTTTGTGGATCAAGTCGACTAAGTAAGCGTTATCGTTTCGAACACGCTGTAGGTCCCGTAGCAGAGACATAACATCGGACTTCTCGAGAGCGTGGATGGCCGGAGCAAGCCTACCCAGGGCAGTAGCGGTGCGACTTAATTCAAAGCCCAATGCGGGCTCGAATTTCCACGAAGCATCCATTGGTTGAAAGACGTGGTTCGTTGAGAGAGGATCTGGACCACGAAACATGTTTTTTTTCTGGGGATCAAATTTGTCCCAGTCTAGAGCTTCCTAAATTTGTCTGTCATGATCAATATTCCTCTTGCAGGAGAATATGTACTGACCTGCATTATCAACCAAGAAACTGGAAGGTCACTTCGGAAGTTTGGGTAGGAAAGCTGGAGTACAGAATATGGTGTTTTAGCGTGGACGACTTGCGTGTCTCTAGCGAGAGAAAGTCGAGGTTGACTTGAAGTTAAATTCTTCTTGATCCGAATAAACTTAATATATATGTAAGAAAGCTCGATGATTAAGATTTGCTCGTGACAAAATGACCCTGCGATCAGTTCTTAAAGTTTCTACAAATCTCGCTGGTTGTGGGAACTGCACTCGTAGCAACCTTCGCTCAATCAATACAAAAAACAAATGTTTAACAGGCCTGCCGAAACAAAACGTACCCGCGCTTCGCATGATTCCGCGGTTTGAGTTATAGATTTATTTTTCGTGTGGATCGCGGCCTGCTGAAGCTACCGTGGTATGAGCGGCTGGGCTTAGCGCTCGGAAATAGAGAGATTTTCTTCTGCGTCACTATTTTTGCTAGAAACAATTTTACTCCTCTCGTTTCTGACGGGCTACGCATTCGCGCTTTCCTTTTTCTGCGTCCGCCTCTAGTTTACGAACGATTGGAACGATATCGATCGAAAAGATCAAAATGGGAAGGAATATTCCACACTAGGCGTCCGTCGTTTGTTTCCCCGTGAAGTTAAAGAGGGGAGGAGGGGGGGAAGTTGGTAAAACCGAGTTCGCGATTAATAATCCTCTCCATCAAATAGTGACTGCGTTGAATGAGGTATAGTACCGGATTTCTATGGGTTCGAAATGAACTAAATTGTCGCGTTCAACTTACCACGGTTCAATGCAACGTTTATATTCTCGACACCCCTCTGAGACTCCTGGTCCCTGGAGCTTTCAATTGTGCATGACGTATACATAAGTCGATGCGCAATTTGTTTTGAATTGTTGAGAAAAACGTGAATTATTTACTGCGATGGCGCGACCTAAAAGCGTGGAAACCGTCAGCAGACCCAACGACCGAGCCCAACAAGAACAGATACGTAAGCGCCGGCATAATCTTTTCAGAAGGCTAAAAGAATTCAACGACCGTTACGATATTGACATATGGATGACCATGCGGATGCCGAGCGGATGGGTTTATACATTTGTTACAAAGCCGGATGAAGCGTGTCCCACCGAGGATGAGCTCGTGAGTCGCCGATTAAGGCTTAAATGGTTTCGCTAATAACATTGAAGCGGTCACAAAACCTTCCAATAATCCGGAAAACCCCTGCAGACTATGTTCCGAATGCCGAACCAAGGCTGATCGTGCGAAGTCCTCCAGTGTTTTCATTGCCTCGTCCTGCATATTGCGCCGAAGTTGGTCCTTTTGAAAATTCTCAGGGCTCTGCCAGCTTCCCTTTACAATCGCACAGCCCGAGTGAGAGTAGTAAGATCCAAGTGAAAGATGAAAAGAACTCCTGGACCTGATTACAGTATCATCACGAACTTGTTCGCTCTGGGCAAATAATAATTGTATATCCTTAGTGCAGCTGCTTGAGAATGTGCCTTAAATATCTTTGAAGCAAGATAAGTTACTATACTAGGTAATAAATAAACAGGAGCAAAGTATGCATACAGTACAAGAGTGCGTATGCGCCATCAGCACTTCCCAGCATCTTTGAGCGATATACAATCCATCGTAGGTATATATGCTGTACTGTACTTATAGAGCGACTTAATACTTCCAACGAACTCAGGTGTGGTGACAGGATCCCAAAACCTGGTGCAACACTGAAAAGCAATCCACCGATTGTTCAGGGAGATTGACGATTAGAAGACTGTCGATTCTAGTAGCCTACTCCCTGACTATTTAAGTAGACAGATTAACAATAAGCCCTACTGCTGGATGCATCGAATAGACGAATCGAAATGTTGGAATCCAATGACGCGTATCATGGATGTCGACATTAGCATGTCATGTGGTTAGGGTTTGAATGAGCATCTCAACGCTTTCCAGCATAGAAGGCAATAACGGTCGCCATTGTAAACACTTTCCCTTGCTCTGCCCAGCTACCCGACTTCAGCGTCTCTGTCTGTAGCTATCAAGCCGTTGTCTCCGGTTCGTTGATTAACTACGCGCCCGTCTCCTCTGGTAGCACTACCTGCTTTGGGGGCATTCAGAGCAATAGCGGCGTTGATTTCTCTATCTTCGGAGACATCTTCCTCAAAAGTCAGTACGTTGTTTTCGACTCTACCGGTCCGCAGATTGGCTTCGCCCAGCAGGCGTAGGCCCGCTGAGCAACTTCCCATAAATGATTTCTCTCATAAGGCACGCTGATCTCGATACATGGACCAACCTTTACCTAGGCGAGGTGGCTTGGGCGCTAGCTTGGTTGGTGATCCTGGACTTTGAATGCTTGGCAATGTGTCATTTCTGAACTCAGCCTGCCTTTGTACATCCTCTGTGTTCACCCGAGGTTGCATCGATGGTGGTGCAGCTGCGGGATGGCATCTCACGATTCTAGACCCACCAACTGTGTTCAACATTGGATGTGTCTACCGCAGCATTGCCTAGTTGGTAGCTCCCTAGGCTAGCCCAATTCACCTGAACTCTATCATATTGACGCAATTTTTGTTCAACTTTCACAATATCCACAAGTCAGGCGCCACAGCATGGCGCGCGTGTGCTGTGTGACCGATATACAAGTCTTCTGTTCAACATTAGCGGCAATGCTGTTCATGTTTGGCAGTAACTACCCGTTTCCAGATGTAGTTAAAATCACAAGATCTAGCAAGTTCAACTGATTATGGCCATGTCCGATACTGCTCTTCTGTTCACCACAGGCTATACCTTTTGCAAAATTGCTGCAGTTGGGGGTCAATCAAGAGCCTAGTCAAGTTATTCTGAGCACGTCTCTGGTTGACTAAAGTTCTTCTGTTCACCGTTGATTGTGTTGACCAAGATGCCGATTGCGACAGCCGTTGGAATTCCTCTGCAAGGCGATGGCTTCAACAAAGAAAAGGAAGACGGAGGCCAACTGCTCGTGCCCTCTTCAGGGCACCGGTTGAACTGGTATTCGGGAATTTTCTGTTCAATATGCTGCACCTGTGTCAATTCTAGCACGAGGCCGACTTTCAAGAGGACCTAACCAGTAAAATCAGAAATGTTTCGCTAATTACATGTTCTTAGTTTGCTGCAAGAGTTGAACTTCACAAAATAGCACAGCGATTGCTGTATTTGATTTTGGGCGCAAAATACGGTGTTCCACGAGCATGGATGGTTGAGCAAAGGAGAACAGCGGGGTTGAACGCCACTAGCACACGCAAATACTCTTTGGGCATAGTGTGAGCGGGCCACTTCTAGGGAGTTCGCTAAAATGGCGTTTGAAAACCCTTGCACTCGTTGAACTCGAACTAACGAACAGCAGAGCTGCGTTGAACTTGGCTACACTCGTAACCGCGCGTGGGCAAAGAAATTGGTGAACAGACAGCCACTTTCCAAGCCTACGATCAACTAAATCGGTCACACGGCTCACACGCTCTAGGGTGAACAGAACCGGTTGCATTGCCAATTGGATATTGTGAAATTTGAACAAAAATTGCGTCAATATGATTGCGTTCATGTGAACCTCGCCGGACTAGGGTGCTGCCAAATGCGGCAATGCTGCGGTGGACGTATCCAATGTTGAACACATTTGCTTTGTTCGCCAATTATTGTGTTCACTGCAACATTGCTGCAGTTTATCACACGAGTCAAGTCGAAGTTCACCTGAGCCTGGCTGAGTTCACCTCCACCGTGCCAGTTTCATCCCTGCCGTTTAACATTGGCTATCTGCGCTAGAGTACTGCAGTTGCATCACATAAGCCTGGCTGTGTTCACGTCTGTGGCGTGTTAGATTCATTCCAGCCGTTCAACAGTGACTATGAGATAGATCCAACCCGCTACGCAGGTCAACTCGGTCGCATTAGTGTGGTGCAGAGTTGTAGCGCAGATAGTCACGGTGAACGGCAGTGATGCATTAAATACTCCATGCGGATGAACTTGGCCAGCCTCGTGTGATTCAACTGCAGCGTTGCAGTGCTGATAGTTTGCAGTTGAACAGCAGGAACAGACCCAACACGGTGCACGCGAGCACGGACATACTCGTGAGATCCAATGGCGGTGTTGTAGTAAAGAAAGCGAATGTTCACCAACAGGGATGAATCTAGCAAGCCACGTACGTCAACATGACCCGATAGGCATGATTCAACTGCAACGTTGTAGCACAGATAGCTAATTTTCAACGGCAGGATGAGTCTAACGCGCAACAAGTGAACTCGGCCAGGTTCATGTGATCCAACAGAGGATTGCAGGAAAGAAAGAAAATTTGGAATGGCAGAGATAAATCCTACACGGTAGAGGTGAACTCAGCCAGTTCGTGTGATCCAGCTGCAGCGTTGCTGTGCTGATAGTTGCCGTTGAACGGAAGGGACCACTCAAAAATGCCACCGAGTTGACTTTGCTAGACTCGTGTGATCCCACCTGCACCTAACTCGACACAACTGTTGAGACGGCGGTGTCTAGACTCGCGTGATGCTAACAGTAGCTGCGTCGTAGCGCTCGCGTTCCATGGCAAACTGGGGTACAGTACAGTACGGCATTTGTGTTTGCCGTGTTTACTCTGGTGTGACACTAACTGCAGCTTCTGCTCTGTTGACCCTGTCCAGATCTATCCAAGTTCACCTTGGATATGGCCGTGTTGGATATTGCTCTTATGTTCAACACAGGTCGTATCTATATCAAGATGCTACAGTTGGAACCAATTACGCGCTTAGCCAAATTAATCTGAGCACGACTCTGATTGTCTGAAATTTTCTGTTCACCATTGATTGTGTTCACAAGGTTGCCAATATTGATAATCATTGCATTTCCTCTGCAGCGCGGCGGCCTCTATTAAAAAAAATGTCAACCGCTTGTCTCCCTAGATATCGGTTAAACTAGCATTCAAGACTTTTGTGTTCAAAATGCTGGCCCTATGACAGTTCTAGCGCACAGTCGATTTGCCTGACGGAAAGGACCCAATTCAGTAAATCAGAAACGAACAAGATTACTCACATGTGCCTGGCTTAGTCCATTGTTGAACTTGAATGAATAGCACAATAATTGCTATATTTCATTCTGAGCGCAAAATACGGTTTGGCAACACGCATGAATGGTTGAGAAGAGAAGAAAGCCCCGTTGAACGCCGCTAAGAAAGGCCAAAACACATTTTGGGCGTAGTGCGAGCGGGGCCACTTCTAAGCAATTCGCTCAATACCATTTTCCCCTGCAGCATGAAGTGGGGTGGGTTCCTGCGACACGTATAGTAGCTACAGAATAGCATTGATGGAATCGTTGGAGAGACTCATATGCTCTACAGTCGTGCTCGAAATCGCCTTGACCAATTTACACTGAGAAACTCTTTCCTGGCCCCACTGCCAAGGCGTTAGCGCAGATCATTTATTGAGCTGGCCGTGTCAAATTGAGGGCGAAATAAAATGTGCTGTGTACTATATGTACCCTGACGGAAAATTACAACATGCGTGTAAAACGTCCGTGGAATTCCATGGAATCGTAAAGTGGATCTGCAAATCATGTGGGGAGTGCTGCCTAGTGCCGGGTAACCTGATGGTCTTCCGAGCGACTTCAGTTCTCCTTCTCATGCTGTGCGGCGTGTGCTGGTGATCACCTGTGAGGCTGTCTCTTTGGCCTAGAGAACCTCAACAAGTGATCCTAGCGGCCAACAACCATTCTGACCACTTGGCGGTTGTTGCAAGCGAACAACACCTTCAACCGCTCCTGATGGTGTAAGCCTCAACTAATAATCACTCACCTTTAGTCTGTCGTTATAGTAGGCCCAAGAAAATGACTCCCAGTTCTCTCATTAGCCATGATGATAATGGCGTTCAACAAAGCATCATGCTTGACCCGTGGGGTGATACATCACAATATGCACCAACACCTGGTAACTTCTGTTGGTCACCCACCTCCCCGTCCGACATAAGCTGCATCAATGTCGATCACATCTCCCCTGTCGATTACGCCTCACCACAACGAAGTGCATCACAAAAGAATAATCTTCCCTTACTCCAGTTCGGTGATTGGGAGGAAGGTCGAACATATGACGAGGATCCGCTAACTTGTATCCACTACTTGATCGAGTGGAAGATCACTCTCAATAATAGGACGGTAGCGAAAGATACAGAACAAAATCTGGTTCTACAGTGATTCTCGAAATCGGCTTGTCCAATACACATGATAACTAGTTTCTGGACCCACCGCCAAGGCCTTAGCGCCAATTAGTCATCGGGCGGGCCGCGTCAAACCGAGGGGCTGGGTAAAATGCGCTCTGTATGTTACAGTACCTAACTACGTAAAATTACACAAAGCGAACGAAAAGCCAGTCGAATTCCAGGGAAACCGATAGTGCGTCTCTGCAAATCACGCGGAGAGGAGCCTAGTTCCCGGACCATCTGCTAGGTAGCTTCAGCTTTCCTTCTCAACTTGCACGGCATGCGTGCCCCTTTGTCGGCCATAACTTCCGATCAGTCATGGGAGGCGGTGGAATGGATTGGAATGGTATGTTGCAACGTATCCATTGGGTGGTCAAATTTAACCGCCTTGGTCAGTGCTGCCGAGGTAGAATGGAGGCTTGAGATGTGGTTAAAGGTGGACAAATCAACTGATCTCCTCTTAGAGTGGTGAAATTTACACACCACTCTGGCCATTGTTTCGGAGATAAAATGAAATGCCGTGGTGTATTTAATGGGTAGTCAAATTTAACCATCTGTCGGGGGACAGATAGATTTAGCTCTGACCAAAGTATTCATTTTTAAGCCATTTTCAATAATGATCCAATGAGACAAAAAATATTTAGAATGGAGAATGCGATTGTGTGGAAAATGCTGACTCCTTACTTGAAATATCAGTTCGAAATTATTTAATAGGCAGCTGTCTACGATATTTTAATATGGATTGCTCTAGTGTAACGTGTCAAAAATGCTATACCGCTAGACCAGAAAGCACTATTGGTTCGACTAGGTAATATAGTATTTTTATATTCGACATAATGTCAAACATAAGGCGTTGGAAGGCAGCGCAAATTCGATTTAAAGGGTTTATACTCCCCTTATTAACATACTCGCTGTTTACATGGAATAATTGTTCGCCTTACTTTTGTAGTGGATCAACTCAGACAACTTGGCAACATGGCAACTATTCTGATCTATTGGTTTGTATTGCTAGCTGCGGCTTCCACAGCGTTGGCTACAGCTTCTACTTCCACCTTACTAGACGTGTGTACGACCAAATACGGCCGAACCTCAACTAGTGGGGTTAGCACTGAGAATGTATTCCTCACTGTCACTAGGTATGCTCCTTATGACTTGATGTTTACTAGCAATTTGCAGACCCTCAACTAAAACTGTTTCTAGTCATGCCACTCTCACAACAACTTCGACCCCTATCAAAACAACAACTCTTTCTCCATCGACTATTACCTCAGTGGTGACAGACACAGTGTATTCCACAAGCGTCTTAGACCAGAGTACAGCCACTTTCTCAACAACACTTACGTCGACCCTTGTGGTAACCAACTATGACATCATTACAAGTACACAAATTGTTACGAGTGATACTACAGTAAGTTTATATTATGTGAAACCAGACCTGTACCTATGTGAAATAGTTTATATGGCTTTCATACTTGGCCATCATTGGCACATTTGAGACTCAACTTATCAGATTCACAGTACTAATAGTTGAATAGGTTACTTCTTCCATCACAACTACGATTCCACCTTCCTCTGGATTTACCTTCGCTTCAGCACTCAGCCAGTCAACCAATGGACCTAGGCAGACGGCTGCCACAGAGCAAGACGCGGTCACTCACGGAGCAGATACATTCCACGTGTCTATACAGTCTGACCAAACAACTGCTCGTGTTGTTGTCAACCCTCCTATCTACCCTACTGCAGTGACATGCGCTGGCATTGTCAGGGTTATCACTACAAGTACAATAACTAAGACTGCAGCGACGACATTGACTGTGACCAGTACACCACCTGCCAAAGCTACTACTGTTACAACTGAATTTACGTCAAGTAAGTTTTCAAAGCAGAGACTTCATAACTCGTTCCTGGATATACGCTAAGATATATACAATAGCTGTTACCAGTACTCCAGTTGCTGCTTCAACAACACTCACATTTAGCACAAGTGCAATAGTATCGACCACAGTGACAACCACCACGACAAGCACGCAGGTAAGTTCATATGCCGAAGCTCTTCAATATGCATTAATAACCCAATCTACTAGACTATAACTGGCACTGTTACTGTGGAAGTTCCTATAGCAACCTACTATGCAGCTTGCGGCCCAGACAACCAAATCAATGAAATCAATGGTCAAGGAATCCCCCAAATATTTTATTCTGATCTGGGGTCCCTCAGTTCCGTACGAGCGACAAATGCATATGACTGCTGTGTGGATTGCTTAACATACTCTGGGACCTGCTCTGGTTATTGGTTTATCAGGGGCCAGTGCGCACTGATCATCCCAACCAACACCACCTGTGATCCTTCAAACAACAGTCATGAGTCCGCCGTCTTAGGAGGTAGCGGCTTCACGATTGGTAATTCTAATTGTGGGTCGTACTCACTGCATTGATTTATCAACGCTTGACAACCAGCGCTCGGAAAGCTATGGGCGGGAAAGAGGGGGGTGCTTCTTAAGTTCGACTCGGAGGAAGGATTCCTATTTAATGCCCTATGACAGGAATTCACAAGAGAAATGGAGTAGCGAGTGCCAAGTGCATCATTTATCATCCACCAGTCACATCCCATCGCTGCTAGTCCTCAGCGCCTACAGCACATCGCCTTGGTCAATATCCCATAGATAGAGGATGTTGTTCCCCGTGTGGGAAAGTAGAGCTAACAGATCGTACTGGGAACTAGGCTCCAGGCGGCCCTTTCCGCGTGATTTGAAGAGACCCCCTATCGGTTTCCATGTGTCAGTGCAATTATCCACCTGGTAATTTACAATATGATCCAGCTGCTGCATTCCTAGCGCTTACTCAGCTAACCGCCATTGTCTATTATGGAAACTGGCGCCCGATGTGGAATTTACACGTCCATTTTCCACTCCGACAATTCCCGCCTGTCTACTCTATAAATACAGTCAGAATAGCTAGTCTGAATAGCATCGATTTCATCATTCTCCAATGAGACTACTAGGTAGAATTACTAGTGCATACGCCCATCAGACATCCTGACACCATGGAATTCCACAGGCTTTTGGTACGCTTTGTGTAATCTTACGTAGTTAGGTACTGTAACATACAGAGCGCATGTTACCTAGTCCCTCGGCTTGACGCGGCCCGCCCAATGACTGATCCGCGCTAAGGCCTTGGCGGTGGGTCCAGAAACTAGTTATCATATGTGTATTGGTCAAGCCGATTTCGAGAATCACTGTAGCCCCTCGATTTCATTTGAGGCTCTTTTTGCAACCAAAGCTAAAGGAGCTACTTGTACGAAAGTATCCACATCGAAAACTTGAATCGGATGACACGTCTGTTGTCGTATCCGCCACTCGGCAGAAGGGCCTCACTCTAAGGTTTGATTGAACCGACATTGATTGGGCCTCTATAGAAAAACAGCTTTCGGATTGGGGAGACCTCTTTCTTGCTGGCAAGAAACTGAGACTGGTCATCTCATTTAATTACATGGAGAACTCTTCGAGCTCAAACGGAAGTGGCAGGACGACTGATAAACGAGGCACTTCGTCTGCTACCTAGCGGATGCTTCAGGAGCGAGATCAACAGGTCTATGCTAAGGAAGTAGCTTCCGGAGAGCCGCCTGCCTAGAAAGAGGTATATGCTTTGATGCGTTGTCCTGGGTCCTGCGAACTAGGTCCGCACTGCTGGCAGGACACTTATGGAAAAAAGCACTACAAGCTCTACCAGGATCAGCTGGAGAGCTTAGTGAAATATGTGCAGAGCGGTAGGGTTTTACAGTCACATGAAGATGTGCCTGGTATGATTCGTGAGCAAATCTACAGAGCATAGAGACAACGGCTCGACAGACTACGGCCCAATAATCGATCTACCGCCGAGGCAAGCTGCCCTCCCATTACTATCACCAATGTGCTTCCAACACAAGCCCAACAAGCACCTAGGCTGTCAACATCCGCACTTCTAGGGAATACTATTGCCTCTTCAGCCGACGTTCCTGCCATTCATATTTCAGGCGTTCTCGATGTTGCTGTGAGAGAATATAGCAGCTGGCAATAGTCACGTTTGGGTGACGAGGCATTAAAAGCCGAGGTTAGAAAGGCGTGTGATGTAGCCCTAGATGATGGCCTAGACTTGGCGCAGATTGATGAAGACAAAGATCCTAATTACTTTAAGGTTCGTGGTGTCAAGTGGGGTATTGCTCGGCGTTTTGTCACATTAGGCACTAGGCGGAAAAATACAACGGATGTGTGACAAGCGAAGCGGATATATAGTGCGAGCATTGGGTATTCTGGTGGGCCCTTTTGGGCATCTATATAATTTGAGATATCTTCTATGCAGCTTGGCAAGAAAATCAAAGTTCATCGATTATCAGACTTGCGTTTCGGAAATGACCCTTTGCGCTCGATGCCCTTGAACCAACCACGTCAACGCACCACTCAAGAAAGGCGTCGAAACCTTGATTTGGGTTCACTTCATACTCATTCCACTTCCGTTGATGAATTGCTTGAGCTCGGAGAAGAACTCTTCAATAGGGTTTAAGTCCGGTGAATAAGGGGGAAGATATATTAGCTTCACGCCGGAGTCTGAGCACATCCGCTAGATCTTCTCCGTACGATGAAAAGAAGCGTTATCTATGACGAGAATAGACTTCGGCTCCGGCCACCGGTTGTAGTGTTAAAGAAGTTGTTCGATGAAATCCTCGAAAACATCGGCATCGGTAGAGCCTTGAAATATCCGTCGTAGGACAATCCCATCCTGAGCATACGCAGGTAGTATTTGATAGCGTTTATCCCGGTGGAAATTAGAGATCTGAACCGGAGTAACACGACAGGAGACTAGCCTGTTCGTCGAAACCTAGCCCGTTTATCACAACCTGACTCATCCACGAAGACCAGATGGCACGACCGAAAGCTAGATAGGTTGTGGAGGTAGAAGTCCCGTAAATCTGCGTTCCGTTCCTTCGCAATCTTTCGAGCTGCTTTCTTTGACCATCCGACCGAAGCAAGAGCTCTGCTGATGCTTTGAATCGTCACATGCTTCCCGAATTCGTCCCAGAGAAAGAGAGCCATCTCGTCTCGATATAAAGTCGGTTTTTCTATCAAGTGTTCATAGAGAGCTTCTAGCATGGACGGTGTGATACTTCGCGGGCGTCTAACACCATTGCGTGGCGCCCTAACATTCCCGAATACTTGAAGGTTGGAGCGAATGTGGAGTATGGATTGTTTGCTGCAGCCGGCGGCAAGAGCCATCTGGGACGTTGTTAGTGAGTTACTCTGGATCATATGATGAATAAGCTCGAGCTGTGGGGGTTTGAGGTTTGGTGCCATGTTGCTCGATATAAAGTGGAGTGGTTGTCTGAATGAATGACTGTGCTACGTGGACTTACAGTACTCTACGTACCGCAGTAGGCTACCCCTTGGGTATGACGGGCCGACAATGGATCCGGGCTTATGACATCACCTGGCACTAATACATTCTACCCGGTTCTATGGGATTCTCACAGGTTATCACGCGAAGTAATGCACTATATAGTATAGCAGATCTCGTCCTAGAGTCACGCTGTTATATTGTAAGCGGCGCTAGGAGCGGACCGGGCCGGCTTGAGTGTATCCATTATTGTTTTGACTTTGGTAGGGCGAGGACAGCATGGTAGGAGTACCGCAGTGTGGGGCGGAAGCTACGGGAACAGTGGCACCAAAAGTTTTCGACCACCCAAAGTACCTCTTTTTTACCGCCTCCTTATTGAGGACATACCGCCAACATCTTACAATATATGAGTGGTCCGGCCACTATTTGCCGGCAGAATTATTTGCGTGGTACTTCAGGTGGTCGAAAACTTTGGAGGTGCCACTGTAGTCGTAGACTGGTGGAAACCGATGAATTTCTTTGTGCAAACAGACAGAACAGATAGGAAGCCTAATCTGGCAATAATCGTCATCCACTTCTCGCGCCTTAATCCCCTAATCACGCGATTTCCATTCTCTATCAATCAGTCGCATTTTGCATGAGTAGACTGGTCACGTCACGACGCTGTTATTAGAAAGCTTCTCATAGAAATGCAGCTGAGTCGGGAAGCTTACAGTCCAACCGCAACAAAATACCCGCATCGTTTGATTACCTGTTTAAGCGCTATGAAGTCACCTGATGTGAACTAGCGGACCTGCCCCCTTTCAGCTGAGAGTCAGGAAACATCCTCCACCGCAAGCCACAGACAATGCATGTTATCAATCATGGCATCGACATCTTATTGTGGTGCTAATGACGGCCTGCAGATAGGTACTAACCATGACACAATCACAGCGGAATTCCACATGTCTAAACGACAAAAGACCTCCTACCATGACGGTTCGCCTTCCCCGCGACGCGATCGGTACACCATCACCTGGATTTGTGCGCTCCACATAGAAATGGCACCAGCTCAGGCCATGCTAGACGAGTTTCACGAAACACTGCCTACCTATGCGGACGATAAAAACACCTACGTCCTAGGAAGCATCAAACGACGTAATATCGTTATTGCGTGTTTACCAGAAGGGCAGTATGGAACAAACAACGCAGCGATCGTTATGACGAACATGAAGCGGACTTTCCCAGCAATACGCGCATGTTTGATGGTCGGGATTGGCGGTGGTGTGCCAAGCAAGGCTGATGTGCGTTTGGGCGATATTGTTGTTGGAACAAGGGTGATGCAGTATGATCTTGGCAGCGGTTCTTATCTATCTATCTTCTCCCATGACAAAGGCTGCAATATTGCAATAGAGAACAGATTCTGGTATCGACCGAATAATCCGAAACAATTGAAATCTCCAAGCCAGAAAAGTATAGCAGACCGTCAGTATCACATATTCTAGTGGTAGAATCCTTGGCGCCACTTCAACATTTCATACCAGCCGTCACGCCGAGCGCAAGTAAGACTGAACGGCACGAACAGTAATTCAATGCATTGCCTGAATAATACCAGTCACCGACTGAATTAATCCAAACAATAAAGCCAAAAATAAGGCGATCACTGCAATCCAAAACGTATACCTCTGGTTAGGCTTACGCTTGTCGATTATCCACTGCCGCAGCGTTGTCGGCTCTGTCCGGTCGTATTCTTCGCGCAATTCCAACAACTGGCGGGACCAGAAAGGGAAACTAGCGATATCACGCGATGTAGGAGGGAGCTGGCCCGCTTCCAGGTCGATGGCTGCTTTTCGACGGCATTTTTGGATCCAACGCTGGCACTTGAGGTTGGATCTTGGGATCAGCAGCGACAATGTACGTGCAGTCTCTTCCAAGAAGCCTGGTGGGAAGATGGGTTTGAGATAAGTAAGTAAATGAAAGCTCACGGAAATGCGACTTATCCGGGGTGGGCGGGTCGTACCGATCTTTGCTATGCCTATACAGATCTAGGAAAGACGACAGGTGAAAAATTTTGAGCTCCTTGTGCTCGTCCTCCAAGCTCAATGAAAGGTGATCCTCAAGGCGTTCCGTCCAACCAATCTGGAACCCACCAACTTTCCTCAGGTTGTCGATATTAAATGTTAACAAAAATGACGGGGCATCGGGAAATCCTGAGATTTTGGAAAAAGAGACTGAATGTACTGCTCGAGCGTTCGCTTGTCGTCCCAGTCTTCGATAGAGATGAACAGCCAAAGGTGGACTGCTACAGCAATAGCGGGGATAGCGGGTCCTATTTCAGCGTAATGCGTCTCGACTGCCTGAATGAGCTTTGACTTCGTGTAGTTCACGTTGGCCTTGACAAAGTCGATAAAACCGACAAGTTCTTCATTTATCTGTAGCTTGAGTCGATATGCCTCGATCAAAACGAGCTGACCATTGTAGTAGTCCAGTAATGCGTCCGAGGTTTCTTCGACACGTTCTTCCTGTGGTAGATTCCATACCGCAGGGATTAAGTTCTCCAGGTCAGTCCTTGCACTGGTAGCTCGTTGAACAACGCTGACGGAGGGCGAGAATACTGGGCTTGACATATTGCTCTCCTGGTTTTCAAGAGATCGGGGCTAATATACAGTGAAATTGGGTGACATCGTTTGAACGGTCCGGGTCGGCAATGTGGCACGTGATCGTCGGGCAGAATGCCTCGAATAGGACAGAATGCCGCATACAAGCCTCTATTTTATTCGCTCTTGCCAGCTGCGCCTTGGGGCTGTGGCGCACGGCTGACTGTGATGAGCTTCTAGTTTCTTACCCCGCCTTCATGAGACAAAAACTTTCGATGGCTATCAAATCAGCGACACGAAGCCGCGGACCCGACATAACCATGAGGACCATGTTGCAGACACATCTCAGTCGAGTCTTTGACTCGGAGACAAAAGTTGAACCGCCAACATTCTGGGAAGGTTTAAGCCCGGAAGAACGAAGAGAATCTGTTGACCAACAGCAATATTGGGGGTTCAAAGGTCAATTCGCCTGGAATCCCGCCGGTCGGGTGGTGGAAGAATGGAATGCATCCATATACCAGAATTTGCTCAAGCCGCTCTTCAGAGAAAATACAGCCAAATTATTTCGTGGCGTCAGGAAGCAATGTCTTTATGACATCGCTTGTTGGATGGTCGGCAATGAGTGGCAGTCGTCTCACCCTGCAGCAATCATTCTTTCCGGCGACCCAAAAGTCTCCAGAAACGGCGTAAAATTGGTCAAGAGGCATGGCCAGCTGCTCCTCGAATTCGGATTCCGCGTATACGAATATGAGAGCGATATCTTACCGAGCATGACCACCTCTTTAATGGACGAGCTGAACATTACTACAAGTCTCTGCGGCATGCGGTTTGTCGTTGGGGGATCGGACGGCATGTCCTCTAGAATGTCAACTCTAGGAGGCGCTGTCATTCTAGGCGAAGAATATTTTGGTGTCACTGTATTGCATCCTTTCATCCAAAGGCATCAAAGCAATGAGTCCGACGAAGATGATCAATCCGACTTGAGTGATAGCGAAGACAATGCTTCCAGTGTGGGTATCGATTTCCATGCTGAAGGCATTGCTCTAGATGCAGACACGATCTATCTCCTAGAGCCTGAGTCACAGGGAAGATTTGTGGGCGCCATTCCCAAAGAATCAAGGTCGAGGTATTTCTCGCCGCATATGGATTGGGCTCTCGTGAAACTGGAATCGACCACTGGCCTGCTTCTCAATTTCGCAACCCTTGATGGCAAGGTTGTCGTTCCATCGAAAGTATCGGTGACCTTCCCCAAGGATCTAGTATGGGCAATAGTGAATTCAGCTACACCTATACAAACCAGAGTTTCCCCTGTCATGCACGGGCTATTCTTGCCTCACTCTGGGCTTCAAGATGCCTGGGCATTGAACATGAAACCAAGTGAGTGCCAATATGACCTTTCCTGCAGGGTTTGAAATTAACTTTTTTTGGCCAGCCCTTGGAGATTCTGGAACATGGGTCGTGGACCCTGAGACTGAATCAATATTCGGTATCATTGTCGCTGGGTCAGATCTCACTGAAACCTCATTTATTTTACCTGCGCAAAACGTCTTTAGTGAAATATGGGAGCGTTTCCCGGGCATGCAGTTCCCCTTATCGGGTGATCTACACACACTGCTCAACGCAGTTAATCTTGAAATGCCTCAAATTGCCGAGCTAGCAGTGACCAAAAGCACCTTGACAGAGCTGAATCTCGTGGGCTACGAGGGTTGGAGTCCACTGTCATTAGCGTCTTCCAAAGGTTCTAGTGCTCTTGTAGCGTCTTTGCTGCAAGCAGGAGCCGACCCAAACCTCGCATGCTCCCCATCAACTCTGCCGTTACATCTTGCTGCGTACGGGGGATTCCTGGAAGTCATACGGATATTACTGGATTTTGGCGTGGACCCTAATTCAAGAGGTGTGTTTTACATGAAGCCATCGCGCATGCTGGATCAAGGTGCCGATGTCAACGAGGGTGGAGATTTTAGCAATGCACTTCAAGCCGCATCCTTAGAAGGCCATAGAGAGGTGGTACAGATGCTGCTGGATCGAGGTGCCGATATTGACGCTCGGGGTGGACGGTATAGTGCACTTCAAGCCGCATCCTCAGGAGGCCATAAAGAGGTGGTCCAGATGCTCCTAGAACAAGGCGCCGATGTTAACGCCCAGGGTACGAAGTACGGCTATGCACTTCAAGCCGCATCCTTAGGAGGCCATAAAGAGGTGGTCCAGATGCTACTAGATCGAGGTGCCGATGTCAACGCCCAAGGCCCAGTTAGTGGCAACGCACTTCAAGCCGCATCCTCAGGTGGCCATAAAGAGGTGGTCCAGATGCTACTAGAACGAAGGGCCAATGTCAATGCCCCAAGTGGAAAGTACGGTAACGCACTTCAAGCCGCATCCTCAGGAGGCCATGAAGTGGTAGTCCAGATGCTCCTAGATCGAGGCGCCGATATCAACTCCCAGGATCAAGTTGGTGACAACGCACTTCAAGCCGCATCCTCAAGAGGCCATGAGGTGGTAGTCCAGATGCTGCTAGAACGAGGCGCCGATGTCAACGCCCTAGGTGGAAAGTATGGCTCTGCACTTCAAGCCGCATCCTCAGGAGGCCATAAAGAGGTGGTCCAGATGCTGCTAGATCGAGGTGCCGATGTCAACGCCCAGGGTCGATCGGGTAACGACGCACTTCAAGCCGCATCGTTAGGAGGTTATAAAGAGGTAGTCCAGATGCTACTAGATCGAGGTGCCGATGTCAACGCCCAGAATAAAGTTGGTGACAACGCACTTCAAGCTGCATCCTTAGGAGGTCATAAAGTGGTGGTCCAGATGCTACTAGAACGAGGCGCCAATGTCAATGCCCCAGGTGGAAAGTACGGTAACGCACTTCGCGCCGCATCCTTAGGAGATCATAAAGAGGTGGTCCAGATGCTCCTAGAACGAGGCGCCAATGTCAATGCCCCAGGTAGAAAGTACGGCTATGCACTTCAAGCCGGATCAGCAAAGGGACATAAATAGGTTGTCCAGATCCTGCTGGATTGAGGTGCCGCGGATCTACATGCAGCGTTGTTCCCAGCGAGTCGCACCAGGAGTAAAAAGACCACCGGGCTCCTTCTCGAGAAGGGGGCAGATATTTTGCTCTTTGGCCCTCGGTTGAGTGGTTTTCCTGGACCAACCTGTGAATGCGAGGGCCGTCCTAATCCCTGAGGTCATCACTAGCCTCTGGAGTCCGTCCCGTAGAAATGCAACCATGTTGTTCAAGCTAAAGACCGGGCTTTTGGAACAGGCGATGGCAGAACATGGCAGTGCACTCTACGCTGCATCTTTGTAAGGCAATAAAAAGGTGGCGCAGATGCTACATAGATTTAAGCAACGTACTGTTTCACTTGTCAGTAGATTGACCGCATTCCGATTTTGTTCGTTATTTGTAGAGGGGACCGCCGACGTTACGGCAATATCCTATACATAAATTGAAGCCCATTTACGCCACTTGACGTACGGGGTATATTGACTTACGATACGATGTTAGGAAGCTCGGTAAAGCTTGGTTGTTGATTCCCGCTCCTCGTTCTGTAGCATACATAACCATCTCGTGTTTGTCTTGTTGGCTCTTCTCCTGGGAACACACATCGTGGGACAGAAAAAAAGTAATCTGCTAATCAATTTCGCGCGTCTCTTGCCTTCCAGTAAGCACGATATTCCTCCCGCTTCCTCTCAATTTCTTGAGACTTTTGGAAAGCGTTGTAATCCACCGAATAGCATGTGTATTTCTGTCCCGCTCTGAGAGTGCATGGCAATCCCAACCCGAGTTTTGCTGCGCGATTGAGATCATCTTTATGATTTTCAGTACCATCATTATCCTCCAATGGGGAGCTGCCAATCCATCCTGGAATGTCATCCAATGTAGAAATCTCGTCGTTTCGGTATGTAACCAACAATGGTACTCTCTCAGCGATTGCAGAGCCGATTCTTAACATCGCAAAACCATCCATGAACTCGGTCCAACGCGGCGCCAATGCCGCGTAGCTGGCAACAGATAATAGTGAGAGAAGGTAAATGGTTAGCAAAGTAGATATAACTACAAGACCGGCCCGGGATATTGTCGGTATGTTTGTATCTCTTCCCATATCAGAAACGACGCTGACCGAGGGGTAGAGACCGTCCTGAGTCCCAAGTTCTATGCATGCCTCATTTGTAAGGAATAGGCCATCGGACAAAACTTTTTCCAAATTCGACTTGTAAGTTGCATCCGAGCTGTTAAAGTTGTGGAAAATTGACAGCCATTTCAGGAAAGAATATTCATCCTCGGAGGTAGCATTGAAATGGCGTTTCGCGATAGTGGATGGCATCGTAGAAGTGAGTGATGTCCAGAGGCCCCAGAGTGGTGGTTGAGAGCAATATTGAACACCTAGCGAATAGGTACGGTTGCTCAATTCCGGATCGCTCAACGCAGTAGCACAGCTTGCCATATAGGATATTGGGGAACCGAACATCGCCCACGCTAAGCTGAGAAGAGGACCGGGGTTTAGGTTCACCATCCGTAAGGAGTCATCGAAAAACTGAGAGCCTCTGCGCTGTGTCGCCTGTCGTATAGATTCATTTCTCGACCCGGTCGGGTCCCTTACCTCGAGAGGACCAGGGATTCCGGAGTTCATGTAATTGGGTAACTCGAACCAGCCGGCAGTCGTATGCGCAGTAACCTTCAACAGGCTTTTGGTTACCTTGAACTGGCCATATTCATCGCACCCGTTGATGTCACAGCTGACTTTTATGAATGTTACGTTGATAAAGAGTTCCTCTGTGAAGTCCTGTCTATCACGAGTGTTCTTCCATGGCCCGTAGGCTTGCGCTGGCGCATTGTGGTTCAGCGGGAAGCTTAGCGGGAAGCAAACTTCCACCTTAAAATAGGTTCCGACTTCCTGAGTATGAAATGCGTATTTGGAAGAGGAGCAATTTGACGGAAACTCCGAAGGATTAATGCTAGTGACTTTTGCGCTGGAGTTGTAGCGAGGTGCGTATTGGCGAAGGACGCCGGTGTTATAACCGTTGGGCAAGGGAGCGAGAAACAGACCAGATGAAGGTGACAGATCAGCTAATGTGTTTCCAATAGCACAGTAAATATTGCCGGCGGAGCAGTTTAACCCGGTAGATTGCCAAATCAGTTGGTCATAATTTTCGGGCATGGCTGAGTTCAGTGTTGGAATGGCAGCAGCTGCGACACTATCCGGATAACAACCGCCAACCGCAATATCGGGGACCGCTCTCGATGAGCCGCTGCTTGTAACTTTGATAGCCTTGGATGATAGGAGCAAGGCTTGAAGCGGAGAGATGAGGCCTCCAAGGAAATGGAGCGCAATGGCAAGAAGGAGAAATGAGCTAACGTAGCGCTTCCACGAGCGTTTTGGATCCCGAATGAGCTGCCAGTATAGAGACGTGTCCGTCCACCCCTTGTCTGCAAGGGCAAGGAGTTGCCTCATGGTCATTTTTGACGCTTTGGCATGGCTCTGGATGAAGACGACCGCGGCGGCGGAGCATACGGCCGAAGCCAGTGGAATAGTCAGAATCCCAGTAGTAGACTGGATTACTCGCGCTGCCTGATACCATTTCTCGTTTGTAGTGTAAATTGCAAGCTGGGGCTCATAGTCGTACCAGTCTGAAAGATTTGTCGGAGCCTCGTATGACTTTGCGGTCAACGGCCGGATGGACAAAATGCACAAAATGATCCATGAGGAAAGCGCTAGCATCGCGTAGAAAGATGCTAGTATCAAGACCCACCATGAGCGTTGAAGTGCGATCGAACCGGGAGGGCGATCATGGCTTCCAGCGTCAGCATCGTTGTCTGGTTGTCCAGACTCTGGAGATGGGCGGTCGCGAAAGTGTGCTTCTGAGGATCTTCTGGGTGGAGACACCAGTGAATACTTTTGGTGATTCATGCTGGGTTGGCAGAGCAAAGAATGGGTTGTGATTACTGAGGGCAAAATGAAGTGCCAGCAGGTTTCCAGGGGAAATGAGGCCCCCTTTCTACTCGTGAACTGGAGACCAGACCACGAGACCTACACAGCCACTCACGGATCACGAAGGGCAACATACAGTGACTAGGTTTGGTTGACAAACACGACCATCGCGAAATTGCAGATTTTCTTCTGTGTTCGAGGTACTTGCGGACAGAAAATGGCTTTTGACAGGTGAATAACTTAACTCGCGTTCGCTTTATCCTCCTTCCAAAGCTGGCCGTATATCCTAGGGGCTAGGAGAGACTAGTGCCTGACAATCCTGCGGATCTCAAAGTTTGCCTGGTATTCTTCTACCGAGCGCATGGTTTTACGTGGGTAAAGATTCTAATTGACCTGTAGGCAGTATAGCAAGGAAGGCTGGAACTGAGTTTCTCGTCGAGCTGCGACGCCCCAGGAGTAGAGTATCGCTGTTTCAAATTGGCCCCGCAGAAGAGATGGGATTCTTTCTACGTTTGGCCGTTTTCCGCTGTATATATTTGCACATCATTACTACGTCAAGAAGGTCTGAAAGAGAGACATTATGGACGAAGAAGGGACTAGGTGAACCGAATCAGCCCTAGCTCCTATACGAAGAGGGATCCGCGAGGCTGAGTGCATGCTATGCGTGGTGCCGTCTGTATTTAAGACCGAGTGGGTGGGTAGGACCCCAAAAGGGGAAAGAAGGAGAACAATGCGAAACCTAGGTCCAGGCCCGGACCGCTTGGGTGGAGAGATCGACACCATAAACGAGGTTCTGGGAGACTAATCTGTCAGGGTAAATCTCCCACTAGTAATTTACTAGGCGGAGCATCTGCCGCATCCCGATCACCTGATCTATCATGGAAGCTAGGCGTCCAGGGCAATTTCCACATTCCGGCAGCTTTTTCTGCTTTCTGCCCCTATAAATAATAGACGGGATAGATAGACTGAATAGCACGGTTCTCATCACTGTCAAATCAGACTACCTTGGTAGAATTCCTAGTGTATACGCTGACCCACAACTCCGACATAATCATCTGATCTATAATGCCATAAATAACTGGGGGTTGGGTGGATTCATAGCCGCTGATTGGTACACGTTGTGCACACGCCCCCCGTATGGCAATCGCTACGTCCGCTTCCAGCCGTCTGCGTTTTCCGGGCGCCTTCCTAATTGGATGCACTCCCGGCAGCTGACAACGCTTTACCTCATTGCAATCTTATATGGTCACTGAGCCAACGACCCGAAATCAAGCCACAGGAACCAACCCTTCCCCCCACCCCAAACACACCCAAACAAAACCCAAAAAAATCCCTACATTATGGTACGGTATCTTGCTGGCCTCGCCCTACCAAAGTCAAAGCAAGAATGGATCACGCCGGCCCGGTCCGCATCTAGCGTCCACCAGGCCGCTTGCACAGTATCAGCGTAGCAGCATGAAATGCAGATGACTGGGACGAGATCTACTACAGTACACGCCACACAGCATGAGAAGGAGAACTGAAGTCGGCCAGAAGATCATCAAGTTACCCGGCATTAGGAAGCCCTCCCCACATGATTTGCAGATCCACTATACGATTCCATGGAATTCCACCCACGTTTTACACACATAGTGTAATTTTCCGTCAGGGTACATACAGTACACAGCGCATTTTTATTTCGCCCTCAATTTAACATGGCCAGCTCAATAAGTGATCCGGGCTAACGCCTTGGCAGTGGGGCCAGGAAAGAGATTCTCAGTGTATATTGGTCAAGGCGATTTCGAGCACGACTGTATACTGTATCGCCCAATACACCCCGGGAGTAGTCAAAAAGCCATAATCCTGTCAGACGATACCCACTATTGTACCCTCAAGCTTGCACATAAAGATGCGCTGGCTGCGTGGTACTGGACTCTGGATACATTCTCGGTATGTGACCCACATTCAAAAGCGCCAACTGCTCAATCGAGATAGATCAAGAAACCTACTGCGACCGCTCGTCTCTGGAGGTGATGAGTATAGTGCCAGTTGTCTAGGACCTCAGTATTCCGGAATTGCGCACGATTCTCCTCCTGAGTACTCTTTCGACGAGATCGCTCTCTTCACTAATCCAAGAGACGGTGAGCTCCGGTGCGAACCGGTGCGAACGTTGCCACGGCCGCCGATCCCTATCTTATCACCGAAATCATTGGAGGGATCCAGTTGCTTATCCCGCTGTCGGCATCTGCTCACGGACGCGAACCCAATGTGTGGAGATAAAATTTAGCGTTCGCCATTTGCATGCGAGGCAATCTACGATCTATGAACTGCCGACCGATTAAATCGCAGAGATGAAACAGACAACTGCACTTGGAGGAGACACGTGGTATACCAACCAATGTAATAACCAGGGTTCCTGCCAGTCAGGAGCAGGCCAATTGCCCAGGGCTCTCGGATCCCAATACAGTATAGCTGAGTTGATCCTGGCCTTTCTTCTGGAAGAAGAAGACGAGGTTGTTGAGTCCAATCTTCTGCAACACACTGGCAAATATAACTTGTTTTGGTGTGGCTTCATTTCAAATCTTTGCAGGGATGGAATGGATAGTCACGAGTTCTTCGCCTTATCTATGGGCTTATCAGTGGTCACTCGAGGGTGGATCATGAGTTGAGTCCCCGTAATAGGAAAGAACATTTTCTAGACTATTAACGCGTCGAAATCGCCGAGATGAACGTGTTGTTTCGTGTCTATCGAATGTTTTGTAGTTTATTTGATTTTGAGAACGAAGTGCGGGCACAAATTGGCTTTTTAAAACAGGGAAAATCCCGGGTCCGGATGCTTGCCAAGTTGTTCTGAAAACCTCATATGGATATATATATATATTCATGCCGGCCGCTTGACTACGCTGCAAAACTAGCATAGACAAAGCCCTCTTCCCTGAACTAGCTGACCCGGCTAGGCAAATCACGCGAACCTGATCACCTTGGCCAATCTATAGGCGACAAGAATGATTGTTGGGTTCGCTAAAACCCTGCCCACACATCTCGCGTCTAGCATCTGAACCTAATAAGCCTCACCAGTTCACTAGAGAAGGGATTCCATCGCCCAGGAGATAGATCGCGCTGCCCTAGAGACTGAGCCAATTGTCTCACGTATAACAAGGTTCATTGTTGGTTCGCATTCACTACTGGAATAGGCGGCTTCGTCCTGCCCACGTACATCCACGTCGATTAGTTCCCTTTTTCTCACTACGTTCGTTTCAAGGCATTCAGTTTTACAGAAATGGTTGAGTATTACCCCCTATCGTAAATTTGACCGACACTTCCCTGCCCCACCCCGGGGACGACAGTCAGCTCAAGGACGCGGGCCGTTCCGAACCGCAACTGGTACTTCGATGGATCGCCCCACTTCGATGACAGATGGTTCTTGGGGTACTGCCATACATCAACCCACTGTGTTTTTGATGAAGCGAGGATTGGAACTCTCAGGAGGGCAAAACCAAAGATCAATGACTAAACACGGCTCCCGTCAGAGTTTCGTGATTTCAATTGTCCAAACCCCCGGATGATAGCATGGCAGCGAGCTGGTGCAGCCTCCAGCTCAATAGATGACGTGGCACAACATCGACCAGAGAAAGGAGTCTTCGTACAAAAGTACAATATTGCCCCACCCAAAAGGCTCATGCTTCGTTAGGCGCGACGACAGCAGCGATCGTGACTGTTGTCTATTTGAAGGCTGCAAGGGAACTTCGGATCCAAAATCTGGTTTTACACCACACCCTCTTGCTTGTTACGATCTATGACAACTATCAAAGTCAACATGACACCGAAAGGGCGAATGCCGGATCAACGATGGTCCATGTACCGATCTCTCCATAACGACGTCTCGCGCTTGCTTGAAGAACACGATCTTCATTTCAGCTTCCACAAAGCAGATGAACCTCGGGATTGTACGAAGGAGTACGATACAAACATAATGGGGCGGTTCATATGCCGTAACCCTGAATGCGATTCCAGCGGTTGGTCCAGTAAAAAGATTGCAATCACCATAAGAATGTATCATTCAGCACAGTACAATGCGAGGGTCTATCATCAGCGATGCAAAAGCTGCGATCGCATCAGTCGCCCAATCCTGAATGAATCATATGCGGATCGAGTGGCTTATCGCATCAAGAAATGGAATGGAATCCAGTTGGACCGTCCATACCATTCAGGTCAAAGCAAGGGTCCACACAATAGCGACTTGTGCGAGGGCTGTAAGGCGGGACACTGCAGCTCACTGGTGAAGATCAGCTAAAACAAGTTTCAGTGGTGAGTTTCACCCGAGCTTTATATTGATTATGACAAGAGCTGGCTAACCTACGTAAAGGAATTTCGTTTGCATTTGGGCTGGACACAACAAGTTTGGTATTCTTATTGTCAGGGTGTCTGAATAGTTTCGTCACCGCACCAGACACCTTTAAAAGGCAGACAAAAAGCGAATGAAGCTTAGGTAAAAGAGGGGCTCCGTTATACTTGCAAATCCATTAAACCGCACGAATCACTCAGTAAATACTATTCAAGACTGTCTGAACAAAATTTTGAGTGCCATATTTCAGTCCTTTGGCGGCAATGTCCCTAAAACAGGTTGAGGTGATACAGAACATGAGTGGCTGACAGATCCTGTCCAATCAAAGCACGAATTATTGCCAAGACGGAGCGAAGTGTCCAATCACATGCCTACGAATTAAGCCTGGCGCGTCAGTATGTAGTGTTACCACGTTTCTTTGTTTGCTACGGCGACTTCAATCGCTGGGGCCAGGGTCGCAATGTGCATGGGACTGGTCTCATACTGTGGTCGTGGGCTTCCGGACTCTATCTCTCAATGAAGCCACCGAAGTGTAGCAAACAAAAAGAGCGGGTACTGCAAATTTTGTCATTTAATTCCGTCGCATCACCCACCTTACCATGGATATATGCACTGAATAATCTTTCCCGACGTGTCTGAGTCTCAGTTATCAGCCATGCCAACGAAAATCTCCCTGCGACCGCTGCGGCCGATCGAAAGAGGTTCTCTATCTTGCAGACACCACGTTCAGTGTGTGGAAAGCGATAGAATGTCTCTCTTGCTTGCACAGAGTGTCGTCAAAAAAGAACTAAGGTTAGAAATTAATGACTCAATGCTAACCAAGTTCTAACAGAATCTAGTGTTCGGGTACGACGCCATGCGCGAACTATACGGCAAAAGGTTGTTAGTGCATCTTTGATCCCAGCAGTGACCGCAGGCGCAAAACCCATAGGGTTGAATCATTCATTCTAAAGATCCGGAGCTTGCAGTCCCACCGAGATGGAGAAAATTTTCTCCTCTACGAGAGCAGGCTGCCTAATGTCGGATGATAGTTGGAGGGAGGTAAATGGAAGGCGAAGGGCTTATCCGGAAATACATGGGGCATCGCAATAGATCGCTTAGATATGTTTCTTACAATCATTTACAGTTTTATGTTTCCACGTATTTTCTGGACGTACTGTACTCAAGGTTTTCACATGACGTCCAACCCGTGGGCCCAATCAGTCTGGATCTGTCACACTTTTGTAGTCTTCGAACCACCTCTCAACCACAGTTTTATCAAGTGCAGCACTTCTTTCGACATCAAGGGCTCGCCTACGTCGACGGTAGTATTAGGGATTGCGTTTTAGAAAGCGTTTAAGCCAATGGTCGCCGATTTGTGGAGGTTTGGTTGAGTCGTCCGAATAGGCGTCCTCAAGAATTGAATTGGCTGCAATCCCAATTTGCCCGCGGTTTATCGATGCTCCTACTTTATCAAAGTAGTCAATATACTCGCATAGAGCTCTCTCTTGTGCAGTATTTAGCTTCCGACCATTGGGTTGTCTTTGAAATAGCGATTTGCCTCCGTGCCATCTCCGACGAAGCCGACCGTCAGGAACCGCGAATTCTCGCGCAGTTTTCGCGATATTAGGGTTTTTTTTGCTGGGACAGCGATTCCAGGGCCTTAATGACCTGATCTTCGATATCTTGATTGTTTTTAGGCATTTTTGGTGGAGTTATTAATGGAAGAAGTGATGGGGTAGGAAATTGGAGAATTCTTTCATTTGGGTGATCCCTTTCATATGGGTGGCGGGCCCTCGTTTACGAGGGCCTGTTTTTTATGTAATAAATGTAAGGCCCGGTTAGGTGCTGGAACCTTAAGAGTTGAAAAACCAGGGGTGGAGGTGCGGCACCGAGGTAATTCAATTTCGTGAAAATTGCATGACATATCCCACATTATGAAAATACAATGTCGATTCTTGAAAATGGGGAAATTACAGCGTGAGATAATATGGGGTAACTGTAAACTGGATTTGAATATTAATACAGTATATACTCAGTTACATGGGAAGCCCTCCTGTCACGAAACACTTCTGATTGCATCTCATCGCGAGATAATTCAATCTTATGCCGGGATTTCAGGTATCGTTTCCAATACGGTCTGCCTGGCAACACAATTTGGCCGAGAACAAATACCTTCTCCGGGAAACTTAATTGGGTCGCGTTGGTGCCGCCCACAATAGGCCGGAGAACGATAGCGATGGCATTCCGACCAACGTAGAAAGTACTCGCTACGGTGCAATGGAAATTCTGACTGATACGGTGGTGGATCTGTGGTTGGCTCGGCGCAGAAATTGGGCGAAGACTCATTTCTAGGTCTCGTAGTTTGCTCAAGAGTATTTTGTGGGTAATCTTGGTGACGCATCCTGGGCTTTCTAACAAAAATTAGCAATGCTACCGAATTTCTAACTGGTTGAATAAATGTATACTTTGAACGTATCCACATCCAAAAGCCGTAGTACCGACGCATCTCCTTGTGGAGTTTCCGTGAGACAGTACTTTATCAAGACAAAAGTGTGGTAGCGTCTTGGATAACAAACAAATATCTTATACTTGGCGCCTTGTTCCATTTATTCCATGAAGGATGAAAACTACGCTTTCATGCATTGACCGAAAAGGAAAAGATAATCCGTCCAAGAGAAGGAAATTGGTCAACCGAAGTGAAGTACTGTGGAATCAAAAATTGTTGAGAGAGCAAAATAATGTAAATCGGGAGTGACTGTGTACTGTGTCTAACGATGTGCAAGTAGGCCATGGGGAAAAATCCCTTTGGACGCTATCGATCCTCGACAATCAATGTACCTATCGACAGATAAAGCTGCTCACCCTTTTGAACAGCCAGGTTCGACAATTTAGGAACCCCCTATCATTGTTGAACGTTCATGTCTACAGAGTCAGCTTGAAGAAAAGCTCAGGAAAAAATGGAAGTTTAATGCCTCAAAGCTTATCTGAGAGCTAAGGAATTTGGTGTTAACTATTTCCAAGGTATGTGAAGGAGATACCAATGCGCAACCACCTTGCCTCATGAAATCAAGTAATATATTATTGTTGCAGACCGCAACCAGTTTGCACCTCATGGAAAATTTCTCAGCCAGTCCATGACTGTCGACAGCGTTTTATGATACTGAACAATAACATAGTCATGGTTCCACGACCCAAAACTGTAATAAATGTAGCTACAGTACTGTACGTATCGAGTCTTCGCGCGACCAATGATATCAGATACTGTAGAATACCTGTATATCTTAGTCTTGATCTCCGCTCTCAGCTCATGATCATCAGAAAGAACCCGTCAGCAGAAGGAGAAGGTCGCCGAGATTCTTCCATTTTCGCTACACGTAACTGAATGCTTACTTGTTCAAAGAGTGTCCTAGCATTTTAATTTTTTCATATTTCTTTAACAGCAGCCAGCTCTTGGGAGTACCTTGGGAATATACCTTGGGACTATAGGACGAGTGAGCAACAAGGTCTGCTGTGTAGGTCTCCCCAACTTGCGAGAACAGCTACTTATCCATCCAACGACATCACGTAACTTCTGGGGACCAGTAACATCTGGACAGACTTGCCAGTGCCAAACGCAAGTACAGCTTTCGCGCTAGTAACACCCGATCCGACATACTGGCTGAGTAAGCGCATGCGAGACGAAGGAGCATGGTAGCCGATATGGATGCCGAAGTTGCAAGCAGATTTCATTGGATCGTTGAAGAACATCTTAATACATACTAAGGGTATCCAACGCATAAAACGCGAGGGCAAGGCCAGGACTTAAGTTTGACGCTGTGCTAATGAAAGAGAATGGAAAAAGCCTGTGTTGTGATGTGAAGCATTACTTCTTGGATTGATCTATACTGTACCGGAATCAATTCCTGACCTCACGGAATTACCAGGATTGATGGCGTGGCTGGGCGTGATGAAACTAAAATGCTCTTCAATTTCCTCTTGCCCAGAGCCCGCCTAACGCCCAGTCACGCCAAGTACTGCCTCCGCGCGCGGATGATGCGCTGGCGGAACTATGACCAGACGGATTCCGATCCGGCGACACGTCCAAAGGCCGACGGTGCCCGCCATTCCGCTTTTGACGCTTGGCGGGATAACCGTCTCTTCGTCCGGGAGGATCTTTGTGCTGAGGCTCTTTCTGCAACACTAGACTCTGCGGCTCTAGGTCCTGTAAGGAGTCGGTCTGTGTTGCACGATCTTGTCGTGCCGGCATCTGAGGTTGCTTGATCTGCGCCTCTTGATCCTGGCGCGGCGGAGTTTGTGGAGGCCCGCTCTGAGTCTCGAGTACGCCCCATAACTGGCCACATAGTTGGTCATGCAATGACTGATCGAATTGACTATCATCCGGCCCCGGCAATCTATCGTCACTGCCTCCTGGAATGCTTATCGTGTGAGACGTCCAACTAGAAGCCAAACTTGGGCTTGGTGATGATCGCAGCCCTTCGGATTGGTCGGCTGTTGAACTCCGTCCTGATCGAGGGCTTGGCTCTCGAGTTAACGTCGGCGTCACCACAGGGCTACTCGGTCTTTCGCAGCCCTCATCCAGCGCTCTTTTGGGACAAAGACAAGCGGGATCGGAGAGAAGCGGCTCACGGGGGTTGGCGCTGGCCTGCTGTGAGATCTCTGCATGCATACGTGGCACAGACGCCTGACGTTGATGTGGCGAGCGGAAGACCTCTCCGTTCTGGTCTGTTGGTTCCTTTGAGGCGTCTAAGCGACCTTGTTAGCGAAACCTTAGGGTTCCCTAGAAAATGAAAAGGTGGCTTTGATATACCTTCGTCAGAATCACAGGTGGAAAGGAGTTCATCGATTGTCAGGACATGACTAGGGCCTTTTTGTCGATTGTCTGATACAACGGCGCGGGCAACATGATCTGACTCCCGTCCTTGAGGATCAGTTCTGCTGTCGCTACCAATGCCGCGTGTGCCTGAGGGGCTGATGCTGATTCGTTGTGTTAGGCGAGAGCCAAGCGAGCCACTAGTAGACGTGGGCGGACGGCCTACCGATGACCTTCGTGGCTCACAAGAAGCTTCTGCCGCTTCACCTGTTGGGCTAGAGGGCTTTCCTAGAGCTCTGTTCAGTGGGTTCCGCCAAGTAATCCGGTAGTACTGCCCACGTAGGGCTTCTACAGATCGGCCTGTGTGGAACACTGCGTTCCACACTTTCACCCTATCTTTCCAGAAAAGGGGGCCTAGTCTTTCAATGAAGGGAACAAGGGCTTCGAGTTCCTTATCTGTCCAGTTCCTATGGGAAGATCCCTGACGAGAGTTCGGCTTTTTCTGTATTGGAGTTTTCTTCAGGGAGAGCTGCTTCTGGCTCCCACAGTGAGGAATCTGGCGATCAGGTTCTGGAAACGGCCGTTGATTCTGGTGTGTATGGAACTTTTTGGCCAGTCGATTGGCTTCCGGTTGCCGCGGGAGGGCGCCAGAGTCGTCGAAGAACGTGGCGAGCACCGCGAGCTCTCGAGTACTGGACTCCCCCATAACGATGGCACTGTGCACAAAATATAAGCAGGCTATTCAAGGGCTAGTGACAGTTCAATAAGAGTCGGAAAAGAAGGGATAGGTAGGCAAGGTAAATGAGTATACGTAGAACGCTGGCGAGTGCTTAACCACCAGCGCGTCGCCCAGAAGATAAACTTGGGCGAAGAGAACAGACATAAAGAAGACCAATCGATGGCTGCCACGTATCCGAGGGAATAGCCTGCAACACGCACTGTTGTTGCATTCGAACATGCAGGATCAGACACGGCAGCACGGACTCCAGACGGCAACGTTCAACGTCGCTCGAGCGAGATTTACGGTGACACCACCGGTGAGGCCGGAGCTCGTTCGAATTCAACATTCGTGGCGATCCAGGAGGTGTTTATGCCCAGAAAATTGGGAGGAACCCAAGCGAAAGGAGAAGCCTTTCGAGGTGCAGTGCGGCCAAATACATTACGACTAGACAAGGAGGAAATCCAATTCACCTATAACTCGGAAGCTGTCCACAATGGCTCCCTAATGTTCGGCAAAACTTTCTTCCGCGGCACCTGAATTCGGAGTAGCGGTTCCTACAGATGGGTCTTAGGTAGTGACGGTCTTAGCGCAATCTCTTAATGGACTAGAAAGTTCGGATACCGCGGACTCTATTGAAGGTGATGCTAAGCCTACAGTAGAAACAACACGCACTCGCATTGACTGTTCTACTCAATGGGCGGTGCGTATGCTGGTAGGGATCCATGTACAGCTACTAGAATGGATGGAGTCCGTATTCCCTAGAAACAGTCTATCCAACACGGCGCAGGCGAACATAGTCAGACTCGTGTGTCCAACTGCAGCGTCGCAGTACAGACAGCTAACGTTCACCGGCAGGGATGGATCCAACATGATCAGACTTTGTGATCCAACTGCAGCGTCGTAGTCCAGATAGCGAACGTTCACCGGCAGGGATGGATCCGACATGATCAGGCTTTGTGATCCAACTGCAGCGTCGTAGTCCAGAGAGCGAACGTTCAATGGCAGGGATGGATCGAACATGGTCGGACTTTGTGATCCAACTGCACCGTCATAGTGGCAGATAGCGAACGTTCAACGGCAGGGATGGATCCAACAAGGCGCAGGTCAACACGGCCAGACTCGTGTGATCGGGCTGCAGCGTTGCAGTACGGATAGCGAACGTTCACCGGCAGGGATGGATCCAACACGGCCAGACTTTGTGATCCAACTGCAGCGTCGTAGTACGGATAGCGAACGTTCACCAGCAGGGATGGATCCAACATGGCGCAGGCCAGCACGGACAATAGCCATTGGCGAACGGCAGGGACTGAAGGTAGACGCGCGGGCTAACACGGCCGGACTCGTGTGATCCAACTGCAGCGTGACAGTACAGATAGAGAACGTTCACCGGCAGGGATGGGTCCAACTGCAGCGTCGTAGTGCAAAGAGCGAACGTTCACCAGCAGGGATGGACCCAACTGCAGCGTTGTAGTCCAGTGAGCGAACGTTCACCAGCAGGGATGGGTCCAACTGCAGCGTTGTAGTCCAGAGAGCGAACGTTCACCAGCAGGGATGGGTCCAACTGCAGCGTTGTAGTCCAGAGAGCGAACGTTCACCAGCAGGGATGGATCCAACATGGTCAGACTCGTGTGATCCGGCTGCAGCGTCGTAGTGCAAACAGCGAACGTTCAACGGCAGGGATGGATCCAACATGGCGCAGGCCAGCACGGACAATAGTCATTGGCGAACGACAGCTACTGAAGCCAAGACGGGAGGGCCAACCACGGCCAGACTCGTGTGATCCGGCTGCAGCGTCGTAGTACAGAGAGCGAACGTTCAACGGCAGGGATGGATCCAACATGATCAGACTTTGTGAGCCAACTGCAGCGTTGTAGTTCAGAGACCGAACGTTCAACGGCAGGGATGGATACAACACGGCCAGACTCGTGTGATCCAACTGCAGCGTGACAGTACAGATAGAGAACGTTCACCGGCAGGGATGGATCCAACACGGCCAGACTTTGTGATCCAACTGCAGCGTCGTAGTGCAAAGAGCGAACGTTCACCGGCAGGGATGGGTCCAACTGCAGCGTCGTAGTGCAAAGAGCGAACGTTCACCGGCAGGGATGGACCCAACTGCAGCGTTGTAGTCCAGTGAGCGAACGTTCACCAGCAGGGATGGGTCCAACTGCAGCGTTGTAGTCCAGAGAGCGAACGTTCACCAGCAGGGATGGATCCAACTGCAGCGTTGTAGTCCAGAGAGCGAACGTTCACCAGCAGGGATGGATCCAACTGCAGCGTTGTAGTCCAGAGAGCGAACGTTCACCAGCAGGGATGGGTCCAACTGCAGCGTTGTAGTCCAGAGAGCGAACGTTCACCAGCAGGGATGGATCCAACTGCAGCGTTGTAGTCCAGAGAGCGAACGTTCACCAGCAGGGATGGCTCCAACTGCAGCGTTGTAGTCCAGAGAGCGAACGTTCACCAGCAGGAATGGATCCAACATGATAAGACTTAGTGATCCAACTGCAGCGTTATAGTACAGATAGCGAACGTTTACCGGCAGGAATGGATCCAACATGGCGCAGGCGAACACGGCCAGACTCGTGTGATCGGGCTACAGCGTTATAGTACAGATAGAGAACGTTCACCGGCAGGGATGGATCCAACATGATCGGACTCTGTGATCCAACTGCTGCGTCGAAGTCCGGATAGCGAACGTTCACCAGCAGGGATGGATCCAACATGGCGCAGGCCAGCACGGACAATAGCCATTGGCGAACGGCAGGGACTGAAGGTAGACGCGCGGGCTAACACGGCCGGACTCGTGTGATCCAACTGCAGCGTGACAGTACTGATAGTCACCGTTGAACGGCAGGCATTGCATCCAACACGCCATCGAGGTGACCTTACTAGACTTGTGTGATGCCAACTGCAGATAGCACGACACTATTGTTGAATCGGTGATGTCTAGACTCGTGTAATGCTAACGGTAGCTATGTCACCGCACTCACGTCCGATGGAAAACCGGGGTACCACATCTGTTACGCATCTGTGTTGCTCAGCAGCAACAGGGCCTGCTCTATTGGCCCTGTCCCGGCTGGCGTGATTGCGATTCCGTACTAGTGACCAACTCATGCGAAATTCCTTTCCTTCCACGGTCAGCTCTTCGGCTTTGAGAATACATGGGAACGCTACGTATTTTCGACGACAGCAGGCCCCATTCCCGCGGCAGGGAAACGAGTCATTGAAGCGAACCGCGTGGGCCTGACTCCCTTCGCACTAGTCAGGACAGCGGACCAATGGCGACCACCTTAGCAGGCCACGGAAAGCACCCTGGCCCTTCGCAACCCGGACTAACACGTCCGAAGATGGCCAGAACGCTCATCCTTGGATAGCGCTATAGGTCCCGGAGAACATGTCTCCCCTTGTCTCTTTCCTAATCTTGCCTAGCAGGCGTGAAGTTAGCTCAGCAATGATAGTCTCTAAGGTGATTCAATCCCTTCTCTGGTAAACCAGTGGGTTTTCTCGGGTTCGTAGCGGAGGCGAGACGTCCTATTGACGGACTCTTACCGACCGTAGCAAACATCCTTGCCGCCCATGAAGCGACTGGAAAAGGCATCCGGGTTTGTGATTCGCCTGGGTGGGTTGGCTGGTTCCAGGGAGGGGGCATGTTTGAGTGTGCCGCTGGACTAACTGACTGCGCCGCATAACTCACACGATAAGATGATGCTCACCATCATTCCACTGTGGGAAGCGTCATTCCAAAAGCGCAAGCTTTACAACCATCGCCATATGATTATGGTGGCTCTTGGTTAACACAGGACGTTGCGAGATATTTGCTGCCCAGGGCTGGTTGTCGAAATAGGGGTCTTACTAATCGTCCGCCGCCCCACACCGTATGTGACGAGAATTGGGCGGGCGGGAGAGCCTCAACGTCGTAGCCGTACTTTTGCTTGATTCCCCAGCGTCTAATCCTAGACTAACAAAGCCGATCCTACTAAATCTAGTAAGGTTGGGCAGGTTACATGTTTTAGCACTCTCGATGCCCTATCGATAACTGGGTTCGCCCTAGGATCACTTTAGACTGTCGCCGCAAACCAATCGGAAGGACAGAGCTCCTACCGCTTGCCAGGAACTTCTTGATCGGCATCGAACCCCTCCGCGTGCTTGGGAGGAAGGTTCACAAGATAGCAGCGTATGATCTGTGGATCGGGAAGAGGTTCGTACACGGAGACAGAAGGGATTCACACTTTACTGAGTACGCGTGCAACGCTTTGGCAAACCTCTTAAGGGACTAACATCCCGCCGAGTGCCCATCTTCCTGTTGGCCGTGTCCATTCTGATGTGATGCCGACGGCAGCTGCCTCATAGTCAACAACGATAGCGCCTGCTCTGATGGTCCCGCCTAGACTCGCATGCTAGCAATTCTGTGCCAGGGTGGCCGACTCGTGGAAACCCCCTTTCTGGCATGGCTAGCCGTATGACTCTGAGAATACCCACAGTGGCGGCACATTTTCGATCACGGCAAGTTCCATCCCTGCGGGAGGGAAAGCAAGCGAGTCAAAGCGAACCGCTCCGAATCATCCCCCACTCGTGCTGGCCACGAAAAGTGATCAATACCGATCGCCTCAGCGGGTCGCAGAGGGTTTCCTCTGGCCCTGCAATCCAGGACCAACGAGCCTGAGGAAGCCAGCAACCCTCGTCATTGGATATGGGGCTCCGGGTCCCCGCGAACATGACTCGCCGTCGTACGATCGTCGCTGTCTTGCAGGCCACTGTCTCCTTCCTAGCTCGACTACAAGGTGCGAATGCGAACCAACAATGACCCTGGCTATACGTACGGCGATTGGCCCAGTCTCCGGGCAGCACGATCTGTCTGTAAGGCGACACAATCCGTTCTCAGGCAAACCGCTGGAGCCTCGAGAGATCTAGTGACGGATGTGAGATCTCCTATACACGGGCTCATCGCGAACCCGATGCTCATCCTTTCGCCCATTAGGAGACAGGACATGGCGACCAGGTTCGCGTGGCGCGCGGAGCCAGGTCGGCTGGTTCTGGGGGACCCGCCTATGTTGCTTTTGTGGTATTGCGACACAAGTCAATCAGTCCTACGGGTCAGTCTGTCCTGCGGCGCAGTCAAACTGACCCATACCCCTGTCATCACGTCACGACCGGGCCCAATGCAGCTGACGAGAGAGACACTCACCATCATTTCACGGTGGGAATCCCCATCCCATGGGTGTACCCTTCACGTCCCATCGCGATGTCACTATGGTGGCTCTTAAGCTGAAGTAGACACGGGGTGTTGTTAGTTGGCCGTCAAGAGTATTCCTCTTCAGCGGCCCGTTGCGTGCCGACGCGCACGTGATGGACAACGGTCGTGGGGGGCCGAGTAGTTGTGGGATTCTCGGCGCCTAGTTCGTGGCTTATCAGGTCGATCGTACTAGATGTAGCTTAGTGTGGCTGTCGTCAAGTGCTCTTGATGCCCTATCGATAATTGCGTCCCCTGCAAGGCTACTGAAATTTACCGCGTTCGTCTACCAATCGGAAGGATAGGTCGCCTTCCGCAATGTTGGGTGGCGTGCGGGGCTACAGACACCCTTCTGCTGCGGATTCCCTTACTACTGCATAGATGTCAGAAGAAGCTTGTGTACAGAGGTGGAAGGAAGGGATGCAGGCATTGTCGCACAGGCATGCAGCGAGCGCTCCGACCCAGAAGCCGACTATATCGACTTGCGACCCATTCTCCCTATTGCGCGACGTCTGTAGGGCTGTCACGGGTAGTCACATATCTGCTGCGGCCAGTCCGTCGCCCCTGACCCCACTCGGTACTTCTATGACTGGCCTCAATGTCTATTGGTGAGATGTTTTATTGTCCTGTCGTTGTCGTGAGAGCCCCTGGGTTACATCAAAGGGAAATCGAGTCCTTCAAGCCGACTTTCCTACTATGTCATCACCTTCACTTAGGAAACTACGTTGAGAATAGGACGGCTCAGAGATTATGCATATACGTTCAGGCACTACTTCCTTGAAGGACTAGCCGCTCTGCGCCTAGATTTCCTTAGCGGCGCGAGGTAAGGGAATCCGGCAGCTGGTTGCGGGGATCCAATATAAGCTAGTGGCGTGGAGCTAGATTTTCATGCAGATGGCACGCATTAAGTAGGCGACAATCAAGTAGACAACACGAAATACACAGTACAGAACCGCCGCCCCAGGACACTTAAATATTCCCCTCCAGCCCTTCCAAAAAGCTGTCAATGTCGTATATATCAGGATGCTGGGCATGGGCATTCGTAGATGCGGCGGAAACTTGATTCTGTCCAGCAAACTCCCAGTTGGCCATACTCTGCTGAGTCGTCGGAATCTGAGAGGGGTGCATGGGGAGTCCGTTGCCGTTGGCAGTCGGAGCGCCAAACTGGGTCTGGTCAATAATGAATCCATTTTGTTGCTGCATTGTGCCTACTGTGTCTTGAGGGAGGCCTGGTGCCGGATGAGATGGGGCCTGGACGTGGTTCGATGGAGGATGTCCCGAGCTTGGGTACGGGGGCTGGTTCATGGGCCACGACACGCCCAGGTCCGGGAGAGGCTGCGGAGGAGATCGTCTCTGGATTGCGGCCTGCGGTCCCTGCTGAAGAGTCGAGCGCTGCGTCGCATTCGGCCGAGTCTGTCGAGTCTGTTGTGCCGTGTCGCCAGCGTGGAAGCGATCACGCAGTTGCGCGTTGGCAGTCCCTTGCCCAGTTTCTGCACATCCAAGTACTTCCTGAGAATATTCACTCAGACCTTTGACTTTGGCCTCCAAACTCGGTACACGTTGAGCCTGACTTCGAGCCTCTTCTAGCTGTTTGATCAGCCGGCCAATCACTTCTTTGCATCTTCTAGTCGTTTCCACGTATTTCTCACGGCTTTCGAGTAGATATTTCTATTCAAACAAATGTTGTCAGCCGCAGTTTCATACCTTAGACCTATTTTCATTTACCACATTCTCCAAGCCTCCGTACAAAGTACACAGTTCGCCCAAGAATACAACCCAATTGGGGGCTGGTGTGCCTGTCTGTGGCGGTATATGGCCCTCTTTGACCATGTTGTCACTCCTAGGTTGAACAGGAAGCTCACGTAATATTCCGCGATGTCGGATGAAAGTAACCAAATAATAGTCGTCTATGGAGCCTGGGCGTGCAGAACAAACCAGAGCTGGGGCTGTCTCTGAAGTGGACCCTGAGGGGAGGCTCGATGTTTATGGCCGCATCATTTCGAGGTCCTGAATATACCCTGTCACTACACCCCCTCATTTAATCGGCTTCTGACTGAAATCATTTCCATTGGTGCCCTCGCTCAGTGATGGAGAAAGTTAATCCTTGGTTATTTGACTATGCTGAAGTGGAGAAGTGCCCAGCGATGTCTCACCGTGAACTTTCGTTCACCAGAAAATGCAAGATAGCCAATCAGAACAAATTTTTAAGCGCTGTTGGTGATATCTGATATCAGTAACCCGCAGATATCTGTAAAGTATCTTCCGTTCAACAGTAATGCCATACACCGTGTGATCGGCATGTTGGCACCCCTAGTATGATGTTGCTTCTTCCGCCAATGCTTCTGGTCCCAGCTTTTCTTTTCTTTTTATTTTTCCCACTTCTATTATTCTTTGCAGTCTCGTGTTTGCTTTCAAGATCGATTCAAAGATTTATCACTGTGGTCATCCCACACTTCATACGCAGTTTAACTCCGATTCAACTTTTCGATCACGACACTATGCTGTGGAAAACGGAAGAATTGTCCGCACTGAAAGCCTTCCTGGAAGAATATTCTTCATTTTCATGGCCTGCCCGAGTCATTTTATGGAATAAAAGGTTTCGAACTGGACGCACTCAAGAAGCCCTACGCGGGCAGTACAACCGCATGAAGTGGGGCTGGGAACCTCGCAGTGTCAACGGAATGAGCGTTCAGAAAAAGTCTCGAGAGTCGCGACGATCGAAAAGGAGAGAGAAACGGACCTCTCCTTTCGCTCCTACTATTACACAAGGCGATCTATTTCAAAGCGAACCGAATTCTCCAGAAGCTCTTCCGTGCTGGTCGGATGCTGATGTCATGTCCGAACTCGAACCAGAACTTTTAGAAAGTCTATGGGGGTTGACATTGAGTAAATTCCCAAATTCGGTTTACTCACAGCTACTAACTTCACAAAAGTACTCAGTGCAAACTGTTAGATTCTCGTCTTGCTATATCTCGCTTCCAGCAACTGGTCCCAGCTTCCTCCCAGAACCGGACCATTCAGCAAACACATACTTCGTTTGTGGCCAATCGTTTGGGGCTTGTGACAAATGTTATTTCAGCATTCAAGGCTGGGGCTTGATGGTTGACTCCCACAGAGCCCAGACTTTGGTCTATACAGCAATATTCGAATTCAGACATACAGTAGCTCTCTACTCTCTTGCATTGATTCCCGAACCCTAGCCCGAAACACGCTAAGCTAAATTTAATAAAGTCCAAAACATCTGGGCCTATCATCGAGAGCCCAGACTCCGGAGGCAGATCAAATTCAGATCAGCGTGTTTCAGTTCAAGGTTCGAGAATCAATGACGGAGGGTCGAGAGTTATATCTGAATTCGAATATTGCTGTAATAACTGGCGTAATTCTCAGGCAGGCAATTCCAAGAACTTCCCAAGACGTAACGGCCGTAAATGACAGTATAGTATCTCTTTTGATTCGTCTACCGTTGTACTGCATGTGTTGAAGACCCAACGGCCAATTCAGACGTTGTTTTTGCAGTGGACTGTAGGCTCGTCAGCAAAGTCCTGTGCTGTTTTAACTTGCTTTCAAAAAAGAATTCCGCCCGTGGCTGCAGAAAATAGACAAGCAATTAGGGAACTTCCCATCATTATGCATCTCTCCTTTCAGTTTCCTCTTCCATTGCGTCTTCATGCCCCCTAGGAAGCCTGTGCAAAACTCAGCTACAGTATTCAGAACACTACTCAAACGGTCCTTCAGGACAACAGATGATTAACCAGTACTGTGCTTTCCGAAGGCTTCGATTGGCACCGTCCTACTGTAGCGCAATCGCATTCAATCTTCTCTTACAGAGCATGCAGGCGATTTGATTGGGATCCTTCAACGCCCGCCTTTGGCTGTTCACAAGTGTTAGCGCCCGCAACGGTCTGGTTGGGGCAGGGCTGCTTGTTCGCGTGAACTAATCGACATCGCACACTTGAGGGTGGTGCTAGAGGCTGCCTCATGCCAAGAGGATGCTCCCTCGTATCCAGATGTCACCGTGGAAAATACAGGGTACGATCATGGTGAATAACCCTACTGTCTTGCTTTCGCTCGCAAAAGCCTCATCTTCATGGCGGACAAGCTCTTATCACTCAGATCACGGAAGCAATTAATCAAGTGTCGAAATGGGCGCCAAGATTAACCTGCGGCCGCCAACTGAAGAAGACGGCGAGAATACAGCACGAGCGCATACCCTGGCACGCACAGCTACAGAATAGAACAACGAAGTTAACTCTCCCCCCTGGGCGCAAGTCCAGCTCCGGGGGTCGGCGCTCCGATGGGCTCGGGCCAATGCTAAGCAGCACCGGAAGGACAATTTCGAACAGACGACCACTGGCCAGTTTACACGCCAGCGGGATTCAGCGCTCCCAGAACCACACACGAAGATGCTGTATGACTGCCTGGATCGAGAGAAAGCATACGTACTAGATCAACTCCGCGCGGGACATGCCAGACTCAATGGATATCTTCATTGAATCGGCAAGAGTGGCAGTGATTTGTGCGAATGTCGCATTGAACGTGAAACAGTCCCGCATTTCTTGCTTCGATGCACACTGTGGGATGAACAACGTCGCACGCTGATTGAAGCAGCGGGTGCCCACTTTGGTAGCCTGCCACAGATGCTGGGTGGCAAACCAGAAAATGTTGACGGAGCATGTGAATCTAATCGGAGAGCATGGGAGCCCGACATCAAGGTCGTCAGAGCCGTCCTCGCGTACGCAATGGAGACGTGACGGTTGGCTTCTGAATGGTGGATTACCAGGCTTGATTGGAATTCAATCCGGAGGTAGATGCTGTATATAAACCCTCAAGATTCCTGCCTACAGAATAAAAAGCAATCTTCGTCTGAATTACAACATTATTAAACATCTACAAACAACTTCCCTCCCGTACATCCTCCTCTAGATTGCGACACTGGGATAGGCTTGTACAGTATTATTTTTTAGTCGAATTGTGGTCCCATTAGCCGATGCTTGTAGGAGAACACTATCAAGCGGCACATTGGCGGACGTTGATTTTCGCACTGTCCTTCCATCCTTGCCGATAAGCATCCCGATCTCGAACAACTGATGGCCGTGTTTTCGAGTGGCGAAGTTCGATGTTGTTTTTGCTTTAGGAAATCATCCGCAACTTGTTCTGCAGTTGCACGGAAGCGAACTAACTGCATTCCAGATTCCCAGGGAGAGCTGGATATTTGCTCCAGAGCGCCTTGTTTGGGCTCCAATTTGGCGGTTGAATTCGAGTCCATGGTGAATTTCGGGATGTTGTTGGGGTTGGGTGACTGGGCTGCCTCCCTCTTCACAAATCTGTCGATATCTTCGTCCACGTTTCCGGTCATTTTTTTGTTACCCATATCTAGCTCGCTGAAGTCTGCTGTCGTATGGAGATCACCACTCTCAACAGATTCAATATCAGAGCTGATCTGGTCGGTATCTGTGTTTATTGGACCGAGAAGTTCGTTGAAAGGGTTTCTGCCGCTGTTGTCCACACCCAGAGACGGAAGGTGGCGAAGGCAGTCAACTTGTCGACACTCTCTTCCTCCTCCACGCTCCCCACTTTCAGACATATCCAGTTCTTTCCGCTTTGCTTCGTGAAGCTCTCTTTGTTTTTCCCGATTGGCCATGCCAACAAGCCCATCCGCAACACCGACACGGTAACTGAATGTGGGAGTGCCACCTTTATAGGCACACGCCTACTCGAGAATTTTATTGTGCGCCATTTCGAATCCCATTGCGGCGGCGATAGTGTTGTCTGCAATGCCGAAAAAGGTCCAGTGAACGGAAGACCAATCGTCCTCAGAAAAATATTTGCAGTCGAAAAGGGTACACATTGCTCTTGCCACTTTGTCCACAAACGTCTCCGTCATAACGCGCGTGGAAGACCCTGCCTGCCTTGTAATAGTCACGACGCTGTTTCCGCCGTAGCATGCCTTATTTACGCTGTCGTCACCAACCATTAGATCCGCTTGAGTCACATTATGTTGACTCATGAGCTTCTGGGATACGAAAAGTGCGGCCTTGGCCTCTCCCTCCGTAGTGTTGGCGTGATACGCACGACTCAGACACTTTTGGATCCTATCCAGAACGTTCTTGTCGACTGTAGGTCCGCATCGCTTCTGGCGGGCACATGCCGTTTTTGTCACTGTTGCATTTTGAAGAGGTTTTCTTGTGGATTTCCGTGCTTGGGTGTGACGAAATTCTGGCGGCATTTGCTTCAATGATGAAAAAAAAAAAAAAAGGGAACGTTACTGGGAACTTTAAAAGTGGTGCTGACTTACGCGAGTTTTCAGACATGCGAGTGGGAGCTTAGACACTGAGGTCAAACGCGAATCGATCGTACGAAGATTCATTAGGCAGCTATATATAAGATTCTGCTTTACAGTATTCCGACCGGCTCATTTGCATCATTCTTTCTATGCATTTCCTCGCTGGTCCACTGAGACACATGGTCCTCATGATAGGTGGCTGAGTATTAATTTCACCCTTTGGCTCAAGGGTTTGTCCGCGAATAAGTGAAAGTTAATTTGACGGAAAGCGTAGAAAAGCTAACGGCCAACTGCAGCGTCACCGCAGTTGGTGTCAGACGATTCTGGATAAAGTTTACTTGAGATTCGCTGTGTTGGGCAGGACTTCTGTTGAACATTAACCTCGTCCACTACAACCCATGATGCAACGCTTCCGTTCTCCATTGACTGCATCTCCTGCGGTGCAAACAGGCCTTGTAAGAGTCAGAGCACAACAAATGACGGTCCAATGTTGGAGCATCTGTTCACCATGGGCAGATGCAGTTGACCTTGGGAGTTCTGCAAATTTCACCACGCAGCCATGTTTAACTCGGTTCACGAGTTGCCACACCATTCCTTTTTCTGAACATTCCACTACATCTATCGCAGCGCAGATGCATCACACGGGTGCCGATACCGCCAACTGACCTGTCGTGATTGGATACAATGATTTTTCAGTTTATAGTTCAACATTGACTGCATTCGCCTAGTAGATACAGTTGGCAAATATCAAGACTCTAGATGGCCACTAATTAAATAATTTAGTTCTTCTTGAACGCAACTTTGTTCAGTTTCAGACGTATCTAAACTCGACCAACTGCCTGCACTATTGGATGCCACTCTTCTGTTCAACATTGTCGATCTCCACTGCAACGCAGTTGATGACCGCATGTTTTCTACCTCAGCAAGCTCCATTCTCGCGACAGAGGGAAGATGCGCCATTCAAATGAACCACGTTGATCTGACCCACACATCCATTTGTTAGGACAGCAGACTAATCGTGACCGCCTTAGTGGGCAACAGAAAACACCAATGTCGTGTTATCCGGGACCATCCCGTCTGAGGATGACCAGTACGTGCACACTTGCGCAGTGAAAGTTGCTGCCACTGACAACTGACATATAAGGAGGACATCTTCCCAAGAGAAATGATGCATCGTGGTCTTCCATAAAATCTCCTTAGTAAACCCAACTCCACCAAGAAGCGAAATGAAAAAAAGAAGAGACGCCGAGCTAGAGGATTGTGAATGTCTCAAAGAGTTTCTAGAATCCATGACCTTGCTCAAGTTTGGGAATCGCGTCCAAGAATGTTTTCAATCATTGGCTAGTCGGACCAAAGGCTATTTATCCATTGGTGGAAGGTCAATTCAAGAGATAATCTGTTGGATTTGACCAAACTAATATCTGAAAGAGAGGACGAAACCTGTTCTGAAAAAGACCTTGATTCACTTGTTGACCACATGAAGAGCAAACGTCCACATCTTTGCGCTGTCTTCTCGGATTTAGATCCACTTGGCAGTGAGCTATTGAAAACTGGCACCCTTCCTCCGCATGTGGATTTCGGTGATATTGCATCCAAGGTACAGCGAGCCTTAGATCTTGATCATGACAAAGCGGTTCGAGACAGTTGCAAATGGGCTTCCCTGGAATGGAAGTGGGAATCAAAAAAATGAGGTCTTGTCATTGGAAAATATCCTTTGGTAGTTAGCTCCGATCGCTTACTGAACGATAATGAGAGCGCAGAGTCATCAGCTCTCACCCGACGGGCAGCTTTTCGTTGACGAAAATTGCTCTATTTTTTCTATTTAACCTGGATCGACGAAAATATTCCTTACTTTTCACAGATTGTTCATCCGAAGCAATGCCAACCCTAGGGGCCTTTAATGATATTCATCAACTACACGAGTTGCCTTGGACTTTAGTTTTCGATAATGCATTGGTAATGGCGGCGTGCGACCAGCTCGGACAGACAGATGCCGAGTCATGCATATTCGCTGTATCTGGCGGAAAAAATCGCCTTCACTCTATCTTAACATCTTCCCATTTCTTTGAATTATTGCTTATCTAGGTCAGGACATACCTTAGGCTTGTAGTCGCCGTCGCCGGTTCAGTTCCAGCAAGGACGCGCTTAGCGGTCCTGTTTTTAGCGGTATGGCAGGGAATAGGCATGGTAGATAATGTTAGGGAATGTGTTAAGAAGTTAAGAAGTTAAGAAGAAAGAAAGATTTGGATACCTTCAGTCAAGAGTGATCCTGTAAGTTATTTTATACAGTACCTTGCCCTGAGACTTAGAACTGTGTTCCGGAATAACTTGATTTACTGTCCGGTAGGCCCGTTTCTATTTTAAGAGACAGCCCTTTATCCGAACAGATGTTAGCCATCTCAGTCTCAGGTTATTCGATTTTACATTGCATTAGGACCTCCAGAGTACAGGATATAGATATAGCTATCCGCATCGGAAGGACCGGACAATGAGAAATGTTGTCGTGACTACGATTTTCTCCCAGCTACAAACTGCCCACGAGAGACATGCTGGCAATATTCTGCCTACCTGCTGACAACAACTACAACCAATATATTGTGCCGATGTGCCTACGAGAGATGACTATGCTGCTTGCGGGCAGCAAACTGCTCGAAACCCCTCCCTGGTCGACGCCGGCACTGTCCGGCCATTTCGGAAACGGGAACAATATGATATTGAACATGATGACGCGGCTAGTGTGAGCTAGCCATCGAATCCGAGGCCGGCATGGAAAGTTACAGGTCCCTCTAGCCACAGTTATTGTAGCGCTACAGGAATACCCTTGTGATGAGTACTGTCCAAATGCCCTGCTCAATTAGGCGGAATGGGACGAGGAAAACGCATTCGAAGTTCCTGGATCCCAACGATCCTGGACTCGAACGAACGATCAATAGGCTCATGAACCGCACTGTCTTCCATAGCTCATCCGGCTCGGCAAGGACAATAAACTTGATTACATACATACATACACTATATTATATCGATTTAGAGTGATTACAAAGAGGGACACAGGAGCACCGCTGCAGAAGGAGATCCCAACGATGCCCAATAGACCTCATCGCCATGTTTTCTCACTCCAAGTGTGGTTGGCTCAGCACATGGTAACCTGACGATTTAGTCACGGAGAAGTTAAAAACACGGCACTTTGTACTGCCATACATGTACACAATCACGATATTTTGGCCAGGTCTAATATTTAGAGGAAAGGGAGGCCCTGCATTGGCTGAAAGGTGCTGAAGCTGAGTTTTCCCCATTTGCTCTCTACCCAGCAGTGAGGTTCAATCGGCACGTCGACGGAGCGCGTCGCATCAAATTATAATCGCTTCACCACACTGGTTTCTGACATATAAATTATGCTTTGTATCAAATTGCTCTCTCACCAAGCATCCTCCTTGATAGCCTAAGCCGTGGCCTTGATGTTAGTATTTGAGATAGTGTATATTATTATTATTATTATTAAATCAAGTTTATTGTCCATACCGAGCCCTAAAGCTATGATAGACCACATGCCATGAGGCCGGGACGTCTACCAGACCTTGGTCTGCTACTATTTAGTCCCTGGCTCCTATTAGTTCCTGGGTGATAACCCCTTATGAGACATTCTGATCCTTTTCCTCGCCCCAAACCGCCTATCTGCGTAGCGCATTCGAGCTTCTTGAGCTCTCCTCGGTTTCTCTAGCAGGTGGGTGTCCCCTAAGCTGTGAGCCCAGGCTACCCCTCCCTATCCTTCTCCGACTCGGTCTGCTTCTTCTAGAGCTTCCAGCCCCCACTCGTCGTCTTGCCGGGCTTGTTCCACTGCTCGCGGGAGATGCCCTACAGGCAAAGCTACCCTTGTGGTCGCTAGGAATTGTAGAATGGCCTTAGGGGCTTTAGGCTCCCCTAGAAGTCTTCCTTCTGGGTAGTCTTCGGCTGCAGATGGGCCGGCGATTCCATCCCTCTCGAAAGCACTGTAGAGCTTCGCCCGCTGGTGTCGCCACTCCCGACATTCGAAAAGTAGGTGGTGCACAGTTTCCTTCTGTTCTCCACACCCCTGGCAGGCGGCGCTGTCTCGGGCCTGAATTTGATGAAGATATATCCCAATTGCTGCGTGTCCCGTCTTTAATTAGTAGTAGCGACTAGCCAGCTGCTTAGATGCCCGTCGGCGGAGGGGTCTAGTTGCCATCCTTTCTGAGGCCGGTAGTCCCGTTGGCTCTGCTTGATGCGCTTTGTCAGAGCCCGCGCGAGCCAGCCCTCCTTGCGTGCCTGAACCGCTTCTGTACAGGCTCTGCCAGTGAACGCTAGGGACAGTCCCCCTGAGCCTGATCCGGGTTTGCTGGCTGCTTGCTTTGCTGCTTGGTCTGCTCTTTCATTTCCCTCTATCCCTGTATGACCTGGGACCCATTGGATAATAGGTTCACGGCCTTGGGCTAGGAGGTCCCGGGCTGCTGTATGGGCTTGAATTGCTAGGGCTTGCCCTGGCCCTGCTTGTGTATGCTGTAGCCTCGCGATGGCTGCTTGGGAGTCAAGCAGGATTGTAATAGGACCTTTGCCCCTTACTCGCTTTGCGATCCGTAGAGCCTGTAGGGCTCCTAGGAGCTCTGCATCGAAGACTTCTTGTCCTAGCCCTAGTGGGAAGCCCCGGGTCTTCCAACCTCCCTGGAAGTCGTGCCTGCAACCCCCGCCCCGGACCTGCCGTTCTCTAATCTGGACCCGTCCGACCAAAGAGCCTCCCCGGGTTGAATTATCTGGGCAGCAGAGTGGGCTTCTTCTGTGCTCCAGACTCTGATTTGGCCTGGGAACTGGCTCTTTGATGCCTTTATTACGCTTTCAAACCCTCCTGAAGGATCTGCTGGGAGGATGCTGGCCAGTTGTCGGGCTAAATGCTGTCCAAGGGACCACGGTCCCCTGCTGTCGGCTCCGGCCCACATTCGGTTTCCCGGCGTCTGCTCCCCAGGTTGGACGTGCTGATCTCCCTCCCGAAAGCTCGCTGGGAGGACCTTTTTGGCTGGG